CCACTTTATCACTTCTTATGTCTACTATTTCTAGAATACCTCGAAATTTAAAATATTATTCTTTTTGTAGGCTGACACACACAGTAGTGGCTATCACATGAAAGTTTCATTCTATAAGCAAGAGATATATCTTAGTGGTTTATTAAATGAAACTAATTCCTTACCATCATTCTCAGCCTACATTTTATCAATTTAAGCAGAGAATATGGAAATTCGCCTACAAATATGACGTCAGTTGAATGAATTTCATCTCTCCTATATGTGTATAAAATCATCCATTTGTGTGTTGAAATGAAACACCCCACCCCCTTCATGGAATTTAATCAAATCCTTGAAGATGTAAACGTGGTGTTCACAGTTCTAGTGAGAAGTTGTGACCAGTGTAGTCCACCAAGTAGAGGTTTTGAGGCTAGCAGTGGCACTGTATTATATAGCACTTACTCTCCGTTCCTAGTGATATTATTATTGATGGTTTTTAAAGTTTTATGGTAACCTGTATTTTATACAGTGTCATATTTTAAGAGAGTGATAACTACTCACAGTTTTAAAACAAGCAACAAAGGTTAATAAGGCAGGATTCAATAAAGTCATCAAATTTCGGTAGAACTCTTCAGCTGTAAACAGTATGTATAAAGATGTATATATACCATTAGGATTATATTGGGGGATATATGACTGAATGGGGAAGATTTGTAGCTCAGGTGGATCATATTAAATTATCTGTGTTCTCTTAGCAGCTGGTTGATTTAATTGAGGAGCTTTCATTGTCCCTCTTCTAGACAACATCTTCCTTCAGTGCAGGTTGTAGTATAAAAAGAACTTATTGAAGTATTAGTTTTTAAGGATTTGATTGATTGGTTACAGGATTTCACCATGAGCTGACATTGGTTCGAGAACCATTGGAAAACCGGCTGAGAGTTCTGGCCAATCAGCTGTTCCGTCAGCCTAGTTTAGGGCTCTTCAGCAGCACTCATTCGTCAGGGTTCGAACCCAGGATCTCCCGGTCACAAGGCTAATGAGCTTGTAGACCATTTAGCCACTGGGACCCAATCCAATGGCCCGTCCATGAATTTCAACTTTCGTCAATTCAAGACATAGCGCGACAGCTAGCCAATGTCATTGCTGGCGAGTATTTGTCCTCACACTCGACCTGTTGCACCCTATTAGTCACGACTTCCTATTAGAATCCCAAGTAACTACCTATCTGAATAGGGCCAGTCGCTATTGAGCATTTCATTGATATTGAAGTATTGGTTTGTAGGGATTGAATTGATTGGTTACAGAATTTCATCATGAGCTGACATTCGTTAGAGAACCATCGGAAAACCAGCTGGGAGTACTAGACAGGTGTTTCGTCAGCCTACTTCGGGACTCTTCAGTGGCCTTATTTAAAAAGGCATGAATGCATGTAGATAATTATGAACGCCAATTTGACTATTGGGAAAATGTAAAAAATTTGAATAGAGGAAACATATCAAGGAATTCCTAGAGGCCTGTTACTCAAGTGAATCAGCCAGCAATTAACAAACACACATTACTATAGATCAAATTTATCAGCTAATAAAAAGCAAATCACATGTCAAGAAAGTTCGAATTCCAAGAGAATAAAAATGATCATTAGAGACATAAATTAACAACTAGTGACGATAGTGATTTCCAGGAGATACAATTACATCATCCATGGAGAATTTAAGTAAGTCCACTTTATACTAAAACCTGGACTGAAGGAAGATGTTGTCTAGAAGGGGGACGACGAAAGCTTCGCAGTCAAATAAACTATGCGACTCAGAGAACACAACTAATTCAAGATATGTGACTTATAAGTAAATAAATTATTCATGCAAAATGACAGATGGGAGTGTTTTACAAGCCAAGTTCAGGTAGATAAGGGGTTAGGTGAATGACGGATCAAAATTAGGATTATAGTGGATCACATCACTTAAGTAGACAATTATTTATCAGAGAAAGAACATAAAAATATCAGGAATTGAAAACTTATTAATATTAATAATTATATTAGTAAGGGTAATAATAACAACAATAGTAAAACGAGTTAAGATAACAGTACTGATAAAGGATAATTTCAAATGAATCAGGAATATTCTCAAGTATTGGTTTTGTAGGCATATTTTTGTTTGATTGGCTGGAGAACTTCATGATGAGCTGACATCAGTTAGAGAACTATTGGAAAACCAGCTAGGAGTACTGGACAGCTGTCTCATCCTAGTTTGAGACTCCTCGACAGTATGCATCCACCAACATGGTTTAAACCCGGGACGTGATGGTTACAAGACTAGCGAGCTCGTAGACCACTCAGCAGCCACTGAGACCCGATCCAATGGCCCATGAATTCTAACTCCCGTCAATTCGTAACATAGCGTGACTAATTGGAAATGTTTTCTTCAATGAGTTACTGCCTCACCTTTAACCTGCTGCACCCTATTGGTCATGGCTTATGATGAAATCCTCCAAAGAATCAGGAATAATAATGATAAGAGGTAGAATAAAAGACTCCAAGTGACCTTGCGCTATTTTCTTCTGTACACAGAAATCGAGTTTACAAACTCTACTTGCAAAGGTGTCTGCAGCTGCATGCATCTTCCTGTTTGTTTGTCTGGTGACAACAGTAAATGACCTGATATCGTCAATATCATGTTCGTAGTCTACAAGATGCTTTTTTATTGAAATTTTGGATATTTTGACTTCAACTATTTCAACCACTTAGACAATTCAGAAAAAATCCCCATTTAGACATTTAGAAAACAGAAAGATTGAGCGAAGAAATATTTACTTTTCAATTAGATCATCATCTCACTCTGGCTCTACTCTAATATACACGTATAGCATATTTATTACAATACACAACAGTTTGCCAAACAAGTGGTGATATGCTTGTTAACAATAATTAAACAGTGGCAAAATGTCAATGGGTTGATCATTAACGAAGAAAATCAATACACATTTAAAAAGTAGGAATGGTTAGAATAAATTAATTTCGCAAGGATAACACGTAATTAAAGATGAAGTGGTCAGAAAAAATAAAATAATTTGGACAATTATAATTTTTTATAATTTTAAAGGTTTAGGAGGAGGGGGGGCGAAGTAGTCCGGTTTGTATAGTCATGTAACGATGCCCAAGGTTAGGAAAGTGGCTGTATAAATTTCTTCTGAAAACACAGGTTTGGCTTTTTCAGGTGGATTCCGATTGCTTTAGCTGTTGTTTGTAGAAGACGAACTCGTAGAGCAAAATTAAGATTAGTAGGAATGCCATAAATAATTTTAAATGCAGTATTAACGTCAACCTTATGCTCACTATCTACAAGGTGTGCTTAAATAGAGCTACGAATAGATCTTATTTGTCCCTTGCTTAACCATGTTGAATGATGTTCGGAAATACGATGTGATGAACCTGCCTAATTGTACGCCCAATGTAGCTGGCTCCGCAGCTGCAGTCAAACTGGTAGATACACATAGAAGAGGCAAATTTAGGTAGTTTATCCTTATTTCTCGAACATAGAATAGGGGTGGTTGTGAAGAGACAACGTACCTCTGCTGCATAATAAGCTCTTTTAACTGCATTCTTCAGGCACTGTGTTATTATTTCGCTGATGTTGTCACCGAGGAACTGCAGTTTTATGAACAGTGGTTTTTTCGGAACTGTTGCCATACTGACTCTCCTGAATTCATATTTTTCTCAATGAATTTATCTAGATAACCATGTTTTCTAAGTAGTTCTGTAATGATCTTAAGCTCCTCATTGAGACAGTCGTCTGAATAGATTAACCTGGCTCTATGAACCAGACACTTTGCCAGGTTACGTTTATATTTCAAAGGTACGAAACTCAAAAAATGAGTGTACTGACCTGTTGTTGTAGGTTTCCTATACACACTCCTTCTTAGTGTGCCATCTTCTTTCCTTGCCATGAAGACGTCTACGAATGAGATACTGTCATTACTTTCTTTCTCTATGATAAAGTTTATTGCTGAATGGGCATCAAGGATGTCAAGGATGTTCATCGCATCATTCTTATCTTTCATAACCAGAAATGTATCATCCATATATCGACAGTAGAAATCCAAGTCGTTAATTACTCTTTTCAGTGGTCCATTCTCTAACTTAGCGAGGAAAAAATCAGCTAGGATTGGACCTAATGGGGAACCCATAGCTACACCATCAATTTGCCTGTAATATTCCTTATTTAATAAGAAATGAACATTCATTGTACATCTTAAAATAAGTTCCTTCAAGGTGGATATAGAAATCCCGATGTCTATGTTTCGTGTAGTAATCTCTTCACATATAAAATCCGCTGTTTCCATTAACGGTGAACAAGGAGGATACACCAAAAGATATCATAAACTTGTCCCTCGCATTAAGATCTCTTATTTTTTTCAACAAACTCAAAACTGCCATTTACGCTATGTTTTACCATTTCATTATGCAGAGGCTTTAGGAGCTTCACTAGCCATTTTGCTGTTGCGTGATATGGGGAATTACACAAGTCCAACACTGGTTGAAGCGGTAAACCGATTTTATGCACTTTTGGTAGTCCATATAATCTTGGTGTAACCGTGCCAGCAGGCTTTAAAGATTCATATATATATATATATATATAAACTTATACAGTTGCTCAATCATTTATGTTACTATATACACGAGGTGTCAACAGTTCATATATTGTAGTAATCTGAGTCATTTTGGTTTCTAAACGAAACTGTGGTCCTCAAATTGTGAATTTTATTCAGTATATCACCAGTTTACCCAACTAACTAGGCCGAAATCGGGTGTATTGAACTGATTCGGATCCCTAAACAGAGTTTGACCAGGTCCATCGCTGATGAGTTCTGCCTCAAACGAGTGTTTACATCATAAGCGGTATGCAACTACTCATCTCGGCCAGTCAGTAGTATATACACTCATCCCTTTTTATTACTTATTTGAAAGACATAAATATAACAGACAATAAGTCATCTAGTATAAATTTTATCTTTCAACTTAGTGACAAAAAATGAACAGATTGCTGGAAATATGACATCTATACGGACAGTGGGCGATGATAGTGGTGATATCAATGCCAGCAGTATGAGACAGTCAACAAACACACCAACGCCTACAACAATACCAACTACAACGACTACAACTCCTACTACTCCAACTACTGCGTTATCAGCGACCGGTATCATCAGTAGTATGCCACCGGTGCAATATCCAGCTAGCATGACAGAGTCAAATGCTGCAACTGCTAATATGATCAATAGTACTGGCAACAATAATCAATCCACTGGTCCTCAGCGTATTGGTCCATATTATCTTGGTCCTACACTTGGTCGGGGTAATTTTGCTGTTGTCAAATTAGGAAAGCATTCTCAGTTAGCTGTGAAGGTAAATTTAACTTTAACGTTTTTCTTGTTTTTATTGCTACAAAAGTTACTGTCTCATGTCAGATGACTGAATGCAACTCAAGTTATGTTGGTCGAAAGTGACCAGCAGTGAAATCCAACATGTGCACTTCACCCTACTCGGGACTCATCATCTGGACTTACCTGTAAGTGTCTTCGCACTGAGATTCGAATCCATCGCTTCAAAATCCAGAATAACTTCACATTGATCCATAGACATTGTAGAAATGTCTGTACCAGGGGCTGGCATTTCGAAACAGATCAAGTATTTCTGTTCAACATAATCAACCAGTTCAGTTCATCTAAACGACTGGCCGGTGGATTTGTATTCCCACAAAATTTATCCAGGTGGGACGAACCCTTTAACGCCAAAATAGCGGGTTATAGATTAAAAGCTGACTTCAGTGTATTGAGATTTTGACATGTAGACAGTGTTGTTCATCTATAGATAGTAAGTGCTTTAAATGTTGTAATACATGAATTTGCATAGTTCCACTAAGTTACATCATCAGTTTTCGATTATTTCTGTGATTAGAAAGAGAAATCTTTTAATTCTTGATGATAATTAATCTGATGCTCACTCGTGATGACTGGTTGCAAGGCCGAATTAGCGTAGAGTTCTAGTGAGAAGTCGTGACCAATGAGGTCCATCCAGTCGGGAGTGAGGGAAAATACTCTCCGATGACAATGTCTAGTGGTCACACTAAAATCACGAATTCGTAAAAGTTAGAATCCATTGGTTCGGATCCCGGTGGCTGGATGGTCTGCGAGCTCGCCTTGTAACGGGAAGGTGGTCCTGGGTCCGAAACCCGGTGGGTACTTACTGCCGATGAGTTCCAAACAACTGTCCAGTACCCTGTGGTTTTTAGTGGTCCTTTACTGGTATTAATTCTTGATCAAAAATAGCTTATTGAGTGTGTTGAAAAATTCATGACTGCAAAGTAATTTTTATCATAGTTTGAAAGCCAAAAACAGTTGTCTAGGAAATTAAAGAACTCTGAGAAACTATTCCGTCCTCCTTTTGGAACACTCTGATGATTATTTACTAACCGGTGGTGTAATTAGACAAATGAACTGGATTGTACTGTATTATTTAGTGAATGGTGACTAGTAGCAGAATCCAAGATGTATCCCTACCTGAGAGTCGTTAGCTGGATGTACCTGGAATTCCTAGTGAGTGAAAGTGTTCCCATTAAATAAGCATCCTGCTGGATTCCACGGCTAGTCACTATCCACCAAATAACATCACACATTAATCTTCTGACACCGTTGAGGTGTCCGTACTAGGAGCTGAAGTGTCAACAGACACCGAACATTCCAGTCCAGTCATATTTAACAGGAAAATTGGAACTGATTCAAACAATTAACAACTACTGCCCATTGGACAAGAAGTGGGTCTCGTAGCCCAAGTGGTCTAGTGGATAACGCCTTATCATTTTCAATGATGAGTGCTGGGTTCGAGCCCCAGTTGAGAATGACACCACTCACCGGAGAACGCAGGCCCATCCGGCTGTAGATTCGCAAATAGGGAGAAATGCGTATCGTGTTGGATTTCATTGCTAGTCACCGTTCAACAAATTAATTCAAGTTAACGCTTAGAAGTTGTTGAAACCTCCGTATTAGGAGTGGGATTGTTAACGGAGACTGGATATTTTGGTTCATTATGGTCACTCTACGGGGGATTGACAAATTAGCTTAAAACAAATAATAGATCACATTATAATAAAGAAATAAAACCTTTACTTAGGTACTAAATTGTATATCAAGTGTATATAAGTGAAAGTAATAGGTGGGGATCGAACATCTTGTTTGAAAAGGGACCAGTCATATCTACGCTGTACTAAATTCGACTAGGTTAGACTGACACAACCAGTCAGTTTTATCCATTTTTAAAATCACTGAAAATACTCATTGAGTCATGAAGAAAATAAAAGACAATTCATCGAAGAAAATTTTCTTTATCGACGAAATCATCTTCACAGGCTGTACAGTTGTATTGATGTTTACCAAAACTGTATAGTAGTCTTTTATTGAGTAATAGGAGGATGGGTGATATAATTGATATAATTACTCAGAAATGGCTTTAGATATAAAAATAAAAACTGTAAATTACGTAATATTCAACGTCACAAAGGAAGAAAGTGTTAGAAATTTGATAAGGTTACAAACTGTTATTGAGTGAGAAGAAAGTTAGTTAGGTGTCAGTTTAACAAGTGTGGAGAAGGTGAGAGAATGTACACAAGGAACATGTGAGAGTGATAATGTTGCATTAATTACTGATAAAAGTAAAAGCAAACTAAAAGTGAAATTCAAAATCAAAAAATCAATTTTTTTTACTGGGAACGACTAGTGAAGAGGTTAAGACCATGGTAGAATAAGAGACTGGAAAAACTGTTTCTGTATACAGAATTCGGGGTCGTATTGAAAAATTGCCAACGCCTCCGCCCTACACAAATGCCGAAACCTGACGTCCTTTGTACCATTTGACCTCACCTTGTAGATAATCTTGAAAGACGACTCTGGTGCAGCTGTGTAGCTTGAGTTCACGAAGTTCTCAAGAATTGGGCTGGTAGTTAGTAAACTGTCTTGCATTGTCCTTTTGCTAACCATGCCTGATTATGTTCAGAGATGCTTTTGGAAAGTGTGCGCTTTGTGCGGCCAATGTAACTAGCTCCACACAAGCAGGTGAATTTATATAAATCGTGGAAAATACCCATTGGAACATTAGATTGAGAAGAATAAGAAGTTCAGCAAAGATATCTTTTCGGCGATTTCATTTTCAAAAGCTGTACAATCGCATTTAAATACATAATTTTACATGGAGACAATTCTTGTTTGATTCTACATAATTATGACAGCGAATAAAAGGTGATAATTATTTCCAACTAGATATGGTTATACGAGAGGCTTAGAAACAAAAATTACGCAGGATTAGAACGGATATCAAGTGTGTAAAAATGAGCATGGATACAAAATTGAAATAATAATTTTCAACTTGAGATGGGAATCAGGAGGTGCGAATATAGATTACAAGAGCCTTAGAAACACAAAATAATTGCACAGGATTAAGATATAATTGCAAATTTTTTAAAAACGGATTATAAATGTGAACAGGAAAAGCATGGAAACAAACTTAAAATAAATGTTTTTATAACTGGAAAAAAAATGGGGTGAATCGAATGAAGACTGAGGGAGTAAGAATCACACACATAGCGAACGAAAAGGGATCAAGTTTGTTTCCATGCTTTTCCTGTTCACATTTATAATCCGTTTTTTAAAAAGTTTGCAATTATATCTTAATCCTGTGCAATTATTTTGTGTTTCTAAGGCTCTTGTAATCTATATTCACACCTCCTAACTTCCATTTTAAGTTAAAACTATTATATCAAATTTGTTTCCATGCTCACTTTCTGCACACCTGTAATTTGCTAAATTCCATGTAATTTTGTTTCTAAGGCTCTTGTAATCTATATTCGCACCTCCTGATTCCCATCTCAAGTTGAAAATTATTATTTCAATTTTGTATCCATGCTCATTTTTACACACTTGATATCCGTTCTAATCCTGCGTAATTTTTGTTTCTAAGCCTCTCGTATAACCATATCTAGTTGGAAATAATTATCACCTTTTATTCGCTGTCATAATTATGTAGAATCAAACAAGAATTGTCTCCATGTAAAATTATGTATTTAAATGCGATTGTACAGCTTTTGAAAATGAAATCGCCGAAAAGATATCTTTGCTGAACTTCTTATTCTTCTCAATTTATATAAACATACATTGAAGTAGCCCAAAGCGGCAGTTTACTCTCCACACAGATATCAAATTTCCAACACTTTTTTCCTTTGTGCCATTGAGTACCGCGTAACTTACAATTTTCATTTTTACTTCTAAAGCCACTTCTGAGTAATTATGTCAATTATGTCACCCCCCCCATTACTCAATAATGAACTGCTATATATTTCTGGTAAATATAAATACGACTGTGCAGCCTGTGAAGATGATTTCGTCGATAAAGAAACTTTTCTTCACTGAATTGTCTTCCATTTCTAAAAGTTTACTCCCTTGAACCGGAATTATGCAATATTTCATTTATTGTCAGCTTATTGCATAAATTTCTGACTTTTCTATATGTAAGTACAATTTTCCCTACTGGTCTTAGTAAATCTTTTCCATCCATCCATTCGTTGGGTTGAGTGAACCAATTAAGTAGTATAGAACAGTAGTGGAGGACAGCTGATATTCTTGTATAGCTGTGGTAATAATAATATAATTGATGTGTTTCTTAACAAGGTATCATGTAATAAATTAGGGGGGGGGGTTAAAAGTGAGGTAAACACAAAGAAAGTGAGAGTAAGTAGTGTTTGGAGAATTATTCTAACATATAACCTAAGGTGTCTATGACTTAAATTGTTTTTTGTTTTTATTTGTTTGTTTTTCTTCAAAATTTCAGGTTGCCATTAAAATTATGAATAAAGATTTAATAGGTTCTAAAAATCTCGGGAAAGTTTCACGGGAATTAGAAGCTATGAAACGTTGTCAACATCCTCATATCATTCGATTATATCATGTTATGGAAACAGAATCAAATATATTCATGGTTACAGAATATGCTAGTAAAGGTGAAGTATTTGGTAAGTCATCAGCCCCACGCCACCCCACCCCATTCCCCGCTTTATCCGTTTTTGTAACCCGACCTAGTGCTTCATCTGTTAAACTATACATCTGATTGACTAACTAGTCGGTATTTGTGAGTGTCGGTGGCTTAGCGGTAGAATGTTCGTCAACCACGCATGTGGTCTGGGGTTCGATCCCTGGTCGGTGCACTCCTTTACCTCGCTATGCCGGTAATAAGACCGGTAAGGAGGGAAGGTTGGGCATGAAACGAGCAACCCCACCCCATAAAAATAAACACCGCTGCTACCGAAACTTCAAAACTCTAGCTTGAAGATCTACGTTGTTCCACTGTGGACATAAAGGATACGTGGTTAGATGGTTTGCATCGTGACATGAAATTGGTAAATACTACTACAACAGGTTATCATCACAGAATAAATGAAATCTGTCCTTTTGATGATTGACGAAAGAAGGATGCTTCAATATTAGATGATTAAAGATAATAGGTGGGAGGCCTTCGACCTACGTTTCGTGCTTGTTTACACTTTCCAGTCAGTAAGGTGTATGTGAAGTCTTTCAAGGAACTCATGTCTCCTGTGAGATTCAAACGTGCATCACTCAGGGCTGCAATCAGAGACGTTACCACTGGGCTATTTACTATTATGACTGACTTTCTGTGGTACCATGTTAGGTGCTTTGATTGGACACTAGGTAATGACTAGTGTCATGTATCAAGTTCTATGTACTGACACAGACTTAATTCTATCAGTCAAGTTTGTAATGTGGTCACTAAGTTAGGGGACTTGACATCACGGCGCTATCTGATATGACGTTAGATAGTTTCAGGCAATCAGTAGGAAGCCCTGTTTGACGCAGGTTTCATGCCTGTTGGCATTTGTCAGCAAGGCGTATTTGTGACCTTGGCTGACATAATTCGTTCTACACCAACGCCAAGGACGTATGATAGTGATTACTCATTATTAACCCATCAATGAGGGATGCTTCTTCTGCTGACCTTAAGATATCAGTTTGACATAATTTGTAGCTTATATTATTATTAACATTTCCTTGGGTTCCAAGTAGAACGTAGGGCTTCAACATCACATTTCCATTTCGTCCTGTTCTATTCAATCCTTTTTTAGCAGTCTCAACGATTGCTTATAAGCGCTTTCATTTCCATCTTTTGCACAATCACTTCCATGTCACTCTTAGACCATCGTCAAACTTACCGGTCCCCATTCGGGCTCCTCACTTGAGCTTGTCTGGAGTATGGTGTCACTCAGCTGTCTTCTCAGCGTGCGTCTGATCCAACTCCATATTCCTTGGCGTATATTTTAGACAATAGCTTTTTGTGGTGATTCGGTGCCTGACAGAATTCCTTGTTGTTAAGTGCTCAGTACTTAAAATATACATTTTCAGTAAAGTTCAACGTAAACTTAATCACAAATGGATCTCAGACGAATAATCATAATTCCTAACTAATACCGAATTAAAATGTGGCATTGAATTTCTTTTATCAAATTAGTACTATGATTTTATTGCGAATTGTGGTCATAACACTCAAATGTGCGGTAGAACAAATGTCAAATGTATATATTTAACCTTGGTTGAAAGTAAAAATAACCTTAAATGAGGCGGTGATCCATCTGAAACTTGATTGTGGGTAAAATTTATTTTGATAAATTCTCTCAATGTTATACAGTAACATTTACTGATGACAGCGTTTCGAGCACAATTTATTACTGCTCATAATCATATCAAGACACTATTCACACGACTTTCTAACTTCATTTATATAATTCCATTATTTTTCGCCGATTGACTTGATTGGTAGTAGTATTTTCCATATTTCTGGTATGACTGAGGAGTCATTCCTACTGCACGTGTTGAATGTAGATTCGATGAACAAAGATTCAGTAATCAACCTCTCGCCCCACCTACCTGTATTAATTTTTAGAATTTTAACCCTCTCCCACCCCATTGTGTAGTTGTGTGTTAATGCATGCAGTGCAACGCTGTGCTGAGCTTTTTTCTAAATTGCCTATCTTCGTGGGATCAATCATTCTAACCTTAGCTAAATTCTTCTGTTCTGACGGTCTGAATATCCCCGATCTACTAGTTTGACCTATGTAATTGACCTCACTCACAGTCATTGCAAGGGTATTTTGTAGATTATATTATTTTGTTTAGTTGGGTCTACCGGGTCCTTCAGCCTACAGAGCTTGTCTCTGCATGAGTGAGTTTCTGGGTTTGAATGCCACTTTGACTCTTGCTTTATTGAGAATCCCACGTCGGGCCTCAGATGTCCCCTCCTTATGTGGTAACACTACTATAGATGCCTTATATTCTTTCTTATTTGTGTAGGCATTATTAGTTTCACCATTATTTTTATTTTGCTTTTAAACTTTTCTGATCTTCCTAATGAATTTTATGGGATAGTTGTTTGACACCAACCAGCTATTTTTCTATCTGTTTCATTTCATCGTTTAGGTTTTTTGTTGTCCTACTTAGTGCTATTGCTCAGTTTGTTAGACACTTAACTAACACTCCCTTAACACTTAATGGATGAGATTAATCAAAATCCAAATATCTATTAGAATGCGTTGGCTTTTTATAAACGCTAGTGTTCAGTCTACGAAGTTAGAAAGTTGTGAAAGTAGTGCTTTGATATGATAGTGTATATATTATATTATTATTTCCTTTAGTTCCTAGAGGAACATAGGGCTTCAGCCATGCGTCTCCATTGCGTTCGGTTCTCTGCTAGAGTTTTCACCTGGCTCCAAGTCTGCCCATACGCTTTCAATTCTTCTTCACATGATCTCCTCCAGGTCACCCTTGGACGACCAACTCGTCGCTTCCCTTTCAGGTTCCACCCGAGGGCTTGTCTAGTGATGTCACTTGATGGTTTCCTCAGAGTATGGCCAATTCGTCTCCATTTCTTCCTGCCTATTTGTTTCAAAATCGGTTCCTGGTTGGTTCGCTCCCAGAGATCTCTATTGCTGATCTTTTCTGGCCATCTGATCTTGAGTATTGAGCGAAGACAACTGTTAATGAAGGTCTGTAGCTTGTTTGAGGTGCTCTTTGTGACACGCCAAGTCTCTGATCCGTATAGTAGTACTGACTTCACATTGGAGTTGAAAATCCCGATCTTATATTCGTTTTCACGCTGAGTGTTGTTGACCTCCACACAGACTTGAGAGTAGTGAAAGCTTGTCTTGCTTCCCCGATCCTTGCTTTGATATCCTCGTCAGTTCCGCCTGTAGTTGAAACAATGCTTCCCAAGTAGGTAAAGGAGGTAGTTTCTTTCAGGTTCCTTCCATATATGCTGATTGCTGTCTGTTGTTGTTGCTGTGGCTGTTGGTGTTGGCCAACATGATAGTGAGCAGTAATAAATTGTGCTCGAAACGTGGTCATCAGTAAATACTACTGTATAACACTGTGAGGATTTATTAAAATAAATTTTACCCACATTGGAATTCTACTCCCCCACAGTGCACAAGTTCTATTCTCATTTCATCAATGATCCATCCAAAACTATTAACGATCAGCTAACCAGCCGATCTGCCCACCTATCACTCCAACCAGCTGCTAGCTAGCAAGCTAACTATATGTTAAAACAATTCTAATTGCGTGGTCGTTATCTCACTAGTCTTGCATATAACGTTTAATTATATTATTGATACAATGATTTTTTTCGATATTATATGAATAAAACTAAATTGCGTCATCACTTTTTTCATGTTTCCTTCCGTTAGTTTCTTTTTTTCTAATTCTGATTAAACTAACATGTATATATTCATGCAATCTAACGATTTCAGTGAATAGAATTCAATTAATAATGGAAAGCTTTAAAAAATTGGCATTCATATACTGTAATATATCTGATGAAATTCTGTCAAAAACACAAGTTGTATACTTTGGCGATTCAAAGCAAATTTATTTGGAGCAGTCGAATACACTTTAGATAACTGACTCACATTCATTTTTTCTCTAAGCTGGATGGTTTATCTGCGAACCTTTCATTGTCTTCCTAGATGACATCATCAGTGCAGATTTCAGTGGGAAGTAAATTTATTTGAACTCCCTCAAAATGTTATAACTCCCGCTCTTAATGACCTTGGCTGTGGTTGGTCGTTATCTTCTTATATCCGTATCGATCGATTAAAGAAGCTTAATTGAAGATTTTCAAAGACAGATTACCAGTGAACAGAGGATATTGTTGTCGTTAACTTCCTCTTCATCAGTAACTACAGTTATATACATCCATGATAGTTCAACAATTGTTGTTGTCATTGACAACATGAATGTGTTTAAAAAAGAAATAAAATCGATACTATTCATAACTATAACACTACACTGATTGAATACTAAATAAATTTAGAAAAATAAAACGGAATTTATAAGTTTATAGGTTCCGCAACTGACCACGGTAGCACAATAGTGATTAGGTTTGTTTCTGTTGGACACAGAGCTCCGGTTGTTCTGAGTGAGTTGAAATGGCCTCTTCTGTTTGGAGTGTCCAGTGCCTTGAGGCCTTTGACAATTAATTTGACACCCGATAGGTGATACAAGAATATTCTTCTATGCTGCCTTGAAAGCCTTTTTGGATCAAGTGATCTATTATTAAACTGTTGATGGTTTTCAAGTGTTGGTTTTATTGCAAATTTATTTAGCAGGAGAAACTAAGTTCCTACAGCAGTGGCCACCAATATAACTGACCTAAGTCTCAACTTTTCGGTCGTATGACTAATTCCTCATTAGTTGGTACATTTGATATATGCCGCTAAGTCTGTTGGCTGCAAATTCGTGCAAATTCTAGGCTTCTAGGAATTCCCTGATATTTTCAGTGCTTCCTTTGTCTAAGATTAGTTACATTTATCCTAGTCGAATTGGTGTTTGTAATTGTCTTCATGCATTGATATGGGAGCCTTTTTGACAGTCAGTTTATGTTCATGAATGCGCCGACAAAGAGGACCTCCTGTTTTCACATTGGTTACAGTCTGCCTTATAAATGATATGGTTTCTGTCTTCTTTTGTCGTTGAGTCTTTCATTTGACATGATATAAATCGAAGTAATTTTGTTGGTTTGTGGCAGTATGTATCCTAAAACGTTTCAAATCTGCTCAAGGCAGATTACATTTTCAAAATGACGGTGGATACACTCATTGAATGTGGCAGTCACAAAAGTATTCTTCCTTCATTATGTAAATTCTATTCTCTTAGTGTGTCTTGAAAATTGGAACAAGTTTTTCTGGTGACACTCTATTTTAAAATGATTTTTTTTACTAGGCGTTTCTGGGAATTTTTAACTAATCAATCAGAAAAGATGTCCATAAAGTTGTTCACAAATTAGAACAGTCGCACTTAGAGTGATTTCATCAGTTCATTATTACAAAAAGTTTTTGTACTTCCCCAATGAATGAAAAAGCAAAACGATAGTGTTGTTTTTACTGATTTTTCGCTTTTTAAAGTTGCTTTTAACTTCATCAGCGTATTATTAAACCAGGATTTACAAAATCTCATCCTACATCTACAGTGACTTGATCATTTTTCTTCAGCCATGAGGTAATCTTTCTTCTTACGTCGTCATTTGAATCAGCTGGCAAAGATAACAAACCATGTGGGCAGATTGCTGGATTTGATCAATGTGTGAAATTGTAAAAACACCATGTGTGTTTACTCTGTGTCGATTGTATCACTTCATCGAGTAGAGGGGATGGATGTTGTAACCATTTCAAATTCTGTCTTAGTCCTTCATTCCTATTCAGACACTATTTGGTTACAATTTTGCTATGAAGGGCTTCCGATATGGGATGTCCTTTGTGATATCTGCAATTTTTTTCTGGATGATTTGAATGTTTGAAGTCTGATCATGGATTTATATCACTTAGAGAACCAATGAAGATGTCCACGAAGTACTGGACAGGTGTTTCAACCTAGTTTGGAACTCATCGGCGGTATGCACCCGCCACCATAGGGGTTCGAACCTTGGACCATTCAGCCACTGGGATCCCACTCAATGGCCGTTGGATTCTAACTTCTACCAATTCGTGATTTTAGCGGGACCACTACATAATGTCGTCGATGAGTAATTTATCCTCATTCCCGACGGGGCGGACCCCACTGGTCATGACTTCTCATTAGAACTTTAAGTAACTCTGTCCTGCAGCTTAATCACTAACGAGCATCAGATTAATTTTCAAGAGTTCTGTCTGATTTGTTTCAAGTCTGATCATCGATCGATGTCAGTTAGAGAGCCATTGAAAACAATGGAGTACTGGATAGAGCTAAAGTAACTAACTGGTAGGAAATAGAATTCATGGGATGGCCACTGATTCGGGTACTAGAGGCTGACTAGTCTAGTAGCTTACCTCATAACTGTTAGGTTCTTGGTTCGAAACCCATTGGGTGTGTACCACCAATGAGTTACGAGCTAGGAGGAAACGTGATTTCACCGGTTGTTGATTTCAGTTGAACATTTGATGAGGAAGGGATAGAAAATTGTGCATTTCACCAAGGAGGAAGGCTCACTAGCTGTTGTATCGCAGAATGATGATATTGCATGCTGTCCTAGTCTTGCAGGTGGCCAAGATAAATGTGTTGGGTCCTTCTGAAAACCAGTGTACAGTTATCCAGTCGATGGCTGTGTGTTGGTGGTTCAGTGATAGTATGATCGCCAACCATGCACATAATCCTGATTCAACTCCCAGCCGGGCTTACAGCTAATCACACCACTCCACAGAAGCGAAAACACGGTCACTAGAACTTTAGAACTCCAGCTTGAAGCCCCATGCTCCATTTGGAAAGAAAAGGAGTAAAATAAAAACCACCGTGTCGAGTTTCAACTCACTTTCATGTCTGAGTAATATAGGTCTTTATCTACTGTTTTAGTTGCTTAAAAGGTATCGTTGTTCTGGAAAATCATTATTATTATTATCTTTATTATTCCTTTGGGTTCTCAGTGGAACATAGGGATTCAACAACACATCTCCATTTTGTTCAATTTTCTACTGTCCTCTTCAACTGGGCTCACGATTGACTATAACCTCTTTTCCCCTCCATGTCACCCACGCATTGATGTATCACTCGTTGTTTCGCACTCGGGTCCCACTTCAGAGCCTGACGCGTGATTTCATTTGGCGGCCTCAGAGTGTAGCCTATTCATCTCCATTTTTTCCTACATATTTGTTGTACGACAGGTTCTTGGTTAGCTCGTTCCGATAGTTTTTTGTTGCTAATTCCTTCTCGCCGGCCATATGACCTTCAGTAAAGAGCCAGAGAAGGTAGTCGTTGATAAAAGTCTGCAGCTGGCTACTGGAAATGCTTTTCGTGACGCGCAGTGCAACTGTCTGAATAAAAATCAGAACTAACTTAGCATTGGTGTCGAAAATCCCAATCTTGTTCTTTATGCTGCAGAGTGCAGAAGATTCCCCAACTGGTTTCAGGTTGATGAAGGTGTATCTTGCCTTTCCGTTCCTACTGCCTGTGGTTGAAACCGTACTTCCTGGTGAGATAAGCGAAGGAAGTAACCTTTGCCAAATCTCTCCTGTTGATGGTGATTGGTGCTGTTTGTTGTTACTGTCGCTGTCGGTTGGTTGGTTAGTTATCTCATCACCTCCGTCTTCTCTATGTTCACCTGGAGTCCTGTCTTCAATGACAGCTTCTTCAGCCAGCTTGTTGGTCTTCGCCTGTAAGCCTTCGAGTTTGTGTGACATTAGACAAAAAAAATCATCCACGCGCGAAATTCATATCTTCTAGAATCTGCTTAACTGTCCTGTACTGGAAAAGTCGACAAAGAAATTTTACTTGACACATGCATAATGATTGTATATATTTTGTGCATGCCTATATATACGTATTTACTTAACTGTCTTATTCATTCTCTCTTTTTGATGTCATAGATCATATCAGCTTGTCGCATGCATTCACTGAGAAAGAAGCTAGAGAATTATTCTGGCAAATTGTCTGTGCTATCGAATTCTGTCATAATTCTGGTATTGTACATCGAGATTTAAAAGCTGAGAACTTGCTGTTAGATTCTGATTTTAAAATTAAAGTTGCTGGTAAGTTGAAATGCTTTGTTGTTGTTGCTATTTATCCTTGGGTTTATTTTATTTTGTTACACTTAGCATTTTTTGCGAGGTGAAGGGGGGGAGGTGATTGTTTTTGATAAAAAAATGGTTGTTTACGTATAATCCCCATCCAGGTAATAATGAAAACAAAACACGTAGATCAGCGAAGAGTCTCTTTTCGGCGAATTCATTTTCTTAGCTGTACAATCACAAATATATATATATATGTGTTATTTTGTATGTATGTGTATATTAGGTTTGTCAAACAAAAATACAATTGGTTATAGTTATTTTAACTAAACAGGTGAAGATTGGTAATTGCAGTTACTTAATACATAATCAGTCAAGAAAATTAGATGTTAGTGAAATTAGGGTAGCAACAATGACCCCAATCTACTGCTGACGACATTTAACTGTTGCCATCCAGCAATAAAATTCACTCTTGAAATAGAAAACGAGTCAAAAATTCCGTTTCTTGATGTGGAACTAACAAGAAGAACTGATGGGAGCCTAAGAAGATCGATCCATAGAAAACCTACTTGGAATGGTCAACTAACAAGCCTCTATAATTGGGTACCCATTCAACAAAAGCGAAATTTAATTAAATCACTTGCCACCCGCATCCAACGCATCTGCAGTCCCGACGTTCTGGAAACAGAATTAAATATTCTAAGAGAAATCTTCATCCAAAATGGATACCCAGTGAGATTCATCGATAAAAATATGAAACCAAGAATTCAGAGAAACGAAACTTTAATCGCGCCTAAAAAGAAACTCTACATGAACTTGGATTTCAAGGGAGATTTAGCAAGCCATATTTTCAAGAGGAGGATCACATCATCTCTGAGAAGAACATTCTTTGCAGCAACGTTTAGAATAGTGTTCTGTATTCGTCCACTGATCTGCAGAAGCCTCAAGGACAAGATCCCGCACCTGACCAATTCTATGTGCATATATCAGTTTACCTACTGCTGTGGAGCCAGGTACATCGATCGTTCGACGCGCACCCTGACCAACAGGATTCAAGAACACTATCCAGCATGGTTGCAAAAAGGCAATATTAGTGCTATAAGGAGTGCGATAATTAAACACCTGGTTAATACTGATCATTCCATATCAACGCCTCCTTCAAAGTAATCTACACAGTCAAGAACAACCTATCAAAGGCAATGCGGTTTTGTCTTCTTTGTATCGCTAAAGCTCTGGCCATTCACATAGAAAAACCGGAGCTGTGCATACAAAAGAGGATTACTCAACCACTTCTACTGTCTTGGTAACAACTTTTTTTATCTGACTTTTTGATTGTGATGACTAAATTTTGTTTCTTTGCCTGTTCTTTAATTGCTTATGATTCTTGTATTCATTTAGAACTCTTACGTAATTTCGTATTATCTACTTTGTTCCTATGTGCATCCTGAGTACAACTCAATCATCAAACTATTTATATTATTGCATAACTTCTTTTAACAACTGCTTGTGACAACTCATCACCTTTGTTACTACCCTAATTTCACTAACTCCAATTACCAATCTTCACCTGTTTAGTTTAAATAACTATAACCAATTGTATTTTGTTTGACAAACTTAATATACACATACATACAAAATAACACATATATATATATATATTTGCGACTGTACAGCTAAGAAAATGAATTCGCCGCAAAAATTAATGGTTTGAGACAGTTGGTTCGGTCCTTTGTCAACTTACATTAGGTGTTGGGAAGACAGATGTATTAAAAGATAATAATAATAGCTTTATTCCCAGGATCTTCAAATAAAAGATTCGATTGACTGACAGAAGACAGTATGACACAGTCCTGTCTGACCTGAAGCGCAAACCCATCCGCCTTATGATATCTCTTCTTTTTCTCCTTCGAAAAATACACGATGACATTTTGTTGAATGCCATTTATAAAAAGTTGAGGAGTGCATTTTGTGATTCAAGGACACTACTCAGGAACATTCATTTCATATACTGTGATAAGCTGCCACCGACGATAGTGCTTTTTCTCATGTTCAGTAAAAACTTGCGAAACTTCAGGTTTTTAAATGTTTTAAATACTCGCCAGAGTAAACAGCACTATTTTTTTTCCTTCACGTTCCCCAGTGGAACATAGGGCTTCAACCTAGTGGCTTGAAGTTTCTGTAGCAGTGCTTATTTTACAGGATGGGGTTGCTAGCCTCATGCCCAACCTTTCCTCTTCATCAGCATTATTTCTGGCTTAGCGAGGTAAACGAGTGCGCCGGCCGAGGATCGAACCCCGGACCACGTGCATGGTCGGTGAGCGTCCTAACCGCTATGCCACCGACACACTAAACAGCACTATTAGAAGTCATGTTTTACTAGATTTAAACAAATTTGAATAGGTGAAACCATATGCAATGTATTGATGGAGGTTTTCGGTAGCCCACGGTTTAAGCAGTTCGCCTAACGATGTTGTCATTGCGTAGTTTCTTGTTTCTACGGTTGGTAATAATGAAAAATGTTTAGCAATTACTAATTTATGTGAAGTAAAATGACATTTTACTCACGAGTCATATTTCAATAGATCTGGGTATTTCTGGAGTCGATTTGACTCTTACTGAATTTTAGCGATTCTAGGGATTAACTTGTGATCGAACATTAGCGTGGGATAGAGTAAAAGTATTATAAAGTATTTAAGCATTGGTTTGTAGGGATTTGATTGATTACAGGATTTCATCATGAGCTGACATTGATTAGAGAACCATTGGAAAACCAGCCAGGGAGTAGTGGACAACTGTTTCGCCCTAGTTTGGGACTCTTCATCAGTACGCGCCCACCGGGGTTCGAACCCAGGACCTTCTAGTTACAAGGCCAAGACCATTAAGCCACTGGGACCCGATCCAATGGCCAGACCATGAATTCCGACTTTTGCCAATTCACGACATGGCGCGATCCCTGGCCAATGGTTCTCTAGTCAATGTCAGCTCATGATGAAATCCTGTACCCAGAAGGTCCTGGGTTAGAGCCCCGGTGGGGGCGTACTGATGAAGAGTTCCAAACTAGGACGAAACAGCCGTCCAGTACTCCCTGGTTGGTTTTCCAATGGTTCTCTAACCAATGTCAGCTCATGATGAAATTCTGTAATCAATCAAATCCCTACAAACCAACACTTAAATATCGATGAGATGCTCACTAGCGACTTGCCGTATTTAAGTAGGTAGTTAGCTGGGGTTCTAGTGAGAAGTCGTGACCAGTAGGGTGCAACAGGTCGGGTGTGAGGACAAATAGGGTAGGGGTCGCGCTATGTCATGAATTGGCAGAAGTTAGAATTCATGGGTCATTGGATTGGCACTCCCCATAATGAGTGCGTACAGATGAAGAGTCCCAAACTGGGGCGAAACAGTTGTCCACTACTCCCTGGCTGGTTTTCCAATGGTTCTCTAACCAATGTTAGCTCATGATGAAATCCTTTTATAAAATAGTTTGGTTAGGTGAAGAGAGTGTGAGAGAGAGGTTAATCACTAAATCTCTGATCAACACCTCCCAAAGCATCTCAACTGATTCATTCAAAGTCATTTAAAAAGTCAACAGAAGCCCAGAAAAGGCAGTATGTTTCCAACTTCTCTGTACTTCAGAAGCCCTTGCGATATGCATCGAAAAGCTGGAGCTGTGTGTTCGTAAGAAATTAGTCCAACCTCCGCAACTAGTTCGATGTGTTCCTTTAGCCTCCCGTTGCTTGATTATTTCAGTTCGGTGTGTGTGTGATTTTGCTTTCTCTGTCTTCATTCAATTTATTCCATTTGTTCAGTTATAAGAACAGTTATTTTAAGTTTGTTTCCATGCTCTTCCTGCTCACATTTGTAATTTGTTTAAAATATCTATTTTACAATTATACTCTAATCCTATGTAATTTTTGGTTTCTATGCCTCTTGTAATCCATATTCACACCTCCTAACTTCCATCTCAAGTTGAAAATTATTATTCGAATTTGTTTCCATGCTCATTTTGTTCACACCTGTAATTCTTTCTAATCCTGGGCAATTTTTGGTTCTAAACCTCTCGTAAACCATATCTAGTTGAAAATAATTGTCACCTTTTATTCGCCTTTGTAATTATGTAGGATTAAATAATAATCGTATCGATGTAAAATTATGCATTTAAATGCGATTGTACAGCTTTTGAAAATGAAATCGCCGAAAAGATATCTTTGCTGAACTTCATGTTCTCTTTTTTCTAAAATCTCTGTCTATTGAATCAAAAATAGATAATTGGAATGGGGGTTATTTATTTGTTTATTTAAACGCACAAAAAACTTGGTACAATATGGCACCAAGAAAGATGCGCCACACAATAATAATAAAACAACATAGATTAAAAGTAAAAATATAAGTAGAGAACGGATAAAGAACTTCATCTGGAAGGAAAACAGTCATGTTTAACAAGTTCAAACAGTATTCGTTAACTATCATCAGGAAGGGAAGAAAGAAGGAAATTGCAACACGTTCACCATTGATTACGATTCTTGGCTATATCCGATAACGTCTCGAGCCATCGATTCGAGCTATCTCGCGGACCCCAACCAGGGAGTCGTGACGCACCAACCGATGCTAATCTAGCACAAATATCCTTCATCCCACGACGCCACGTCATGGACTGACCATCCCTACGCCTTTTCCATCCCGTCCCAGAGCTGGACAGCGAACAGAGACCTGTACGGAAGCCTCTGGGGTGACATTCACAGCACATATCCAAGCTACCGGAGCCGGTGTTTCCAGATGACGACACTCAATGAATGATGATCTCCACCGTGTTAAAACACACGCCGCCGAACCTCAGAATTACTCACGCGATAATGCCATCGGACGCAAGCAATCCTGCGGAGACAGCGATGATCGAACATGCAGAGTCGCCGTAAATCCTCAGCTCGAAGAGGCCAGGTTTCACAGGCGTAGAGCAAGACAGCCCGCACCGAAGCATTGTATACCCGACCTTTGACAGCCAGCCTAACGTCGCGACGGCGCCAGAGGTGGCTCAAGTTGATGTATGCCATTCTAGCCTTCATTATACGGTTGGAAATCTCATCCGTCACTTCTCCGCTAGCACTCACACAACTACCCAGATACACAAACTTATCAAAAACTTCAAGCGGTTCACCCGCAAGAGTGAGTGCAGGTACAGGCTCCTGCCAATCTTGTAACAGTACTTTGCACTTAGACGGTGTAAAGCACATACCATACTTACAGACACTGGAATGTGAGTAACACAATGCCTATACTGGATATATGGAGAATTGCAATAAACAAGAAGGGGGATATATATATATATATATACATATATGGTGTAAAACAAATTGCGAATCTATGTGAACAATACATTAATATGATTATGATCAGCAATAAACTGTGCACGAAATGTCACCCAGTTATTAATACCGTGTCATTCACTGAGTGCTATATCAAACAAACTTGACTAATATGGAATTATAGTCTACCACACGGCCCAAATTCTAATCCTTCAAATCTACAATTTCTTCTCCTTAATATTTCGATGTTTATCGGGTGTTGGTTTGCAGGAATTTCACTGGCCACTGTCTTGATCACGAGCTGATATCAGTTATAAAAGCAACGGAAAACCTCCAGGGAGTGCTGAATAGCTGTTTACTCCTAGCACATGACTCTTCATCAGTACGCATCCACAGGAGTTCGAACCGAGGACCTTCTGGTTGCACAGTGAGCTGGGAGACAATTCTCTAACTGATGTGAGCCCGTGATCAAACCTGTAACCATTCAAATCCCTGCAAACAAATAAATACAGGAAGTTACTTAGAGTCCCAGTGAGATGTCGTCCAACAAGTCAGATAAGGGAACATCTACTCGTTGATGACACCGACTATTGGTTGCGCTGTGCATATTGTCTGAGTTGATAGTATTTAGAATTCATAGGCCATTAGATCGGGATCCATCTCGCTTTGTAACCGGAAGATCCGGAGTTTGAACAATAGTGGCTGCGCGCTGCTGAGGAGCCTCGAACTAGGCAGAAACATCTGCTTTCTACTTTCCTCTATTTATAAATGAACCCTATTTTTCTCATTGTTGCCAGTGTTTTAACTTAGTCGTATTATTACTGTTATATAATTTTCATACTTATATGAATTTAAATTGTAACATTTCACTCCTGAAATTCACTTTCACTATGATTAGTGTATTTATTTCATTGATTGGTAAATTTTCGATACATGTAATCATTTAGAAGGCAAAAACAGAAAGACTGGGCAGAGAATATTCTTTTTGACAACTTTTACCTCTGACTGGACAGTTTTATACATATATATACACACCCACATAATATTTGTAAGGATTAAATTTATTTTTACGAGTTTGACCATGGATTGATTATATAAGTTAGAGAAACATTGAAAACCAGCCAGGAAGTACTGCCAGACAGCTGTTTCATCCTAGTTTGGGATTCATCGGTAGTACGCATCCACTACCAGGGTTCGAACCCAGGATCTTCCGGTTAAAAGGCAAGTCCGTAGACCATTCAGCCACTGGGACCTGATTTAATGGTCATGAAATTCTAACTTCTGCTGATTGATGATTTTAGCGCCATCACCAGTCAGTGTTATCGGAGAGTACCTGTCCTCACTGTCAACCGGGTAGTTCTTTTGGATCTATTTTTCTCTGTTTTCTATATCTTTATTTTGATTGGACACTAGTAACTAGTGTGATGTGTCTGGTCTTCTCTTTGGTGCAGACTGAATTCTATCAGTCAGGTATTTGCAATGTGGCCAACATTTTAGGTAGCTCGCCATCACGGTGCACATTAGTTTGATGATATTAGATGGTTGGAGGCAATCGGCAGGAAGCCTTGCCTGACCTAGGTTTCGTGCTAGTTGGCACTCACCAGTCAGCAAGACGTATCTGCAACCTTGAAGGGATTCATGTCCCTTCTGAGATTCGAACCCGCTTCACCCAGTGAGTGCTGCAGTCAGAGACGTTACCACTAAGCTTTGTTTGTTTGTTTGCTACATGGAGGAGTGTGGCAACTTCAACGTCTGCACTTCTTTTGCAAAGTTCTATGCTGAAACTCTGTCGGACAATCAATCAGTCAGTGAACAAGTAATTTCTTGGAGCATTATTATTTGTCAATCACAAATTACCTAAAATTCAGTATTCCAGATGTTACACAATGAAAACAAACTACTCATTATATAAATTATCAACTCCTGTTCGTTATTTTTTAATTTTTATTCATTCAATTATTCAGATTTTGGATTTTGTAATTTTTTTCAAAATGATCAACTGTTATCTACTCATTGTGGTAGTCCTCAGTATGCTGCACCAGAATTATTTAAAGGTGAACCATATGATGGAACGTTGGCTGATGTTTGGGTAAGGTTGATACTTCCAAGAATATTATCGTTATTATCGTCACAAACTTTGATGCATTATTACATTGAACAAACATGAAAATGTTAAAATATACGCGTTTTATTCATTCTTGAGAGGAAATTCAGTTCCTTGTACAACGAAGAAATATTCGTTTCAAGTGTGATCCCAAACAAAGACATCAGTTAGAGAACCACTAAAAACCAGGGAGTACTGGACATCTACTCCATCTTATTTTGAGACACTTCAGTAGTACAGACTCACCTATAACCTCATCATGCGTCGAGCTAGGAAACTTTAGGTTACAAAGTCAAGCTTGTTAACCTTTCAGCCAATGAGATGGGTTCCAGTGGGCTGGTATTTCAAACTCTTGTAGTTTCGCCAAGCGGAGCTAAAGCTCGCTCAGTTAATATACATATGATAAGAATGAAAATAATTAACATGATCTTTATGCGAGTAGAGTTGAAGTGAATGAATTACACCGATTGAGATGGTTAGGACATGTGTTATACATGCATCCCTAGCCGTCACCTTCCTCGACAACCAGCAGTGTTAGCTGATGTAAGATCAGGTCGGAAATTAGCCAGTGGTGGTCAAACCAAAATATGGCTTCATTAATCAATCAAATCCACAACCGTTGGTTTAAGCCAAACACGTAGGGAGGTGTGGACTTCTTGGTTGAAGTCCTCGGGATGGTAAAAATCAATGAAGACTGGAGATAATTGGTGATATGGCTCAAAATCGTTCTCAGTGGCGCAGGTGTTGTTTATTTGGCTGTCATCTACTAGCCGTCCTTCGAAGGGAGGAGAGGAGTAAGACGAGCTGGCTGCCTACTATCGCCAATGATTTTCCTGATTGCAGTAGATTGGATAATGCGATAAACAGCGGTGAGCAATGAGGAAACAGGCATAAAATGGACTCACACAAAAAACTTGGAGGATCTGGACTTCGCCCTTGATGATATATATCTGATTTCCCACAAACTGGAAGATATGCAAGCGAAAAGCAACAAGTTAGCAGAAGAAGCATCAAAGATAGGACTTCAGGTGAACATAGAGAAAACAGAGGTGATGAAGATTCCCGGGCAACACCACCAGCAGCAACAACAACAACAACAACAGACAACAATCAGCATAAATATGAGAAACCTGAAAGAAACAACCTCTTTTACCTACCTGGGAAGCATCGTTTCAACTACAGGCGGAACTGACGAGGATATCAAAGCAAGAATCAGAAAAGCAAGGCAAGCTTTCACTACTCTCAAGCCTGTATGTGGAGGTCAACAGCACTCAGCATAAAAAATAAGATCCGGATTTTAAAATCCAATGTGAAGGCATTGGTACTATACGGATCAGAGACTTGCACTGCGCGTCATAAAGAGCATCTCAAACAAACTACAGACCTTCATTAACAGTTGTCTTCGCTCAATACTCAAGATCAGATGGCCAGAAAAGATCAGCAATAGAGATCTCTGGGAGCGAACCAACCAGGAACCAATTGTGAAACAAATATGCAGAAAGAAATGGAGATGGATTGGCCATACTCTGAGGAAACCATCAAGTGACATCACTAAACAACCCATCGAGTAGAACCCGAAAGGGAAGCGGCGAGTTGGTCGTCAGTGCGAGGGTGACTTGGAGGAGGTCATGTGAAGAGGAGATGAAAGCACGTGGGCAGACTTGGAGCTAAGTGAAAACTCTAGCAGAGAACCGAACGCAAGGTTGAAGCCCTATGTTCCTCTAGGAATTAAAGGAAACAGTAATAACAATAATCTACTAGCGATACCAATGCCTTAACTTCAAATACTATAAGCAATAAGGCTTTGTCTGCAGTTGCAGTTGCAATCGTAGTATTTGACTTCATTGGCCTTTACGGAACTTTATATAGTCTTTTTGAATTTTAATTTCAACAAATATTGTCGCCCTAGAATACATTTCACAAAACGCTTCCATTTTCTTCTTTTAATATTTTAGAGTTTAGGTGTTATCCTCTACATTCTTGTGTGTGGTTCATTCCCATTCCCCGGTGAATCACTTGGCGATATTCGTACTCAAGTACTTCGTGGTCTTGTACGCTTTCCGTTTTATCTATCAACTGCTTGTGAACAAGTAATCCGTTGTATGTTACAAGTGGATCCTATTCGTAGATTTAAATTGAAACAGGTAGGCGTTAAACAGTTGATTTGAGTGACTTTTTGTTTTCTCCTTTCTTGCTTCTAACTTGTTTATTTAATTGTTTTACTTGTCATATCTCAGTTTAGAGTATTCTCATGAATTGTTCTCTGTATAATGTTATAGGTTGGCTGCTAAATACTTTCTACTTTCTTTTTTTTTAAATGAGGAGAGAGTAATACTTGTGTGACAGAGTTATACAAATCACCCGGTTATGTTCTTGCAGTTGTGGTGACGTTTACGCGCCTGTCGAAAATCGCCTGACACGCCTCCTTATTGAGTGGTATTCGTGAGAGTTAGGCAAGTCTTCTACACGGGGGCTGAGCGGCTGTGGATTCACACTGAACTGTAAGAGATTAGAGGCATTGCACTGTGATCTACTGCACTGTAGCATACCGCCGTAGCATAACTACTGCCTAATGTTCGATCACTTTCTCGTGTACTGTCGCCGAACAATTAGTCTTCAATGACACTCTCTCCTTCAAACGGTCAAAAGAAATACAAATGTTGAGTGTGTGAAAGAAGAAGACACACAACTCATTGGTTCTAGCCTTCATGGGCTGAAATAGTCAACTGTCATTCTGCTGTGTTGAGATACGCATTTCCGCATCAAAAGATTTGCAAAGTCTTCAAATGTGACATGCAACTGGGACACAGAATTCTAATTGTGGACTGACATTAGAAGTAATACGAGATCAGTGTTAGCCGACTATCAGCAAAAGTAACACTTTCTGTGACACATATAATGTCTGTGAATGTACGTGTTTGTATCACACCTCAGTTTGATATCGCACTCACTGAATTACGACTCGTCAACACCCCACTTCTCAGACGACGTCACCGTCAACATATGTCAGACGCGCTTTCTATTCTGTTAAGACCTATTAATTTATCCAAACTACTGGTGTTTTTTTAACAAGATACTGATATTCATGGAAAGCCAGCAAATCGTTAAGTCTAAACACAGAAGTAAAACATTTATGATTTATTTGGGAGATGGTGACTACCAGTGGAATCCAGGATAACGCGCATTTCGTCTTATTTGGGACTCGTCAGCCACTGGATGTACCTGCATTCCTCAGTGGGTGATGATATTCCCACTGAGGGTCGAACCCAGTGCTCACAGCTTCAAACTCCAAAGCGTTATCCACTAGGCCACTTGGGCCACGAGAGCCACCTTTGTGCAACGGGTCATATTAAGTGTTGAATTGAATTTTAGATTTTCCCGTGCGGATGACGAGTCCCAAGTAGGACGAAATAGCATCCTGGATTTCACTGCTAGTCACCATCCACCAATTAAATTCTGATTACATACTCAGACTTCGTCGAAGCATCTGCACAAGAAGCCGACATGTCAACCTGAGAGCGAGCACTTTGGTCCAATCAATCGACGGGAAAATCTAAAATTCAATTAAATGAAATATTTATGATTGCTGTATTCTACGATACACAAGGTTTCCTGAATGGAAAACATTTCTGACTGATAAAACCCAAATAAAAACTTAGAATCCCTTAGGTTCCGACGGAACCATTGGGCTGTAACAGCACACCTCCATTTTATCTTGTTCTCCGCAGTCTTTTATAGCCACCTACGCGATTCCCACCAAGGTTTCCATTTACTCTTCACACGATCTCTTCTACATCACACTCGGACGCCCAACTCGTTATCTCTGATTTCACTCAACGGTCTCCTTAGCGTATATTCTAATCTGTCTCTATTTCTTTCTGCATAATTTTTTGTTAGCAGGCTGTTGGTTGGTTCTCTGTCAGAGTTTCTTGTTGCTAATAGTATCTGGCCATCTATAGAGCAGAAACAGCTACTGATGTAGGTCTTCAGTCTGTTAGAATACAAGATAACTGTAGCTGTATTGATGCTAGGCGGAAAATGATAAACGAATAACTTTTTTGAGAAAATGGACTATTATTTTACTGAATCTTAGCTGCGTTACTTCAGACTTTCATTTAAAGTCGGTAATTGCGCCTGCTGAAGAGAAGCTTAACTGTCTGTTTGTTTCCTGTTTTCATTATAATTAAATAGGCGTATATTAGCGAACAGTATTCTTTTCGTAGTTTCAATTCAAAGGTTTACAGTTACATAACAGTCTAAAAGGTCACAGAAATGCCAATAAAGTTCACTTCTTAATGTCAGCAGCCAAGAAACATTTGAAATTATGTGTCAGGAAAAATACTGAATAAATTAAAAAGCTTAGTTAATCAGTTTTACGTAACAGTAACGGTGATGACCCAAATCTACTGCTGCAGACATTTAACTGCTGCCATCCAGCGATAAAATTCACTCTTGAAATGGAAAACGGGTCAAAAATTCCCCCCTCCCCCCTTGATATGAAACTAACAAGAAGAACTGATAGGACCACAGGAAGATCGATCTATAGAAAAGCTACTTGGATTGGTCAACTAACAAGCTTCTATAGCTAGGTACTCATTCATTGAAAACGAAATTGAATTGAATCCCTTACCACTCGCATCCGACAGATCTGTAGTCCCGATGTTGTATAAACACAATTAGATCTTTTGAGAGAAATCTTCATCCAAAGTGGATACCCGCCAAGAATCATTGAGAAAAATATCAAACCAAGAGTTTGGAGAAGCGAAACTTCACTTGCGCCGAGAAAAGAAACTCTACATGAACTTGGATTTCAAGGGAGATTTAATAGGCGATATTCTCAAGGGAAGGACCACATCATCTCTGCAAAGAACATTCTTTGCAGCAACGCTAAAAATAGTGTTCTCCAGTCGCCTACTGATCTGCAGAAGCCTTAAGGACAACACATCTGACCTTTTTTATGTGCATATATCAATTCACCTGCTGCTGTCGTTCGACGCGCATCCTGTCTAAGAGGATTCAAGGACACTATCCAGCATCGTTGCGAGAAAGCAATATTGGTGCTATAAGGAGTGCGATAATTAAACACCTGGGTAGCACTGATCATTCCATTTCAACAAACGAATCCCGCTTCAAAGTAATCTAAAGAGTCAAGAATAGCCCATAAAAAGCCAATACGGTTTCGTCTGCTTCGTATTTCTGAAGGTCTTGCCATTCACATAGAAAAACTAGAGCTGTGCATACAAAACAGAATTACTCAACCACTTCTACTATCATTGCTAAGAAAATGAATTCGCTGAAAAGAAACTCTTCTCTGAACTACGTGTGATGCATATTGCTCAGAATTGATTACCATAAAAATCCCAGCCGCCTGGAAACGACCACATTATTCTGAAGGGCTGGAGATTCAGAGAATGTGTAGATTATATATCTCAAAGTTGTGAGTCTGAAAGGAAAGTCTCCTTTAATTCCTCAAGTATAGTCAAAATTCCTCGTCCTTGTTGTCACTCAATGAGGTAAATTCCCGTAATGCAAGTCACAAAATACTTCTAAGCTTTTGTATGCAAATGTCACACCTCGATAGTTTTCTGGATTCGTAAAGGAATATTCAGCATTGAGAATGTCTAAGAGTGAAGTGTACTGGGTTTTTTTGTGCAGTTACTTATAATTTCCAGGTATTGATTTGTAAGGACACCACTTCTTTCAAGTTAGTTAAGCAAATGACGTCAGTTAGAAGATCATTAAAAATCACCCAGGAGTACTGGTCATTGGTCTCGTCTTAGTTTTGTGAACCTTCAGCGATATCCAGCTATGACGCTATTGGGAATGGAACTCTGAAACTTCGGGTTGTGGGGCAAGCGTTGGATGATTCTAAAAATGATTGATTTATTATTCCTCTGAGTTATAAGTAGAACATAGGGTTTTATCAGCACATCCGCATTACACTCTGTTTCCTTTAGACCTTTTTGACTTGCCCTACAATCGTCCATAATAGTTTATTTTCCCTCAACTCGTCGTTTCCCCTTCGACTTGTACTCAAGGATCTGCGTGTTGTGTGATGTTCTTCAACATTTTTTTTTCTTAGATTACATTTAATTCATTTTCTTCTGCATATTTGTCAGACAATAGCTTCTTGGTTGATTCGCTGCCTAACAGAGTTCCTCGTTGTTTATCTTTCTTGACAAGCCAGCCGATCTTCAGTATCACATCAGCGAAGGTGACTGCTGATAAATTCAGGAATGGCCATTCCTTTTTGATTTGCATGTTTCTTTGATTGGTTGTAGGATTTCATCATGAGCTGACATCGGTTAGAGAACCGTTGGAAAACCATCCAGGGAGTACTGGACAGCCAGCTGTTTCGTTAGCCTGGTTTGGGACTCTTCATCATTATGCACCCACCACCAGGGTTCGAACCCAGGACCTTCTGGTTACAAGGCCAATGAGCTCGTAGACCATTAAGCCACTGGGACCTGCCAATCCAATGGCCATCCCATGAATTCCAACTTTTGCCAATTCATGACATCGCTGGCGAGTATTTGTCCTCACACCCAACCTACTGTACTCTACTGGTCACGGTTTCCCACCAGAACCCCAGGCAGCTTCACACCTGAATAGGGCCAGTCGCTAATGAGCAAGCATCAAGCTTCTGTTAACCAATACTGCTGGAAAAAAGTAAAATACTATTAATTTATAATGAGCGCATGTCATTTGTTCGCTTTTTTGTTTAACAAAGGAGTGTATAACTTTACCAGTAGTAGACTTATAAGCCGGAAGTGTCTGTAAATTTTCATGTGAATATAAATTTATTTTTACACAATGGAAATACGCGAAAACACGGAACATGTGATTCAAGTTGATTTCGCTCACTCCAAACACATACAATTTCATTGTCTGGGTGTGCTCGATAATTTGTTCATTCCATGAAATACGTAATAAAAATAATTTCTTCTTTTAAAAGAAGGCAATTATATGCGATAATGAGGAGTGTGGGCATTTAACAAAGATTATTAATTATGAGTGTGGAATTACGCCTAATGAATGAATGAATGAGGTATTAACATGGATAGAGAGAGAGAGTACGAGGGGAAACAGTTCACACAACGCAACAAAATACAGATAGAAAGATGTAGAAGAAAAGTTTGGGAATAGTTAGTCCGAAGTCGTTTTTACTTCTGATGGCGTTTAAACTAGTTGTTTCTCAATACAATGTTAGAAATACTCTCGCCTAAAGTTTTTTTTACTAATATACACGTTTTACAAGCATTCTCATAGCTTTTCTTTTTTCTGATATCATTATGCCTTTTAAGCAAAACAGTCTTCAATGAAAACTATGTGCAGTTTGAAATAGAAATTCAGAAAAAACTTTGACTAACATCATATGCCAATGGTGTCTCCATTCAAGAATCACTTCAGCAATTCCAAAAAATTCCCATTTGTATATTTAGGGGAAAAAACAAACCGAATGAAAATATGTATTCCTCTTCAAATGGTGCCTCATCAACACCTCCACAAATATATATATATATAAATATATCTTTAAATATTAAGAACACAATATTCAGCGAAGAGGGTCTTTTCAACGAATTTATTATCAAGCTGTACAATCGTATATTTATGGGTTTTTTTCAAGAAATTATATCCGGTGAGGGAATTAAGTAAAAGGTGTGAATACATGAAATAATAATAATAGTATGAAATGCAGTTAAAATATTTGTGATTATAATCATAGTTTAATGTCAAGTGGCACAATAATTAATGTCGTATATAGAATAATACATAAGGTGTATAGATTTTGGAAAGGGGTACATAATTATAAGACTAGTAGACGAATATAAAATGTTACATAACATTGTGTGAAATTTGATAAGATAGAATTCAATATTATAAAAATTAAAAATATAAAAATCAATAATTTTGTGTTTAAAATGTCAAGTGGGTCAAGGGGAAAAGATTCAGAGTGAGAATAGTAATAATAATAATAATAACAATATTAATAATAATCGTAGTAATAAGGGAAGAGTACGTATATTAACTAAATAGAAAAAATAAATAAATGTCTATCCCTCTACGGCCAAGGCAGAAGTAGGGATTGTACATACTTCTTTTTAAAAAAGCCATATATATACGAATGTACAGCTTGATAATAAATTGGTTGAAAAGAGTCTCTTCGCTAAATATTGTGTTCTTAATGCTACAATGGGAATTATTAAATTATCTTTAAATATTCCCATTATTAATATTAGAATCAGACATATAAGCGAACAATATTGTTGTTTCAAATTAGATCTTCTCCAGGCTTTACTCCGATTTACATACACGTGGCGAAAAGAATGACGAATGAATTAGGATACATCCAAAATACGCTGGTCCAAATGGGTTATGCTGTTAGATTTGTATAGAGACAAGCACATATACATCAGGTATAATACAGAGAAACTGGCAATAGTTAAAAAAGAAACAGCTGTTCATGAAATTACAATTTAATGCACGGGACATGGCTAGTGAAGTCTTACATCTAAGATTATCGAGAGCAATAATAAAAAGGGATTTATACTGCCATCACCCTTTGTTTGTCATTTTCCAGCTGCCGACCAATTATGGTTGTTCAAGCGAAAGACAAGCTGCGTAGCTGTATCACTTTTATATATATATGCAAATTTACGTACTTCTGCACAGAAAGTTATATAGGACGAACAACTAGACAGTTAAACAAACTTATTAATGAGCATCTTCCCGTCATGGTTTGGAAAAGACCAAATAAAATCTATAAGAAGTTCAATTTTAACTCATTTGATTGTTGGCGGTCAACAAGTGGACAGAAGTAGTGCCTTCAAAATTACCTATCGCATTTCATCGAGCCTTTCGATGTCTGTCCACCTCACCTTTAGTATAACGTAACTTTTAAGATTTGACCTGATTTATTCCTTGGCATTCCAAGTGGCTTCAAGGTTTTATAGCTTCAGCAGAAGTGTTGCTTTTAAGCGGTGCGGCTGCTGCTAATGAAACTTTCAATCCTCTTGCTTTTACCTGCTAACAACCTTCCAGTGGACTAAGTGGTGTTTTGGGGTACGTTGGACGAGAATAGATGTCGTGTTCCATGCATAGCTGGCGAGCATTCTACCACTTTATGCATATACTATTATGGTTTCTTGACAGAGGCCTGTTCCAAGTCTAATATAAGTGAGGATCATTTCTCTAATAGAATGTCATATTTACTTTAAAAGTCATAAACGAAACTATTTAATGTTATGTGCCATAGTAGAATGCATCCTGAATTTTCAACCTGAATACTACTCACTCTCCAATGATGAAATTGTATAATGCAAATAGAGATTAAAAACGTCATCAGAAAAATAAACAGGAAGTTCAGATATAAATACGTAATCGAATGATAGTTTTTGAGAAAATGGCTCTCTTATGATGTTCATGATACGGACAAAGGTTGGACGTCCTTTCTTCGTGAAGTTTTGAATCGGCAATGATTCAGCTATGACCTGATGTCTTGATCCAACTCACTTTGAGAGGTTTGATCAGATGTGGTAATTGAAGGATTGCTCAAATGGAGCTGAGTGTCTTGAATTCGCGAGATGTTCTTTTATTGAACTATAAAGACACCTACCTTCTCACTTCGCTAGTCAGACTAGATAGTGTTGCTGAGTGCGGTTTACTGGCGGACTCACCGTACAGCACTATTCCCGAAACTAGGGCAGGTCAGGTCCACAGTTCTATTATTGACTGTCATTATTTGATATAATAAGCCAACCTCCTACAAACACTATATATTCCCAACTGGGTTGAATGTACAAAACTTTGATTTTCAAGAGTTGTTTTGTGGGGATTTGATTTGTTTCAAATGTGATCACGGAATGATATCTGATGCTCGCTAGTGACTGGTCACAGGATCAAGCTGCCTGAAGTTTTGTGAAGAAGTCATGATCAGTGGGTTCTTGCCGGTTGGTAAGGAGAGTAAGTATTCTCCGATGACATTGGGCTAGTGCCAGCAGCGCTAAAATCATGAATTGGCAGAAGTTAGAATTCATGGAATGGCCATTGGATCGAGTTCCAGTGGCTTAATGGTCTATGAGCTTGCCTTTAACTGGAAGCTCCTGGAGTCAGAGCCTAGTGGACACGTGCTATTTATAGGTCTGAAGCCATGACGAGACAGGTGTCTAGCATTCACTGATAGTTTTCAAAGGTTCGCTAACTTATAACAATCCGTTGTCGAAGTTAGATCTCTGATTTCATGAAATCACAGTTTGTGTGTGTGCATTATTCATCTCTTTTATTTACCTATATCAATGTCGCTAATTAATTTTATTGTTTACTTATTGTTACTATTATTATCATTTTATTTCTAGGTTATGACAACAGCATGGATGTTGGAATCACCGAATGTGGAACACTACAAATCACTAATGAATAAGTATCAAATTCATGCTAAAGAACGTCAATTTGACATTCTGTTTCATCATCAGCATCCTGAGCATAGTAAAATTGCTAAAGAAGAATATTTGGAAAGGATAGAACGCAAGTTAGATATTGGTATTATCAAGGCATTGTCAAGTGAAGCTGGTTTGGATGAAGAACAGGTAGGTGGTACAGCGATTTGATTATTTTTGATTATTTTAAATCCTTGTAATTGAAGTAAACACTTTTTTGGATGCTCATCGAGCGCATCAGTTCAGAGGGTGTTAGGGTTACATGGCAAAGTGACAAAGTTAGAACTCACGGGTGGCTGGATTCCGACCTAAGTGGCTGAATGGTCGATCAACTTCGTCTGGTGACTTGAATTCCCCGATTTGGATCCCTGATGGGGGCACTGGATGCGTACTGCTGAAAAGGCCCAAACTAGGACGAAACAGCCATCCAGTACTCTCTGATTTTCAATAATCACAAATTGATTTTTGTTCGTGATAAAATCTAGCAAGTAAAATAGTTTGTAGACTTAAGGCACAATTATATTTGTCATGTATATATACTTGTTGGCCTAAAGATGTCGACACCGATTGACACTGGCTACTCTCTCTGTTCTACACAGAAATTGCTAAATCGTAGTCTAGCCCAGAATGAGTAGTTTATAAAGGAGTGTAGTAAGCTGTTGATCTATTCAAAAGCCAGCAATGGTAGTTAAGATTTCTTATTGATAAGATCGAGAATTATCATTTATATTACCCCCCTTGGGTTCTGAGTGGAATTTAGGGCTTCACCAGAGCATCTCCGTTTCTTTCTGTTCTACGAGGTCGGTTTTAGTTGACTCCGCATCGCCTCATACGATTTCCACCATTTTTGGCTTGAGTCTTGAGCCCAACTCGTCACTCACTTCGCATTTGGGCAGCACTTGGGGGTCTGGATCGCTTGATGCCACTCAGTGTTCTACTCACAGAGTGTCGATTAATTTCCATTGACTTAGGCGTATTTATTGGGCGATAGGTTCTTGGTTGACTTGTCTCCAGAGTTCCTCCTTGCTCATTCCTCCTTTCTAGCCAACCATCTGATCTTTAATATTGAGAAAAGACCACTGCTGGTAAGAGCCACTGGAAGCCTATTGAGAATGCTTTTCGTAAAGCACAAGCCAACTCCCTGAACCATATAAAAGCACTGTATGACTTGACATTGGTGTTGATATTCTGAATCTTGTTCCTAGTGTTGAGTGAAGTGGAATCCCATACTGCTTTCAGATGAGGGAAGGTATCTCTCGCCTTCCTTATTCTGCCTATACAAAGGAAACGAGTGACTTGCTTGAAATTTCTTTTGTTGGTGGTTCATGCTTGTTGCTGTTGATGAATGGGTATCTGCATCACTTCCATCTTCTCTAAGTTCATTTGATGTCTTGTTTTCACTGCTTCTCCTGCCAAGTTGTTGGTTTTCACCTGTTGATCTTGCATTTCCTGTAATATTAGACATAAAACGTGCACGAAATCCATGGCCTCTGGATTCCTCTTGTCAGCCCGATGTGTTCCTGTCTTCTCGTTCCCCCATGGTCTGCCTCATGATTCAGTCCACCACAATCACAAAATGTCATCAGTGATAGTAGGCAACCTTGTATTACTCCTGTCTTCACTTGGAAAGCATCTCTGAGTTTCCATTGTAAGTCACGTGATATGTGGCGCCTTGTGCGTCAATGGTACAGCAGTTAGGACTCTCGCTGACCATGCAAATGGTCCGGGGTTCGATCCCCTACGGACGCACATCTGATATCAATTGGTAGGCCTGCAAAATTTAAGCTACAGATATCATATGCTGAAAATTCCATACTTGTACCAAAAATACGATGTGGAATCAAGCCATAATCAAAAAAGCAAATAAATAAAATAAATGATATAGCTATTGAATGAGGTTGATAAAAGTTTGGGGTACTCTGTAGTATTGAAGCAGTTTCTATTAAGTGCTGCTCCTAGTCTGTGTCTAGTGATCAGACTTTAGCAGACACCTTTGCGTTCCCAGTAGAACATCGGACTTCAAGCTAGAGGCCTGAAGTTTCGGTAGCAGTGGTACTTATTTTTACGGGATGGGGTTGCTAACCTCATGCCCCGCCTTCCCTCCTTAACAGTTTTATTAATGGCTTTGCGAGGTAAAGGAATGCGTCTGTGGTCGAGGATCGAACCCCGAACCACCTGCATGGTTGGCGAGCACTCTACCGCTGTGCCATCAACGCACAAAGTTATGTAAACATTCCTTTAGGGAGTTTATTGAATAGCCGCAGTCTTGTGTCTGACGCTTTACAGCGTTTTATGAGTTTGAGATAATGGGTATCAGCTTATAATGTGCCAGAGACGTTTTTCCATTTCTTAGTCCTTGGAATGTTCAACATGTGTTGCGCAAATGTACAATGCACATTTCTAATAAATTATATCTTTTAATAGTTTTATCAAAATTCAGAAATGGCAACTAATTGCATTAAACCCGATCCCTTTAGCAAAGATATATCAGTATGATATCTAACTATTGTCCTTAATTATTGCGTGTCTATTAATGTAAGTGTAGAACTTGGGCACTTTGGTGATAGAATGTAGTTCCACATTAGATAAGTTTATTTGAAATATCACACATTATTAACAACTGGATGACGTTTCAAGCATGAATTATGGCTGCTCATAATCATATCAATTTGGTCACACGTTCTAACAATTTGTCTCATATATATTTTTCCCCCTATTTCTGTCTCTCCAACTTCCCTGTATTGTTTGTTGCCACTTTCCATATCTCCAGTATAGGTGAGACGTTGCGTCATTCTGATTGTACGTGTGAGGTGTTGCATCGATAAACAAAGCTTCAGACAGTGATTAACCTCTCTCACTCTCTCTCTCTCCATCTAACTATATTAGTCTTTAATATTTTCATCCTGTCCCACCTTATTTTGTGATAACATGTGAATGAATGCACTGCAATAGCTGATCTATTATCCAGGCTATTTAACTTAGCAGGGTCAATTATTCTGGTTCTAGCCAGCTAAATTTTTATGTTCCAATAGTCTAGTTGACTCTGATCTTCGCTAGGGGTCGCTCTATGTTGTGAATTGGCAGAAGTTAGAATTCATGGGCCATTGGATCGGGTTCCATTGGCCTAATGGTATACGAGCTCGCCTTGTAAACCAGAGGGTTCTAGGTTCGAATCCCGGTGGATGCGTACTGCTGAAGATTCCCAAACTAGGACGAAACAGCTGCCCAGTACTCCCAGGTTTTCCAATGGTTCTCTAACTAATGTCAGCTCATGATGAAAATCCTGTAACCAATCCCTACAAACCAACACTTGAATATCTATATTATTGACCTCACTAAGAGTCATTAAATGGTATTTGGTAAATTATATTATTTTTCCTAATTGGATATATTGGGTCCTTCAGCCGACAAAGTTTATCTCTGAGTGAGTTGGTCAGTTGGTTGGTTTAAATGCCACAGTAATTCCAGCCTCATTGAGAATTCTACGTAAGGCGTCTCTGACGTTCCTTCTTAATACGGAAGTACTAAAGAGACTTTGAACTCTGCATTATTTTCGTCATTTTAATTGCCAATCTTAGTTTTTCGATGGTTCTTGCTATATATCTGAATAAATTCTGGTGGGTATTTATTCACTAATAGTATTCCCTTTATTTAATTGGTGGATGGTGACTAGCAGTGGAATCCAGGATGCACATTTCGTCTTATTTGTAACTCGTCAACTGGATATACCTTCATTCCAAAGCGAGTGATGATGTCCACACCGAAGCTAGAACCCAGTGCCGATAGTTTTAAACGCCAAAGTGATATCCACGAGAACACAGGAAAAGCTAAAAATTCAATTCAATCAAATTAATATGACCCGTTGCACAAGAGGTGGCTATCGTAACCCAAGTGGTCTAGTGGATAACGCTTTGGCGTTTCCTTTATTTGTTTCATTTCACCATTTAAATAATATGGCTTACTAGTTAGACTCTTGGTCCGACTATACAGACATTTAACTAAACCTATCGTTACTACGGATTCTGGAGGGGTTGAATTAAAGTCTAAGTATTAGTTACAGTGAGTCGATTTCCTATGAATACTAGTATCCATCTAACCCATCATCTTGTTTTCGTTTAATTTCACAGTCTAGCATAGCCAACTCACCCTGTTTGTTTTCTAATTACGTATCTATTTGTAATATAATGTACACTTACTCTTTTTCCTTTAGATTCGTCAGTCCACTATTCAACGAAAATATGATCGACATCATGCTGCCTATGAATTGCTAAAGGATAAAATTAAATTCTTCTATCATAATCCAATACTACGACGTTTTGTTAATGATGAATTACAAAAAGAGGTGAACAAACCGTGTACAACAACACAAAGACAAAATCAAAATCTGTCATGGCAATCAACTTCTAGTGTTATTTCTGGAAGTCGATCACGTGGTGAACAGATGGCGTCGAGCACACCATCGACACAGTTAGCCACAGTACCTGATGTCTTAGATGAAACAATGTCAGAAGGACAAATGCCCTCGACTGATATACATATGTCTAGTGATTCTAGTGATATATCAGATGTTCAAATGAAGGATAATTCATCGGTGCCTGATGCCAGCATTGAAAGCACTCCTAATGCTACCAGTATTATCCCTACAAATACTGATACCACTGCTGCCTTATTGTCATCAAGCTCTAGTATCCCTGGAAACGCATATGTTAAGGATGATAAACAAAATGATGGAAATGTCAGTGTGAAAAAACAGAAAGAAGGCAGTCTAAAGGAGTGGAAAAGTGCTTCACAGGTATGTGAATATTAGCTCGTAGGTTAACAGTTAAGCGTTTTGTTCGTTGTCAGCTTTGAATTAACAACACTTGTTGTGTTTTGATAGAATATTGTGGATGAGATGCATCGGTGGTTTAGCGGTAGAATGCTCACTAAACACGCCACACGTGGACCGAGGTTCGATCCCCAGCCGACGCACTCCTAAGTTGGTAGTGGTAGTAAGACCAGTAAACAGGGTAGGTTAGGCGTAAGGTTGACAACCCCACCCCTCCCTGTAAAAATAAACGCAGTTGCTGCTGAAACTTTAAAGCTCAAGCTTCAAGACCTACGTTCCATTCGGAGCTCAAAGGGATCATTATTGTACAGTGTTGAATTCCCGTCAGTTAGGTGTCTGAAAAAAGGGTCTGAAAAACTCCTTGTAAGTTGGTATTTTACCTGTTCTTAAAGAAATGCCATCAAACTTATATGTTTGCACTTACATATTTTGAACTAACAAGTAGTTGTGTCTTAAAACTGAGCTTAGCTCATGATATGTGGTAGGCTGTGGGGAGCAAGAAGGCAGGTTTATGTTGAACCGAAAAGAAGATTCTAGAAGATTTGAACTCGGCAGATGATTTATGTTTGCTGTCACGAAAAACCCGGAAGCTTACAGGTGAAAGCCATCATGTTGGCAGAAGAAGCAGGCAGCAAAGACAGTAATTCCAGTGAATACAAAGAGAAGAAAGCGTTGATGAAGATATCCAACCAACAACAACAAGCATCAATCACCATCAATGGGGGGATTTGCAAGAAATCACCTCTTTCACTTTTCTAAGTTGCATCGCTTCAACTAAAGGTAGCGTGAATGAAGATGTCAAAGGCAGGATCGGGAAGGTGAGGCAGACCGCCTTTAATCGGAAATTAGTGTAGAAATCTTCTTTACTCAGTATCAGTAACAAGATTCAGATTTTCAGCACCAATGTCAAGTCAGACTGTGTATTTATATGGTTCAGACACTTGATACAAGTATCACTCAAAGTATTTCGAACAAGTTTCAGATTTTCATCAACAGCTACCTTCTCAGGCTCAATAATGAAGGTCAAATTATTAGCAACGAAGAAATCTGACAACGAACCAACGAAGGACATATAGCCCCGCAAGTATTTTGAAGGAAATAGCAATGGATTAGACAAGCACTAAAGAGACTGTTGACTGACACTGCTTGTTAGTCAGGCTTTTGAATGGAACGGGAACGGGAAACGATGAATTCAGCGTAGGTCCTAGTGTGACATAGTGGAGATCTTATGAGGAGTAGATGAGAGCTCATGGACAATCATGAAGCCTGGCCAAAGAGGACTGCGGAGAACAGGATGAAATGGAGGTGTAGGTTTGAAGCTCTATGTTCTACTCGGAACCCGAGTGAATAATAATATAATCATATCATGCTATTATCGTGTGAAATCCTATATATGTATTCAGTGATTGTATATCAAAGTCTATGTAAACAAAACTCTTCTTAGTTGTTTATTCTTTGATATAGATAATTAAAGGTTATTTTAGGAAGGTGAGACATAACATTAGCCCACACTCGTATTCTGTAACTGGAATTCATTTGATGTCAGGCAAACTATAGCAGAGCCGACATATGTGGAAATCTGATCCGCTGCTCACTAAAGACTGACTACAAGGAGGTCCAGTATAAACTGGATGTAAGTCGGAATAATCTCCGAAGTTACTGGATGGCTGTAGCGCTGCATTTTGGAATCGTCATAGGCTAGACTTCATGAGGCAATAGATAAATGGCAGTGTTTTCTGCTTGTAACTTGAAATGTTTTGGGCTCCTTCTAGAAAACCCCAGAGCGTTAACTGCGATCGAACAATTAATCAAATGTTTGAGTTGTGCGTAAAATTCAAAAACACAGGAATTGTCTAAAGTATGCTACGGCTGAATGCCGTCATTCAGCAAAAACACCAAAGCTGTGTCAAGGGTAATCCAAGGTCAGATTAAGAAGCACTCGAATATCTAGATAAAGAATAAAGAAACTAGAATAAACCAAGTTCAACAGAAATTGGAATATAAATAAAGCTCAATTTTCCTTAAGTTTGGGGAAGCCAAACGCTTCAAACCTAATTTATGTGTTCAGAAAGAAGCAGTTATCAGTGGATCTCTTTACTATCTCTTCCATTTAATTACGAAATCTTTGGTTTTAAACTCACCCCCATTTGATATAATGTAATTTCACGCATCTCTTATTTCTACTATTTCAGCTGAACTCATTACATTGTTACTCACTTTGTTAGCTATTCATCTTTATTACGTAACGCCTTTACCATTGCATGTATACACTGATTTTTGAACTCTCTGGGTAAAAACTACGCAAATGTAATTTTCTGAGCACTTTTCGTTAAGTTTGTAAACTCCTGTCAACTTACATGATGTAAAACTTGCAAGCGTGTTAAAAGTGTTCCCTACATAAACTGAATAATTTATTCTGGCTGTAAACAGCTGATGAAAAGTCAACGAAATAAACAATGATGGGTGACTCTAAACTTTAGCAGCCCAAACCGAAACTACCTTACAAACGGACAAATGACCTTGACAAGGACAACTTTAACCAATCAGACGGCTTAAAATGAACGGTGCATAATTTTAATAAATCGTTTATATACAAGTAATGCAATGTTAAAAAATAGTTACAAAGGATAGCGTTCTCGTATATGTTGCAAAAAAACGTCCCAATTTGACATAGGAGTCTTTAAAGTCATGTTAAACCAAGTCCCATACATAAACTCGTCGAGATAACTGTAAATCATTAGATTTCTTGATCCGTTCACAGATCTTATCCGTCTTTTTGCGATGACTCCAGAAACTTTCAATGGAATTAGTATGAATTCCATTGAAAGGATTTATGAATCCGGTTGTATGGTTGACAACTCCGTGAATATAGCCAAGATTTGATAATTGACTGTAACTGCTCCACTCATCCGTATGTATAGTTGTTCCCGGCAGCACTAAACGTTGGATAATGGGCAACAATACATTTGCACTGCGATTAGGGTGGTGTCATATATGCCCAACACCCATTGTTGATTTGAAGTTATTCTCCCTCTAATATATTTCCTTTTTATTAACACACTCTCATCCACATGAACAGTAACACCAACTCCACCGAGTACTTGGGTCAGTCTGTTCATTTTCCACGACACCACGTCTCTGCAGTATTGGTACCACTGTACTGCAGAAACTTCTGACATTTCCGTCTCATATGTGGTTGCTGTTACTGGTCTTCTTAGAACCCAGTTGTGATACATCATCAGAATCTTCGTTAGAGGTAAATGAGATTTCGGGAAAGATGTATCTAAGGAATCTATAAACTAAAAAATAACGACATACCCTCTCGGACCGATTTTCTGCATCTGCACTCTCTGCAACGGTAAACATAACCGTTGATGCACCTCGTGTATCTTTGTATATGCATTACACCTCCGCACTGGCAAGTTTTCGACCTCGCTATCAGCCTGTTCTCTAAACAGTAATCAAAAACAAACTCTGGAGCGAATTTGCACCGCAAACGATGTACAGCATGCATTGCGAGTCAGCTGATTGCCTGCTCAAGGTCATTCTTCCGTTCTCAAGGTAGTTTCGTTTGGGCTGCTAAAGTTTAGAGTCACCCAATGATGGTACCATCATCTTATTCTGCACAAACTGTTGTGCTTGCTTTATTCAGATACCGTTTAACTGTACAGATGAAATAGATTATTGATACATTAAGCGTGGTAAACTTCAGTAGCAATCAACAGTTATGGTTACGGAGTAACAACAAATTAAAAATACATCAACTCATACTACTTACTATCGACAAGTAGTATAAAGCTGAACACATTGGGAAACAGTAATGAAGGATAGATAAGAAAGGCTTCTATTCACATTGCACTTCACGTTATCGGTGCGTATTCAAACTTGAACGAAACAGCCCTTCAGTTGCCAACTAGTTTTTAAAAAGTGTTCTCTGGGAAATACGATAACATGGCAAGAACTTTGGTTTATGTTTTTGACTGGTAGTTTCAGTTGAGCAAAAGTAAATAAGGAACACCTTCAGTGTGTGTGTGTGTGTGTATGTAAACGTAAGAAATTGTTGAAATTCACATCCACGGAAAAAGATAGCTTGTTTTGGTTTTCATTCATCTAAAGCATTCATTTCTGGGAAGATTTAGTTCCCTTCAAGCTGAAGATGTTTTTCTCTTTCTCTCTCTCCACTTTTTTCAGCCCAAGAATACAGAGTTGAACGCTGCAATACACGTCCTAAAGGTGAGTTTTTTGGCTTTCCTCTTTACTGCATATAGTGATTTTTGTCACTTTTTTATTTCACAATTTAAATTATTTTGACCTAATTCGCTTTTGTTATGTGTGGTTTATTCACGCTGTACAAGGAAACAAATATCAGCATGAAGTTGTCCTGGTGGATGGTAATCAGCAGTGGGATCCAAAATGAGAGAAATTAGTCCTATTTGGCACTTTTTGTCTGGATCTGCCTGGATTCTCATTGATTGATAGTATTTGTTTGATATACATAGACAAGCTTGGCGGCTTGATATGTTCTTTACAGTTCAGAATTCAATATGCACCTTTAAAGACAATTCATTTGAAAGACAGACCTTTTCTTCTTTGTCCGGCAGTTCTCCATTTTCCACAGTACAATTTCTATGTTTATCTCACATAACCGCTGAGTTTCCATGATAGCTGTTGACGTTTATTTTACAGTTTCACTTTATTATCGAGTAATAAGTCCCTTTTTTTGTAATCCTTATTAGGCTGATGAAGATGAAATTCTCTCACACTTTGGCATAGATCCAAGTCCAATGACTAAATCATCATTTTCAAATTCAACTCGACGACATACACTCCAATTCGCTACATCTCTGTTTCATAAACCGTCTCATCATCGTGATAATGCAGACAGTATAATGACAGCAAATAATGGCGAGGATGATGACGATGATGACGGTGATGATAATGATGTTGATGGTGACAAAGATGGTGATGGTAGCCGACAACCTGTACAGCCGAGTACAGCTTCAGCTACTACAGATACCACCAACTCCCGGGGAATGTCAGATCCAGCAGCTAATAGAGTGCATGAACAAAGTGATGTTGACAATAAGAATAAGAATAAGAATCAGGTGAATACGCCAACTGAGGGTAACAGTACAAAACGGTCTACAGTACGTCGTTTCCCGCGTCAAATAACACAACCACATCCAAATAGATTACAGTATAATCAAAATAATGCTGAAAATTCTGATCAAATGTTACGCGTAAGTTTATTCCAAGGGATATAATGTTGAATGTCAATTCTATTTCACTCACTGTCTATTTTTTACTTGATTAAAATTTTCTGTTATGAAGCTTAAACTGAAACAGAGTAAAGTATAACTAGTGTAACTTGAAATCGGTCAAGTCCCTGCAGACCGAAATTCGGGAATTAAAATAGTCCCTGACCCTAAACCTGACAATTTGCCTATAGACAGGGTAGGAGTACTTTAGACGCTGCAGCCGTCTTACACAACAGTATCGTCTCATCATTAGATAAAGGTGACAAATACGTCCGCTGCACGTTTCTCGACTTCACTTCTGCTTTCGACTCTGTACCTAGATGTCTCTTGCTAAATAAGCTCTCTATGATACAAACTGAGTCCTGGGTCACTAACTTGTTACATTCCTACTTCTCTAACAGAAAGCAGTACACCGTATACAAAGGTAAATCCTCCTCTGCTGTGCTCACTGAAGCTGGTGTCCCTCAATGTGCTGTACTCTCCTCACTTCTCTTTTCTTTCTTTCTACATGACTCACCATCTTCAGATGACTTTAATTTTGTCAAATATGCTGACGACCTGACAGTGTCTTTGCTTGTCAAATGTCAAAGTGACTGCTCTAAACTAAATGGTTTTTTATAAAAAATCAGCTAGTGTTGCAAGGAAAACGGTCTTACCTTAAACCCCTCCAAATGCCAAACAGTCAATTTCACCTTTAAGGCATAAATCTGACCTAAACAAATTGGTTAGCTCTCACGAGGTGTGCAACATAGGTGGGACTGAAATAGAAACCAAGGCGTCTTTCTATCTACTGATCTTTCCTGGTCGTCTCATATCTTGACGATTTCTAAGAAAATATTCCGTCTTACCTTCTGCATCAAAAAGTTAAGACATTCTGGTATAACCCAACTCTTAATCCTACAATTCGTTAACTCTCGCATTCTGCCTATTATTCTCTATTGTTCCCCCTTATAGTTTTTCCCGGGCTACTGAAGAAAGACTATAACATATTACGCAGGATGTTAAAGGTTGTCAGCAGGGTAAGCAACGTGCCACTTAACCAGCTTGTTAATATTCTGGTTGAAAGGCACATTGACTCATGTGAAAATTGGGCTAAATCCTTTTTATCTAACTCACACCACCCTCTTCACTCACAACTCTCCCCTTGCATCTCATCAGGCAAAACCAGAAGCCTATATAGAAAACGATATGCTCGCACTAGTAAGTACAAAAACTCAACCATACCCTACTTAGCTGGTGTTCTGTGCGATAAAGAAAGCATTAGGCGTGACACCTATAATTCATTAAATAGTCAGTAGTACAACTGGATCTCGTCTTTCCAACTAGTGTCATTTATAGGTACAACGTTTTGTTTTTTTTCCTTTTCTCTCTCTCCCTTTTTTCTATGTTATGTGCTGCTTAGTTTCTTTCTTCCACTTACGCCAGTAAATATGCTAGCATCTACTTTTCTAACACCTCCAAACACTGTTCAACTTTGGCTTTGTTACCGACATGCCAATATGTTGTTTTCATAATGAACTGAGATTTCCTTAATCTATGTAGTATTCTATTTATTGTTAATGTACTAACTGGATGCAGTACTGTAGTAAAAATGCTGAAAATTCCATTCTGTATCACAAGTACTGTCTTGGAATAAAGCAAATTATTATCATTATTAATGCTTTCTAGTGACCGACCACAGATTGAAGTTGTTTGTGGGGTTCTAGTTGATAGTGGTGACCAGCCCGGTACACCAGGTAGACTATAAGGACAGACAGTTGCCTGGGACATTGGCTGCCGGCAGCTCAATAAGTCGCGGACTGACAGGAGTTGGAATTCGTGGGCCAGCCATTGGAATATCTTTCTTGGTGGACCTCGTAGCTTGTAGGTTATTGGTTCGATCCCTAATGGGGTGGTGGATTGACATTATTGTATTGAAAGTATTGAAAACCAAGGAGTCCGTGTTTGGGACTGTTCAGCATTTGTCACCTATCACTCTTAGTGGGATCGGACCCTGAACCTGAAATGGGCTTATATATCGTCCCGCTACTGGGACGGAATTTAATGGCTGGCCCACAAACTTACACTTAAAAAAGTAAGCTTTTCCTTTATTTTCAAATTTGTAATAATGTCTTTCTTTTTAAATACATCTCTACGCACATCGCATATCAGAATCGTTTAGATTGGATGCCAAATACTTGGGAGACAACTCAATCAGAATTTAAAAAACCTCTTATGATTCAATCACAAAGACCATATTTAAATAAGATAAGTAAACAAAATGATCAAACGTTGACATCACTTGAACTTGGACAAGAGGCGGCTACAACTAGAATGCCAGCGATGGAAAGCACTACAGCGTCAACAACATCACAGCCACCTGTAGGCGAAACCCAAGATGGCAGTGTTACTCGTCGAAATGATCTACCCATTCTAATTGATCCAATGAAACAGACAACAGAATCGGAAACTATGCAAATAGTAGAAAATCTGCCAGTGGATTATAATATGAATATACCTTTGAACACCTTGAATATATCTTCGTCAAAATCAGAATATCCAAAAAATCCAAGTAATATTCTTTATTACGTTGAAATATTTGTTTTATTTCGGGTTGTTTTTGTTAAAACTGATTAAAGATGCTTAATAAAAATCCTAAATCACATTGAATCAATAAAATCCCAATAGAGTATCATTCAAATCAACATCTGAGTATCGGATAAATTAAGAAAAATAATAATACAGGATTTTATTTTGGAGGATTTCATCATGAGCTGACACCCAGCTAGAGAACCAATGGAAAACCACCTACGGAGTACTAGATAGCAGTCACGTTTGGGACTCTTCGGCAGTACACCCCCCCACCGCCAGGGTCCGAACCCAGGTCCTTCTTGTTAAAAGGCTAGCAACCTTGTAGACCATTAAGCCACTGGGACCAGATCCAGAGGCTTGATAATACAGGATTTATTGACCTATAGATTCGACAGTATGCTGGGGTAAATGTGATACTTTAACCTGTTTATTTTCCAAGCTGAGTCGTGGTTGTTTTAAGCTAATTGCAATAGCGTTTGATGTCTGGAGTATCCGGTACCTAGAGGCCTTCCTCAATTTATCTGATAACCGACAGATGATAGAAAAAGATTCTTCAATACTAGCTTTATGGCCTGTTTGAACAAAGTGCTCCAGTATCGAACTGTTGATAATGATTTTTACTACGCCTTTATTTAGTCACCCTGATAAGATATATTCCCGAGCACGAAAAACTAGGTTCCTAGGACAACAACTCATATAACTGGCTCCATATGAGCAAGTGAATTGATAGATACGAGAAGAAGCGGCTATTCTAGTTACTCTCTCTTTTAGTTGAAGGATCACAACCCGTAGTTCGTAAAACGTGAGCTGAAACCAATCGATATTTCGACGAAAGTCATGCAAGATCAGATTGTCTCAATAGCTGGTGCACAAATGCTTTGTGAACTTCTAGATTTTTCTTCTCCTCTGGATGTTTATCTCTTTTTGTTATTTTTCTGTGAGAAATGTTTGCATATCGTAGTGTTCAGTAGAACAATATGTTGTTTATCTGAAAGTGGCTGGCTGCATTTGTATCACGATGATGCCAATGTCTTTTACCTATAACAACCCACAATTTCGTGTTTCGTGTGTTTTACACTTTTCCAGTCACCTGCTAAGTTCCTTTATTTTCGCGTCTAAGTTACTCCACAGCATCCTAATATATCCCATTGTAAATATGGTTATTTAAGGTAGAACGCCTTCCAAGTAAGCCACTGTCATTGTCTTTGTAGTAGTTTATGACTATGATGGAACCTACGACTGAGCATTGCAGGGCTGATTTGTACAGCTGTAATTAGAACATTTAAGTAAAACTTGATAGTGTGAAATATACTTTAATCACATGAATTAAAAGTCAACCTGAAAGAGGAATATTCTCTGCAATAAATTCCCTTCTTCAGTATAATATTTGTCATCGTTACAATAATGATCAGTTATTTGTCGGATACATTTTAAGTAGAATAATAAACTAGTAATTATAGGATGACAAAATGAATAGTATTCGTGAGTTTGTGTGCGTATGTGACAAAAGTTCTGGACTGAATTCATTTACAAAATATTTTGAAGTATGAGACAATGACAATGCTGATTAGTCATAATTAATTAATTCATACAATATAATGGGAAGGAAAATTGACGAACAAATGTCTAATTCTTGTTTCATAATCAAATTTATAGACAGGTTGGTGCAATGATTATGGAATCACCACTAGATCCTTTGTTTGCGAACATATTTCTAGCAAAACTAGAAAATCATCCGATGTAAGCTGAAATAGTAAAAAATGGAAATGTATTGTCGTTACATGGATAATATTTTTGTAATGTGAGATGAGAGTCATGTCACATATTGATTATTTTATGATTAAGTTACCAATGCACTCTTGCTGGCTCCTCTTCTATGCCTACTACTCTGTACCAGCCACTCACCCCAGACACCTTCTACAACCTTGAACTGACTTGTCAATTTTCCTTCCCCATAATTGTATGAATGAATCAATTATGATGAATAATCATCTTCATTGTCCTACATTTTTCACAATATTTTGCAATCGCATTCAGACGAGCACATTCGTCACGCAAATACTACTATATGTCTTGTCACCCAATAACTAATCTGTTATTCTACATAACAGTGTATTCGTCACTAAAGTGGCTATTATTGTAACGATAGAATAAATATTATATTTTACAATTGTAAGAACCTGAAGAGGGGAATTCATTGAAAAGAATATTCTTCGTTGAGATCGACATTTGAGTCAGTCGATAAACCTTATTAAATCCACCTTTTATTTCATCAGAGATCTAACTAGGAAATAAACAGCAGAATGGTTAAGCTCAAATCTGAACAGTTGGTTGTTGTGTGAGTGATATCCAAGTACTCATCTTCGTCAATCAGCAGTATACAGCTTTGTAAAACCTGCACTTAAACACTACTCAGTGTCAAATTCTTACAACGGTTAAATATACCTTGCCTCTGATTAACCTTTGATACTACTTGTTTAACTGCCTGATATTATGGTGATCAGTGTTCTTCAAAACTTGATATACATCTTCTATCATTATATCTGTATATTTCTACTACTACAAGCATTTTTGTATTCAGCGCGGAATATAGTCTTCAAGCTTTGAAATTCCAATAGCGGTGATATTCGTTTACAGGTTGGAGCTAATAGTCTCACACCTTATCTCCTCTCTTTTCTGGGATTACCAACGGTCGGTAAATTAGGCAAGGTTTAGGAATGTCAGGGTTGGAATCCTGACCACTTTCGTGTGTGGTGACAATTCTACCACTGGACCAAAGGTACAATAAATTTCTACTACATAGTATCAACTGAAGAACTAATGAAAACCATGTAAATTTGAGGGCCTTTTTATATTATTATTATTGTTCACTTGGGTTCCGAATGGAACATAGGGCTTCAACAACACATCTCCACTTTCTTCTGTTTACTGTTATCCTCTTCGGCTAGCTACCTCCACGATTGCCCATAATCTCTCACCAGTTCCTCACCCGATCTCCTCTATGGCATCCTAGGACGATCCACTTGAGAGCTTCCCTGGCGCGCCATGTCATTCGACGGTCTTCTCAATGTATGCCCGATCCATCTTCACTTTCTCTTGCATATGTGTTGAGCGATCGGCTCTTGGTTGGTTTGCTCCATTGCAGATTTTCTTGTTACTTATTCTTTCTGGCCATTTGATCTTCAGTTTGGAGCCAGGTAAAGAAGGCAGTTGTTGATGAAAGTCTGCAAAAGGCTGTTGGAAATGCTTTCCGTGACACGCAGTGCAAGTTTCTGACCCGTATAGAAGGATCGACTTGATATTTCTTTTGAAAATCCGAATCTTGTTCCTTATGCTGAGTGTAGAAGATTTCCAAATCGGTTTCAGGTTGATGAAGGCGTATACACATATATACACTTTCAGATGGTAAAACACGTGTCCAGTGTTGGAAAGTCAGAGTTGGTCAACGATTAAAGAAAAAGTGGTTCATACTAACATTAATGCTCTATGTTCAAGTTCAGTTACTTTTTCCTGCAATTAACTCTGCAGCTTTTGTTCGCCATATCAAAAGGAAAGGCTTGATGGCATTTCTGATAACATTTTCAATCTGAAAATAACTCAAACTTACACTTTCATTTTTGTTTTGTTTTTTTTCATTTTTTTATCAGTTGAATGTTCATATATGCCCACATCAAGAAGTCAACTAGTCCCGTCACAGTTAACCAATCTACAAAGCAATCCACGCGATGCACTATTGGATCGTATTCCAGAACAGATTTCAGTTGATATGAATATTGATCCTAATAAAACAATAATAACAGCTACAACAACAGATGTAAGTGTTTAAGTTGAAATAACTTTTAAAAAATGTTTCTACAAGAAATAATTATTCTTCAGAATTCATGTTTCTTAGTATCAGTGAAAGTGTGTGACTCTAATGCTCTTTCAAATTGATGCCTTTCATCTTCTATGAGTCATCGTCTCATGGTTTGTGATAGGGGTTAGGATACTTACTACCCAGACAGAAGCTGGTGGTTGCATGAAGGAGTTAAGGCACCCCCCCCTCTCGAGCCTTTGATTTAAAGACTAATCCACAAGACAGCTCAGAAATGTTGGGAGCGGCGTTCTCATGGTTTTTGGTGACCAAAAAAGGTTCAAACACCATTCGATCCTTTTGGATTCCAGAACGTATGTGCATAAGGTAGGTTTGTAATCTGGGTTTTACAGCCCCCTTAGATAGACCAGCAAGTCCGCCAGTTGAGTTGATAGTACCAGACGTTTGCATTCGCCTTATCATCTCCTTGAGGAATGCACTCGCTGCGCAAAGGAACAGAAAAATGAAATGTGTATTCATACTTTCTTAACAAATTGAATTTGGCTTTCATTAGCTTATGTTAACTAAGTGAGTAGAAGAAATGAAGAAAATACAGCATGACCGCTTTTGATCTCGGTTTTGAGTTATGTTTGTTAACTTCTTGAACCTAGAGAGTTGTAACGCACCAACAGACGCTATTGTAGCGTATCTACCACTCACACTGCAGTATTGCATCATCTGGTCACTACCTCCCCTAATTTTCCTATCAGCCATAAGGCTAGAGAATGGTATGAAAACCTCCAGAATACATTCATGGAATATACATCCAAGCCATGGAAGCTGGTGCCCCAAGGTGACGTTTTCTACCAAAAGACAACCTGGTCAGTAAGTTGTCTTTTAGTCCAGACATGCAGATAAATTGAGTCGCCACGGGACGCACATAATCCTGAGGAGATAAAGGTAGCTAAATACATCTCAGGAATGTCATGTTTTTTTTAAAGCGCTAAGCAAAATTCCCAGGCTGTGAAGTACAGCTCTGGTGAGAGCTGCCTGCTAGCCAAAGTTGGTAGACAGTAATTGACGTCAATGTTTATGTCCCGAATATTGGTGGTGAGAAAATGAGAACAAAGGCTTTCCGTAGGCGGATACAGTTAGCATATGGATGATCTGACACAGCCACAAAGAGATGCAAGGTTAACTTTCTGTGAGAAAAAACCAATCAACAGACTGTATTTTCTACTAACAATAATCTACAATAATGTACATTAAAATATAAAAAAATATGTGTTGATTTTCCTTAATAAACAATCTGTTGCCTGGCCCTTGTCTTCTGTTGTTACACAGTATCCGTATTTTATTTTTTATTTATATGTGAGACTGTGTGGTTATTATATTGTTAAGGAGCTTCTGTTTATGGTTAACCGGGGGGTAACTGCTAAGCTAAGTAATTAACACCTAGTTTACCATCATGGAAAAAGAAGGATGGTTGGCCTTGGGGCCAGCAATCCTACCCCTGGAAATCAGAAACTTCTAACCAATCATCATCAGTAAAATGATCCGGATCTTGAACATTAATATCATATCAGTCGGTGCTTCTACACAGTTTGAAGAATCGGCACACAAGTCATCGGGAAGCATTTTCAACAGGGTACCTCAGACTGTCATCAACAAATGTTTCCTCCGCTCATTACTGAAGATCAGATGACCGGTCAAAAAGAGTGAGCAACAAGAAATTCAGGAATGAATTAACCAAGAACATGTCGCCTAGCAAATATACAGGAAGGATTGGAGATGGATTCTGTCAAATCGATAATCGGGAAGGCGAGAAACACATTCATCAACCTGAAACCAATCTGGAAATCTTCATCAGTCAACATCAACAACAAAATTCGGATTTTCAATACAAACGTCAAGTCAGTTCTTCTATACGTAAGGATCAGAAACTTGGCGGGTCACAAAGAATATTTCCAACAGCCTGTTACAGACCTTTATCAACAGCTGTCTTCTTTCTATACTGAAGATCAGATGTCCGGAAAGAATCACCAACAAGAAACTATGGGAACAAACCAAACAAGAACCAATCGCCAACCAACAAATATGCAGGAGAAAGTGGAGATGGATTGGACACTCGATGAGGAGGCCGTTGGGTGACATCGCGCGTCAGGCCCTCGAGTGGAACCCGAAAGTGAAGCAGCGAGTGGGACGTGCAAGGGTGACATGGAGGAGATTGTATGAAGAGTAATTGAAACGGTATGGATTAACATGGACGCAGGTGGAAAGTACAGCAGAAGACAGAAACAAGTGGAGACGTGCAGTTGAAGCCCTATGTTCCACTAGGAACCCAAGGGAACAATAATAATAAATTGGAGATGGACTGGACATACGCCATAGAGACCACTAAGTAACATCGCTGGAGTAGAACCCGAAATGTAAACGACACGTATTTTCGATTGTAAAATGGATGAGATCGTGTGAAAAGGATATGTAAGCTTATGTGCAGTCGTGCAGCCGAGTTAAAAACGACTTCAGGAGACAGTATGAGATGGAGATGTTCTATTGAAGCCTTATGTTTCTCTAAAAACCTAAGGGATTAATAATAATAATATTGCATCGAAAGTTTTCCAACCAACAGTACTGTTGGAGTACGTCATTATAAAAAAAAACAGAAAATAAAGGAAATCTATTTCTTTCCTTTCACTAGCGATACACATTATAATCTTGATAAAATATTTTTGTTTATTTTATTTAACCCAACAGAATACAGCGCATATTCCGATTGAAAAATCTTCAATGTTAGAAGAGCCCTGTTGGTCTGCTGCACACGATGAAGATGAAGATGAAAATGCATGTGATCCTGCAGCTGGTGTATTGCGTACACTACTTCCCCAGCTTAATCTACCGGCTAATTTACCAGCTATGATTCATCAACCTGTTGCATGTTTCACTGTTAAAGATCCAAATTTGTTAGCACCACCGGAATTTATGACTCCGCGTAAGTCAACTTTACTACGCACTAATTATTTTCCCAAGAGTTAGTTGATAGGGATATCAGTTAGAAAACCATTGAAAAGCCTGAACTGAACAGTTGTTTCGCCCCAGTGTGAGGCTCCTCATCAGTGCGCATGCACTGGGGTTCGAACCCAAGACCTTCCGGTCAACCCCATCGGGAGTGAGGACCAGCAGTTGCCGATCGCATTGTATGACGGTTGCACTGAAGTCACGAATCGGTAGAATTTACAATTCATGAGCCATCGAGTTGGGCCCCAGTATCCGAATGGTACACGAGGTTGTCTTGTAACCGGAAGTCCCCGGGCGCGCGCTGCCGATGAGTCCCATACTAGGATGAAATACCGGTTCGATTTTCCTGGATTTTCAGTGGTTCTCTAACTGATATCATTCCATGGTCAAACACTAAATATTTCCTTTAAAATTTGAAAATTTAGAGGATGGATCTAGTTCTGAACCCTATGGAAGGAATTGTCATCTATTGTAAGGTCGTGAAACTTTATGAATAAATAGATCCAATGAAAAAATTCATAATCGTACGGTTAAACAGCGTTATCTCGTTACTTTCAAGGACATCGAGTTTCAACTGTATTCATCGGCATTGCAGGGTTTGTTACATGGTTAAGATTGACTTTCTTACATGTCATTATTTGACACTATTTATGCGTTGGATTTTTTTTTATGAATTTCATCATTTCCCTCATACTCCAGTCAGAGCAATGCAGCGTGAAAGGTAATATCTCGTTGTACCCAACTTGTCCTACCCACTTCATTTTTAATTTTCATATGCAGCATAGAAAAGATGGTCCTTGTGTATGTCCTGTTGGCAAGTATTAACCGATGTTTTACATTTGCTTTTCTATAATCAGAAATCCCCATGGGATTTAATAGAACTAAACCCAAAACCACTTTGTCTCATTTTTTGTAAATAAGAATCAGCATAAATTAATCTGTCTTATGTAGTCGATCCAGAATGCATTCAAGACAAATAAACGTTTACTTTTCATGTTTGTACAAGTCTTCACCCCCTTTACAATTCCTTTTTACTTGAGAATGCTGACACTTCAGTCATATTATATTATTCAAGTGTTGGTTTGTAGGGATTTGATTGGTTTCTGGATTTCATTATGAACTCCTATTGGTTAGAAGACCATTGGTAAACCACCAAGGAGTACTGGGCAGCTGTTTCGTTTTTAGTTTGGGACTCTTCAGCATTATGCATCACTGAGATTCGAACCCAAGGCTACCTACCTGTCTCTAGTGAGCATCGAACTGATATTCAAGTGTTAGTTTGCAGGGATCTGATTACTTTCAGGATTTCATCACTAAGTGACATCGCTATTAGTTTCACTATATCGTGAATTGACAGAGGTTGGGATTCAAGGACCACTGGATCGAGTCCCCGTAGCTGAATGGTCTGTGGGCTCGCCTTGTAATCTACAGGTCCTGGTTTCAAACCTCAAAATATATTAGTATTCTCTTCTGTTCCAATTGGAACAAATAGCTTCAGTTGCACACTTTCAGTTTCATCTCGTTCTTTGCACTCCTCTCTAGCTGGATGCACGATTGTCCATAAGCTTTAATTTCTCCTCACATGATCTTCTCCATGTCATATTTGGACCAATGTCTAGCCTGTCGTTTCCAATCTGGATACCAATGGATGACTAACATGACGCGTCGCACTCAAAGTCTCTTCAGAGTGTGTCCGAACCATCTTTATTTCCTTCTGTATATGTGACGGTCGGACAGTAGATGCTTCGATGGCTCGTTGCAAGAGTTACTCGTTACTCATCTTTTCTGGCTATCTGATATTCACTATCAGGAGAAGGCAGCTAACGCTGAAAGTCTTCAGTCTGTTAGAAGTGCTTTTGGTGGAGCGCGCATACAAAAGCCTATGAACCATATACAAGCGCTGACTGACTTGATATTAGTTTTGAAAATCCGAATTTTTATTCTTCACGCTGACTGAAGTAGATTTCCACACTAATTTCTGGGTAATTCAGGTCTGCTTTGCTTTTCTCATCCTGAAATCCTTATCTGTACTGCCTGTAGTTGAAACGATGTTGTATAGATAGATAAAAGAAATGACCTCTGTCAAAACTCTCCCGCTGATAGTTTCATTCTTGTTGCTTTGTTGTTGTCGGTGTTGGTTTTCGGTTATCTTCAACATCCCTATCTTTTTTCTATGTTCACTTGAAGTCCTATCTTGTCTTCTTTTTTCTGCCGTGCTTTAAACAGCAGCATGGTTTGAAAAAGTCTGAATTTTCTCAACAACAAAGGAAACCCTTATAACTTTTAATTTTGCCGTTCCCTACTCACACTTCAATGATTGTATGCATTCCACGTTAAGCAATATTTAATAAACTCATATACTAGTTTAGAAGTTTTTTCAGCGCTGAATACTTTAAATGAAGCAGCCAACATATAAAGTCAATTCACCTAACATTACACGCACTATTCAGTCTTCTTGTAAATCCCAATCGCCTTCCTTGGATACAGTGGAATCATTTACTTGGTTGCTGATTGAGACTTCTCCCGCCCCAAATAACCGGAAATATTTACCCTAAGGCTGCCTTCACTTTATTACTGTTGTTTTTTGATAACTATGTTTGGTCTTGGTCACTGAGTCACTTGTTAGTTAGCGTATCTAGTCATATCTGACGAGTTCTCAATAAGTTCATCATAAATACTCTCCAGAATCATCTGAATTGTATACTGACTACTAGCTGATAGGTATGCTGATAACACGTAGAGAACAAAAATTACCCTTTGAGAGCTAGTGTGATGTAGTCTTAGCGGACATCTTAGTATTTCAAAATACGCAAGTTGTTAGCGAACCTTTATCCTAACTGTTAATGAACACTCATTCGATACAGGGCAAATATATTCATACTTACATAGGAAAGGTACTAACCTACTTTTAAGCTGTTGACGATAACATAACTATTGTTATTGTTTCATAAGATTAACCTGGATTTCTTTTTATTTCACAATTTAGACAGTTCTAGCTTTCCTCGAAGATCATCTGATGGTGCAGCTGATTTACAACCACTCCATCGACCTGTTATCACTGTTGGTGGTAGTTATCCTGAACAAGCGAATTATCGTAAAGAGGTATGTAATATTCCCTTATGATGTTTTCTATTATTTTGTGCCCCGAGTGGAAAATAGGAAGGACTTCGAGCTTTAGCATGAAGTATCAGTAGTATTGATGCTGCTTTACACCGTGAGTTTCCTGGTCTCACACCCAACTTCCCCTCTTCACTGAGGTTGCTATCAGCTAAGCAAGGTTTAGAAGTGTGTCGGCCGAGTGTCGAACTCCGGATCACATGCGTAGTTGACGAGCATTCTACGGCTGCACCGCTGACGCTGATTTCCTTATGATACTAGGCTTTAATAAACCACACATTCGGAAAATAAGCATGTAAAGGTACAGTAGAAAAAAGAAAACCTCATTCAAAAGCTGTATGACAGTGACATGTGTCAGGTGATCCACAACGGGGAACGCAGCCAGGAGTAAAACAATTGCAGGCAGATAAGACAGGATTTAACTGCAAGTAAAGGAGACGGATGTGATGAAGATAAACAACCAATGACAACAGCCAGCACCAGTTACTATCGACGGAAGAAATATGAAGGAGGTTATTCTCTTCACTTATCCAGGAAGCATCCTTTCAACCACAGCTGGTGAGACAAATGAAGATGTCGTAACCAGAATCGGCATATGTGAGGTTCACCTTCATCACTCTGAAATCAGTTTTTTGGAAGACTTCTGCACTTAGCACAAACAAAAAAATCTGCAATTAAGTGTTAAGTTAGTCAGTTCTTCCAAATGGGTCAGAGACCTAGTACGCGCGTCAGGAAGTGCATTTCCAACAGACTACTTCAGACTTCTATCAAGAGATGCCCAGTTCGCTGGCTCCATACTGAAGGACGGATGGCCGGTTAGAAAGAATTAGCATCGAGAAACTCTGGCTGGGAACAAACCAGCCAAGAATGTACTGCTCGACAAATATTCCGAAGAAAATCGAGATGGATAGTACACACGCTGAGGGGACCGTTGGATGATATCGCCCGCCAAGAAAATCCCTGAATAAGAAACTAGGAGTTGGTCGCGTGGCTGACGGTGATATCAAGGCGGTCATGTGAAGAGCACACAAGAGTCTATGAGCAGTCATGGGGCCAGAGAATAGGACAAAGTGAAGGTGAGCTGTTGAAGCTGTATAATCCACTGCGAATGCTAAGGAATGATAATAGTAATAAGTTTTCAACAGAATGGTTATTGAACAAAGAATATTCTTTTCGATATGCCGTCTTCATCAAGTTCTTCAGTTATATATACATAATAGTGAATGAATTAGTATTATGAAGAACATTAATGTTGTTTAGATAACATCGAATCGGTAATATCAATAGATTACAGTTCAACAACATTAACGTAACAATTAGCTGAATGTCAGAAAAATTAGGATACATAATAACACAAAATCATGAGTGTATAGTCACCATTGAAGGCCAGGGCAGTAGTAGCGGCCAGCTGGCCTGGCTTCTTCTGCACACAAAGCACTGGTTGTTCCACGAGAATCCCGATAGCCTCTGCTGTTTGCAGCATGCGGTACCTCGATGTTTCTGGCAATTTATTCGGTACCTGGTAGATGTTAGAGAAGGACTGTTCAACGCTGGCTTTGTGGCCGGTTTGGACCAGGTGGTCTAATATCCAACTGTTGATGGTTTTTACTACACCTTTACTTAGCCATACTGGTACATATTCCCGAGAGAGCACGAAAAATCAAGCTCCTATAGCAACGGTCGATATAAGTTGCTCCACAAGCGCAGTTGAATTGATGGATGCAACTGGAAGTGGCTAGTTAGTCTAGGTACTTCATCTTTTAACTGAGGAATCACCATTGGTCGTGTAGAAAGTAAGATGTGTAGTTTGCCAACATTAAAAGTTCTCTGAATTGATTTTCTTAATTTCTTCGTTATTATTTCGCTGGGCATATCGCCCTTGAATTTTAGTCGTATGTATAAAGGCTTCTTGTTTACGGATAATGAGAAGACCTTTCCTGCTTTCTTTGTCCTGTGTTTCTTGATAAATTTGTCGGCATAGCTATTTTCAATCAAGATATCATATACAATGCTTAGTTCATCTTCACTTACTCCTTCTGAGCATATAGCTGTAACCCTGTGGCTGACGGTCTTTACTAAATTTCTTTTGTACTGGAGAATGTGTATATTGTCCTGTCCATGTGCTTTTCCTATGCAAATTTCTCTTTATACTACCATCTGGTTTTCTTGTAAGGAGGACATCCAGGAAGGAGATTTTTTTTGGGATTCTTCTTCGCACGTGAATTTCATAGCAGAATGTACTTCATTGAATTGAGTTATTATTGTGTTCCTATCCGAATGATTATCACAAAGAATAAAAGTGTCATCCATATACCGACAATAAAATGAGAATTTTCTGATAAGGGGTTATTCAAAAGTTCATTTTCTAGTTTACTTAGAAAGAAATCTGCCAAAATTAAAGAAAAACAAAAACTTAAAGAAATATTTTTAGACAGTTAGAAAATCAACTAATTTAGTTACCCAGACGAAAATATTTTAGTTGATATATATGAATGTTCAACTTACTTTCTTGTGTGCTTACAATACCTTTGTGTTTTGAACAGATTGTTTGTTTATCAGTTCTTTAAAATTCTCCTCACAAATACCTTTTGGTTCTTTTTGTCGAATCCTCACAGAGTTCTGGTGCCGAAAGTGAAAACTCCTCTTTAGCTGTAATCAATCCTGTACGTGCATCTAGACCCGAATCAACAGAAGCAGCATCACCGTCTGTAAATCTGCCTAATCTATCCGATTGGGTGAGAACATCTCGACCAATGTATGATAAGATACCCTCCAGTGATTATGATCCTTTAAAGCCGTCAGTATCATCATCATCATCATCATCCTCGTCAGCATTTACACCAGTGGCAACAACAACACCAACAACACCAGGCCAACAAACACATGAATCACGTTCACGATCATTAGCTGCTCAACAGCGGTCTTTATTCACTGCCCTCCATTCGCATAGAAGACGTCTCCCTCTGGGTTTATGGTGGAAACTTACACATAAAAAATTTAATCAAACTGGTGAAGAGTTTAGAAATGAGTTGTGGAAAGCTCAGTTTATTCGACATCAGAAACGCTTTAGTTTACCAGTGAATTGTGGACCGGTGAGACGACCTTCAGGTAAGTAACTATGCGAGGTAATTTGTATATATGCATGCATATATACGACTGTACAGCTCGACAATAAATTCATATTAACTCTGATCAAGATTTGACCGAACAGTTTCAAAATAATTGCACGCCGAATGGGAAGTAGACACATGCATAAATTATATTCGCAAAATCTCAGCGAAATTGAAATGAGTAATTTCAACGTTTTCTGCGTTCGGAAAACTGGTCCGAATTTCTTCAGGGAAACTAATCGAAATTAACATTTTTTTATTCCTTCACGTTCGCAGTGGAGCATAGGGCTTCAAGCTAGTTGCTTGAAGTTTCTGTAGCAGTGGTGCGTATTTTTACAGGATGAAGTTGCTAGCTTCATGCCCAACCTTCCCTCTTTACCAGTCTTACTACTGACTTAGCGAGGTAAAGGAGTGCGCCGACCGGGAATGGAACCCCGGGTCACATGCATTCTACCGATGTGCCACAGAAGCACAGAAATTAACCTAACAGGGGTTTATACATAAAAAGGACATCTCTTGTTTAAAAAACTTTGTCTGATCATATAAGTCATGAAACATGTATAATAAAACAAAATTGTATGAGCCGTGATCGAAATTTGACCTCAAACTTTCAAATACTAGTTTACTTTTGTTAAACACTATAAACTGAGTGTACTTTTCATCAAAATTTTAGTGATTACGTTCGACTGAAAGTTCATCGTCGTAGAAATGTGAATGTGAATGCGTATGAATGTGAAAATATATGCGTATATGCAGTATACGTTGGTTTGTGTATGTGTGTACGGGTAAACAGTTGTAAAACATTTGCTAGCCTCTCCATAAGAAGATATAGACAATCGGGAATTTAGATCAAGCATGGTTGATTAGTGATACATATCCATTTTTATTTATTAATCAGGATTTGCCATGCATCAGCTAACATCACACCTTCACGTCTGTTCAAACTTCTAGGATTCACCCACAAATGTAAGGCTTCTGCAGTCAGTCTTTCTTTATACAAACCAAAACCGTTCTGTAGAACCTTAGTCCTATCAAAGTCGACCTTGTGTCCCTTTCTATCGATTGCAGTGCAATCGCTGATCTGTTTTCTAGTTTCTTCAAGGTCTTCGGAACCACCTTTAAATATTGTTTATGCTCCTTTACTGTTGTATTTACCTGTCTGGAAGTTTCTCCTAGATATACGGCGTCAAAATCTCCACAGTTGATCTGGTACACACAATCCTGTTGGTTGTCTTCTTCTATTTTATCCTTAACCTTCACCAGTGATGAGGAACGGAAGGTGTTAGTTGCACAAAAATACACTCTTATGTCATGATTATTGAAGCTTCGCTCTGTCTCTTGTCTACAGTTACTTTGGTGGTTAGGGGATGTGCTAAATAGTAGTCTAAGTACCTATCTGAACTTGTCAGCTTTCTGAAGATGTTTATTTTAAGTTGATCATCTGGTTGTCTTTTTAATGAATAGTCTCTTCGCTGAATAGCGTGTTTTTAATGTAACAGAGTCTTAAACTAGGCTGACGAAACAACTGTGCAGTACTCCTAGGTATTGCAGTGGTTCTGTAAATGATGTCAGCTCATGATGAAATCCTCCAACCAATTATTAAATATCTCTGAAATAACAGCTAGAATACTGAAACCGTTTGATGTAGATATACCACACAAGCCAGTCAAATCGCTTAATTCGATATTATGCAAACCGAAAGATCCAAAAGAAAAAGGAGATAAAATTAATACCATTTACAAAATAAATTGTATGAACTGTAACAAGCATTACATCGGGCGAAATGGGCGTCCCCTTCGAATTAGAATCCAAGAACACAAATCAGCCGTGAAAAGACACGATATATACTCTTTAGTATCAATGCATATAGACAATTATGGACATCAATTTGATTGGGATAATGTCAAAATCTTAGACAGAGGAAACACCGAAAGTGCAGTCAGGGAATTCCTAGAAGCCTTGTACTCAAACGAAAATGCAATTAACAAACACGTTAATATAGGTGAAATATACCAACTAATAAAAAGTAAATCAGGTGACCAGAAAGTTTAAAATTCAAGTCAATAGAAAATGGTCAATACATATGTAAAGATGGTTACCAGGAGACGCAATTATATACTCATTTTTTCTTATTCCTTCACGTTCGGAGTGGAACATAGGGCTTCAAGCTATAGGCCTGAAAATTTCTTTAGCAGTGTTAATTTTTACAGGATGGGCTTGCTAGCCTCATGTCCTACCTTTCCTCTTCACCAGTTATATTACTTGCATAGCGAAGTAAAGGAGTGCACCGGCCGGGGATCGAACCCCGTACCATATGCATGGTTGGCGAGAGTCCCAACCGCTATGCCACCGACGCACATATCACTCATGAAGAAATATAAATCATTCCACTTGATACTAAATATTGCGCTGAAGATGTTGTCCAGAAGGAAGACGAAAGCTCCACAACTAAAGCAGCCAGCTCAGAGAACACTAATAATTGCAATTATTAAATTATTTGAAAAAAATGTTGAAATACCCTACTAGCTTAATTTCAACAAACACCAACCTATCTTTCCCAATATTAGAAAGCAACTTAATTTTCGTTTATATTCGTTTTTAGCAAATCAACACTTTAAATAATTCTTATTGCGTTTTAGACACCGTGAAAACAGAGCTACAGTGTAGATGTCATCAACCGTTAACTCCAGAGTTATTACAAGAAATTCAACGAAAATTACGCGACACCTCATGGATACAAAAACTGAACAATACAGAAAGCGCAGAAGTCAAGTGTTCAACTATTTCTACCAGTACTGCTGAAAATGTGCCAGAGATATATCGTCGTGGAAGTGAAGCTAGTCAGTTGACAGCCTGGGAACAACGATTAAGACAAGTTAGTTAGTTAATTAGTTTATATTAAAGTTTACTAGTAACAGTTAACCCTGGACGGTTGCCATTAAAGTCTCCTTTTGCTTTTGTATGAGTCCCAACTTAAGCGGAAGCTCACTGTTATTCAATCTCATTTCTCATCTTTTATTTTATTAAGTTTTCATAGTCAATTTTGTACTCATTCGATGCGTTCCGAGTGTTGGCTTCAAGCTACAAACTTTGAAGTCTCAGTGTTGTGGCTTCTATAGAGTGGGGTTCATAGCGGCACCCGCCAACACTGCATCTTTTATGAACTGACTATCGGCTAGCGAATAAGGTGAGGTTTAAATATGCACTGGCCAGGAATGTGAACCAGGACCAGATGGGTGTTTGGCGAGCATTCCAACACTGGGCCACTGTTGCGTTTGTTGAATATTAACAGAAAAATGCGCTGTGCAGTTGACACCAAAATCATTTTCCTCCTTCCCAACTGTCAAGCGTAGGTCAAGATGTCGTGTCAATCTCTTTCTTTGTCTTCCTTTTTTCAATGGAATCCAAAAGGATCAGAAGTATTATTCATGCTAACGACACATTCATGTTAGATGACAGAACTAGTCAGTTTTAAATGACCATTTATCTTCTTTTTCATGTTATATGTTCCAGTCTAGCAATGATCATGACTAATATTTTAAGGTTATGTGTGAAGTGCCGGTTAGAGAATAAAAAGTTAGTTATTGCAGTAACGAATCTTTGCTAAATGATACACTGAGGATATGCATTGAACGTGTTATGGTCATTCTTTTCTCAGATATAATATGCGACTGACTCCATCAAAACCTGAGTGTTCTGTATGTTAAAAAGAGAATTATCTTTAAAACATCATCGGTGAAAGAAATCCAAAATAGGCCACAATTACGGGGGTTAAGTCACCCAATTTCTGTTCAATTAGTCACAAGCCAGGTTGACCCTTGGTGGTCCCGGGTTATAGGCTTAAAAATTCCAGCTGAATGCCGTCGGAACGCTTCGATTCCGCCTTCGTGGCACCAGTGTATCGGTTGTTAAGTAGCAAAATGCTTGTACGTGGGTAGGTTCGACTCTTGGCTGACAAACTCATAAACTTAGCCCCGTTGGTGGAAATTCCAGAAAAAGGGAAGCTTGGGCGTGATTCTAAGAACCCCATTTCGTAAAAAATAAATACCACTGCTATTGGAACTTTAAAGCCCAAGTTTGAAGCTTAATGTTCCACTTAGAATGCAGATGATCAAATTTATAACAATTACAATCCGCTCTTCATTATTAATAGGTACTAAGTTTCACTGAAGAGTGATGTCCCGTAAACTGAGTCTAGTTGCTTTGTATCATAATCTCTAAAGAAATCGTAGTTCGTTGAATGCCTTCAAAGTAGTCTTATTATTAGTCCCTTGAGTTCAAACTGGAACACAGAACTTCAGCAGCACATCTTCACTTAACTCTACACCTTTGCGGTCACTTTCAACTGGTTCCAGGACTTACAATGAGCGATTATTTCCTCTTCACGTGGTCTCCTTCATATCACCCTCAAAATAATACTCAACTCACTAATTCGTATTCGGGTTATATTCAAAGGCATGACATGTGATGCCATTTGAGTGTCTCTTCAGAGCATGTCCAATCGCTTTTCATTTACTCCAGAATATTTGTTAGTCAGTAGGCTGTTGGCTGTCCTGCTGACTGCTAGAATTCATTGTTACTGACACTTCTAATCGTTCATCTGATAATCAGTATCATCCAGAGAAAGGGACAGCTGTCGATGAGAGCGTCTACAAGTCAACAAAGTAGCTAGATGTTGTAGTGCTCAGAAGAAGATGCGGTAGATCAATGTCGTGTATTTGCACTAATAAGGAGTCCCAAACTTGAGACAAATAGGCATTCATTGGTTTTTCATTATCAGTTAGATTTTTGCTGACATTGAACAGCAATCAAAAATATACATTGTAGCATATCACTACTAAGATTTAGTGTAGCTCATTTGTTCCGATAGATTTACTTGCCATCAGTTATATACAAAGCCTAAGCTATGTGAATAGTCGAAATCACAAGTAAATACCAATTATCAGTTCAGCAGTTAAGCTTTGTGAACAGTTTCAATTAAGCGTCTTTCACAGTCTCATTGAGTTAGACTAATTTCACTTTTGAAAGTTTTAAATACACTATGGTGATTGGTTCCAAACAAGGATTTCTGTTGACTGAATTCAAAAGTGTTGTTTTGTTGACAACAGTAACAGTTTAGGATCTCTCAAAGTCTTAGAACTTGATGAAATGAAGAAGGTACCTAATCATTATAGAATTTAGTGTATTAGAAAGGTTATTATTATTCCCTTGGATTCCGAGTGGAATGTAGGGCATCAACAAAACACCTCCACTTTCTTATATTCTTTACAGTTTTCTTCAGCTGGCTAGCTTCATGATTGCCAATAATCTCTCATCTTCTCCTTCAACTCTGACGATCTCCTCCATGTTACCCTCGCACTGACGACCTACTCGTCGTTTTCCATCGGGATTCCACTCAAACGGTGGCCTGCATTGCGCGCAATGTCATTAAATGGCCTCCTCAGTGACGTGAGCTTGACCCGCATCCATTTTCTCCCACATATTTGTTGAGCAATCGGCTCTTGGTCGATTTGGTGCCAGAGTTTTTTGGTGCTAATTCTTTCTGGCCGACCATTTGATCTTCAATATGGACCCAGCGAAAGCAGCAACCACTTCAAAATGTCTTCTTGTATGAGTTACTGCCTCGCCTTCAACCTGCTGTACCCAACAGGTCACGGCGATGATGATGAAATCCTTCAACCAATCAAAAGGAAATCCTTACAAAGACAATACTTGAAAATTCATCTGATGCTCACTAGGGACTGGCCCTATTCAGGCACTTACCTGGGGTTCTAGAGAGAAGCCGTGACCAGTAGGGTACACCAGGTTGAAGTTGAGGTAGTAACTCATCGAAGAAGACATTGCGAAGTGGTCGAGCTATGTGATGAATTGGTAGAAGTTAGAATTCATGGACTGGCCATTTCATTGGGTCCCAGTGGCCTAATGGTATACGAGCTCGCCTTGTAACCAGAAGGTCCAGGATTCGAACCACTGTGGTGAGTGTGTACTAATGAAGAGTCCCAAAATAGGACGAAACAGCTGTCCAGTACTCCCAGGTTTTCCGATGGTTCTCTTACTGATGTCAGCTCATCATGAAATCCTCCAACCGATGAAGCCAAATCCTTACAGAACAAATACTTGAAAATTAATTCTATTACTTTTCAATACTTTTATCCTATCCCACCCTATTGTTTGACTACATGCAAGTGAATTCATTACAGTAAGCAGGCATTTTTCTAGATTACATAATTTATCAGGATCAATCATTGCATCAGCGGTTCAGTTGTAGGACTGTGAGTAGCCACGCATGTGGTCTGCGGTTCGATTCCCAGCAAACGCACTTCTGAACTCACCGGCAAAGGAGGGAAAGAAAACATCGCTACTGAAACTTCGAAGCTCAAGTTTCAAAGCCTAATGTTCCATAAGGAGCCTGTAGGAGTAAAACAATAATAATATTTATAATCAAGGTTACTCATCCTACCTCTAGCTAAATTTTCATGTACGCACTATCTAATTGACCCTAGTCGACTAGTTCGACTTGTGTGATTGACCTAATTGTCATTATCTGGTGCTTGATAAAATGTATTATTTTTCTTAATTGTGTCTATCGGGTCTTCAAACCAATAAAGTTTATCTCTGAATAAATTGGTTGTTTTTGAATTTATAAAAGATACCATTTTAAATGTTCTCCTATTGGTGTTCTTATTGTTAATAACGAATCACTTATACATAACAAAAACTATTGTTGTACCCCTGTTTCTTTCTTTAGTATAGTGACCTGTATAATCCTGGAACGCATACCCCAATCACATCCACATTTCATCAACCTGTTCCTCAAATAGAAACGGATGATGATGTTGATGAAGAAGGCAAGCTGAATTCACTCTACCCGTACTTCTCCTCTCAATACACAGATGAAATGCTTATCACGAGTGCGGAACGTGGAGATATGAATCTTCCAGCTAATACAATAGCTGAACCAATCACAGTAACAACGGCTAATACCAGTCCTAAACAACATGTTCAATACAACACACAATTTCTATTGGATTCTGTTAGGGAGGATAATTCTCTTCTTCCTGGTTGGAATGAATCACCCTATGAACCTCATATGACTAATACTGCAAATGTTTCACCTATTAGTCAGTCAGGAATTGAATTGACCGATTTGAAAACTGAACTTCATAAGGTAAGTGTTTTTTTACTGAAGGCTACGTCAGGTGGTCTCTTGATGTATTCTTCCTCTGAGGTTTTGCTGCTGTGTAATGCTATCATTCCGGCAATCGCTACCATATCTATTAATTAGCTGACCAAACTCTTCCACATTGAAACGGACGTAGCCAAAACAAATTGAAGTGATACAGTGCTTCTTGAAACAACTGATTTTAGAGGTTCTATTTATCATGCCAGATAGTTATTATTATTCCCTTGGGTTCCGTGTGGAACATAGGGCTTCAAAAGCACACCTCCGCTTTGTCCCATGCTCTGCAGTCCTCTTTAACTGGCCCCACAATCGCCCATAAGCTCTCATCTCCTCTTCACATGAACCCCTCCATATCAATCTCGACCACATGTGCCTAATTTATCGTTTCCCACTCAGATTCCACTCGAGTGATGGCCTGGGGTGCTTTGTTGTCATCCAACGGTCTCCTTAGCATGTGTCCATTTTGCTTGGAATAATTATTGAGTAGAAGGTTTGTGATTGGTTTGTTTCTAGAGTTTGTTATTGTTAAGGCTTTTTGGTCATTTGATATTCAATATGTAGCGAAGACAGCTATTGATAAAAGTCCGCACTAGCCTACTGAAGATGCTTTTCATGAGGCGCCAAGTCTTTGGACCATACAGAAAAAGTGACTGACTTAACATTGATCTTGAAAATCCGAATTTCGCTCTTTATATTGAGTGCATTAGATTTCCAAACTGCGTTAAGAGTGACGAAGGTCTATCTTGCTTTTTAATTCTGGTTTTCAAATCTTCACTCGTGCTGAATGCTTGTAGTTGAAAGGATGCTTCCTAAATAAGCGAAGAAAGTGACCTCTTTCAAACTTATTCCATAGATAGTGATTAGTGCTGGTTGTTTGTGTTGATTAATTATCTTCATCGCCTCCGTTTTCTCTATGTTTGCTTGAAGTCTTGTCTTTGCTGCCTGCCTTTTCTGCCAACTTGTTTGTTTTTGCCAGTAGCTCTCCAAGTTTATGTGACATCAGACACTAATCATCTGCGAGGTGCAGACTTTCTAGAGTCTTCTTGGTGGTTCAACGTGTTAAGTTTAAGTTTATTGAAGTTATTCTCATTATCATAGGTGAAATAAATGTAACTCCGCTGTTAACTGAACTCTGAAATGAGCATAAGTCAAATGTTTCAAACTTGTATTAGTGTAAAAATCCTTTTAATCAACATTGAATATAACATGTTAGGTACAAACGACAACAGCCGACGGTCATATTGTAACGACAGAAGACAAGGTCCAGGCAACAGATCGTTTATTGAGAAAATCAAGAGATCTTTATAGATTTTTATGGACATTATTGTCAGCGGAGAAGCAACGTCTTCTGATTGGTTGTTTTCTTGCTGAAGGTTTTTCTGTTATCTCTTTGTGGCCGTTTCTTAGAAAATCAAGCCATATAACTGTGAATTATATTTCTACACTTTAACTCCGCTGGGATTGGCTGGTGATTTTCTCAAGGTTAAGCTTGATTACTGCTTTCTCATGACCCTGATTTGGGACGTCAACACTGACGTAAATTGGTGTCTGCAATTTTAGTTTGCAGACAGCTTTCACTACTGTATGACTCATTTTTCAATGTAGAACTTTGCAGAAACTTCATCAGTTCAGGTCGCCACAGTCGATAACGGCAAGAAGAAAAAGAAACTCAAGGGAACTATAATAAATCAAATCATTCTGGGGATATTATCATTGTATGAAGAATTATGCGAATTTAGTGGATCGCGAAACTCAAAAACCATGAACATATCTGTACCATGAAGAATGATTTTCAAAGATTTCACCAGCAGTCTCCAACAGTTGATTCTTACGGTGTCGAGGACCCCAGCTGTAGTAGTCTACATCTTCCTGTGTGACTCAAACCAACATTCAAAGACTTCATGAATTCATGCCATGTTGTGTTTTGTTCTGACTAATTAAAACAACAATCCTTTCACAGTGCCTGTTTCAGTGCAGTGTTAAGGGAAGCCTTCATAATAAATGATGCTTGGTTTGATTCCACCTGCGTTTTTTTTCTACAGTAAGGTTAACCTTTAGATCTTGCCTTATATGCCTAGTAATTAGCATTTAACAAAACTATACTGTCATTCTTTCCTGATTCCTGTTTCCCTGTTAAACACCTTTTCAATCGCCGAAAAGATATCTTTGCTGAACTTCTTGTTCTTCTCAATCTAATTTTCAATTGCAGTCAAGTTGTACCGACAAAAGACAAGACCCAGGAAACAGATCGTTTATTGAGAAAATCAACAGATATTTATAGGTTTTTATGTACATTATTATAGGTTATTGTCAGCAGAGAAACAGTCTTCTGATTGGTTGTTTTCTCTCTGAAAGTTAATCTGACCTAATATTTGGATACGCTACGTAGACGACACATTTGTAATTTTACGAGTTGATCACGGACTGATATCAGTTAGAGAACCATTGAAAACCAGGGAGTACTGGTATCAGTACTGATATCAGTCCGTGTTCAACTCGTAAAACATAACTAATCCTTACAAACCAAACTATAGAAAACATTTGTAATTATCAAAAGAAACGAGTTAGATAAAGCTCACAACCTGGTAAACAACGTCTTCAACGACATCAAATTCACAAGAGAAGAGGAATCAGAAAACCAAATCCCATTTTTGGACGTCTTAGTCAAGCGAATAACCACAGGGGAATTAGAAACTCAAGTCTATAGAAAATCAACTCACACAGACCAAATCCTGAATTACAACATCAACAATCCAATAGCACACAAGAGGAATTGCATACAAACACTATTCAAGAGGGCCAGGACTGATTGCAGCACTCCCACCTACCTCAAGGAAAATTGAAGAAAAATATATCATGGACGTCTTCCAAAAGAATGGATATCCACGGAATTTCATCAAAAGACATATATCCCCAAGCCAACCTATCCCCAAGGAAAGCACAAAGAAAATCGCCTTACCATATATAAAGGATATATCAGAAATCACTACAAGACTCTTCAAACCTTTAAGGAATGAAGTCGTACACAAACCAACAAAGTCACTTCACTCAATTCTATGTCAACCAAAAGACTCAACAGCGAAAGAAGATAAAACCAACATCATCTACAAAATATATTGTATCAACTGCGAGAAACACTACATTGGCCAAAGTGGACGTCCCCTTCGTCTTCGTATCCACGAACATAAGCTAGCCGTCAAAAGACATGACATCCTCTCCCTCATATCACTGCATACGGACAACCACGGCCATCAATTCTACTGGGACAATGTTCAAATATTAGACAGAGGAAACAACAAGAATGCTAAAGAATTTTTAGAAGCTTGGCATTCCAGTGAATCGTCAATCAATAGACATATCGAGATAGACAAAATTTACCAACCAATAAGAAACATACCTCACACACACAGGGTCAAAGTTGAAGTAAAAAAAACAATGAGTTACAATACAAGTAACTTAGAAGGTGTGAAAACACACAAAGACAACCAATCAAGTCCAAGGTCACCAGGAGAGATGAAGATGTTGCCTAGTAGGGCGATGAAAGCTTCGCAAATTAACTATCCAGCTCAGAGAACTGAACCACATCAAAATCATCCACCTGAGCTACAAATCTTCTCTATCATATCTTAATCTGTCATCTCTTTGTGACCGTTTCCTTGAAGGTCGGACCATATATCTGCGAATCGTATCTGCCCCCATTATGTCTTTGTTCTTATTTTTCTCAGACCAAGATTTAGGACGTGAATTGCTGTCTACCAATTTTGGCTAGCAGAATGCTCTTACCAGAAAGTGTTCTTTGTTTTTTTTTCCTTTTTTGTAGCTTGAAGTAGAAAGCAATACAATCCAGTCAACTCTTCCCAGTGTCCGACTTCAATCGTCTACAGACTCATCAAAGTCTATAGATGATTATGGAATTCATAAATTGAATGCATCAACCAACTTACCAAAATTTCTACTACCCACGGCAACATCTAACATTCCATCATTTTTATCCGATCAAGCCATTAATTTACAACAGTCTACCCTACCGATAAAGCATGCACATGTACTAAATGAACAATCACCATCGACTTCATCCTCTGTATATTGGTCTCATCGTGCTTTTGAAAATAACAATAATAATGCTAACAGTGTGCATCGACGAGCTTCATCTGTAGTCGGTGCACCGATAGAATCAAATTATTTACTGCCTGATAGAGATATGCTTGAAAAACCAGAGGATACAATTCGTAGGCATAGACATTCTGTTGGAGAGACATTCGATGATAAAATGTCCAGCTTTGACTATGAATACTGTTCAAATATACATCCGAGTGTATTCAATGTTAGTTCAGAGTAAGTGTATGTGTATACGGATTGATTAACTTCTTCTCCTACTTTTCCGTAGGAGAGTGAAATTTTATTCCGATCACAACAATATATATTCACAAGTGTTGGTTTGTAGGGATTTGATTGGTTGGTTTCAGGATTTTCATCATGAGCTGACACTAGTTAGAGAACCATTGGAAAACCAGCAGGGAGTGCTGGAGAGTCGTGACCATTAGGGTAGAGCAGGTTGGGTGTGAGGACAAATACTCGCGCTATGTCGTGAATTGGCAGAAGTTAGAATTCAAGGACTATTGGATCGGGTCCCAGTGGCTCAATGGTCTACGAGCTTGCTAGCCATGTGACCAGAAGTTCCTGGGTTCGAATCCCGGTGTGTGTGCTGATGAAGAGTCACAAACTAGGACGAAACAGCTGTTCAATACTCCCAGCTAGTTTACCAATGGTTCTCTAACTAATGTCAGCTCATGATAAAACCCTGAAACACAACAGTATATGATCTGCTTGACAGTATAAATGGTTAAAAAAATAGAAATATGAAGCAATATACTACTGACTAATGATCATTGGTCTATATAAGTAGTTGAATACCACTGATATACACACCCCAAGCAATAGGCTTTGGAAGCAAAAGACTCAAATGATCTTTAATAAAAACGCTGTTAAGCAAAGGGTAACTTTTGACGACTGGCGATCAAGGTTGGAATGAGTCGGATGCCTGAAAATTTATAAACTAACGCTTACTAGTGAAGGATTATAGGATGGAATTGCCCGAAGTCCTAGAAGGAAACCTTGACCATATGCGTCGACCAGGTGAGATAATGAAAACAAATACTTGGTGATGATATTGGCTGACGTTTAGGCTGTATACAGTAAACTTGTAGAGGTTAAGATACACAGGCTGTAGAATTACGTCCTAGTGGCTTGTAATGGTCGACGATCTCACCTCATCACGCAAAGGTACTGGGTTCTATCTCCAATGTGATAATAGTTGTACACTACTGAGGACTCACAAACTGGAATGAAACAGTTGTTCAGAACCTCTGAATCTTGAGGATTTTCTAGCTGATATCAGCCTATGGTCAACATTTTCTTCCTATCTAAAAATAACTTGACCTATTTTCAATAGTTTGTTTGTAGGAATTTAATCTGTTTCAACTTTGATCACGGATTGCTATCAGTTAGAGGACCAATAGAAACTACGAGGACGTACTGAGTAGATGTTTCGTCCCAGTTTGGGACCCATTCGCAGTACGCACCTATGGAGTCTGGAACAATACGATTTTACAGTGTTTTGTGAGATGCTAAAAACAGAAACATTACACATAACTTTTGTTTAAAACAATTCACAGTAAAAAAAACTTTTATTTGCACTCTAATTTTCTTTTTTTTTTTAAGCATGAATTGTTTTAAACAGAAGTTGTGTGTAATGTTTCCATTTTTAGCATCTCACAAAACACTAAAGTCGCACTGTTCCAGACTCCACACACCCATTAAGTTTTGAACCCAAGACCTTCTGGTTATAAGGCAAGCTCATAGACCATTCAGCCACTGGGACCCGACTCAACTGCTTTTAGCAAGACCACTAGTTTATGTCACAGACAAGTATTTGTCTTCACTCCCTACCGCGTAGATCCCACCGGTCACGACTTTTCACTAGAACTCCAATCAACTTCGTCCTGCAGCCAGTCACTAACGAACGTCAGATTAATTTCCAAGAATTTTTTTTCACTTAGTTGAAAAAAGTGAATGATATGCATCAGATTTTACAGAGTAATTATAATTAATCATCATGTATCTGCATCGGTTGTTCATTGATCCGGGGTTCGATTCCCAACCGATACAATCTGAAACCTTCCCTAGTTTGCTAGCCAATTGTAAATCTGGGAAAGAGGAAAGGTTGGGCATGAGCCTAGCCACCTTAATCCACGGTTAGTGAAAGTCAAAGGCTGGAGCCTTATGTTCCACTTGGATGACAAAAGAGTAAAACAGAAATGAGCATGAGTGTTCATATACTTTTCACATTGTGTTATTTTTTAATTCAAATTAGATCTATTGGACCGAAGTGGTTGCTCTCGATTTAACATGTCGCCTCCTTGTGCAGATACTTCGCAGATACCAGCTCATGTCACTTGAAGTCGATTGGTGGACAGTCACACCAAAAGTGGAATGCAGGACAACGCGCATTTCGTCCTATTTGGGACTCGTCTACTGGATAACGCCAGGGCGTTTGAAGCTATAGCTACTAGGATCCAGCTTCTATGAGGACACTATTACTCACTGACTGGGGAATGCAGGCGTACATCCAAATGACGAGTCCCAAATCGGACGAAATGCGCCTTGTCCTGGATTTCACTGCTACTATCACCACCCACTAATTGATTTCGTAGTGTTATTTTGTTCATTAAATTCTTTAACCGTTTTTTATGCTCCTTGTTGTTTCTTCTTTCAGATTTCAATCGTCTACTATACCCAGAGACGTTAACTTGAATTCAGAAATGATTAATATCTCACTTCATGACAGAATGAGCATAAAGTCATTATCCTCCTTTTCAACGGCTACATCACCTGGTAATAACAGTAATAGTAATAGTGGTAATAATAATAACACAGGGATTGGACAACGTCTTTTCGATCGTCTACATCCTGAACGTACAAATTATCTGCACATGTTACAACATCCTGGTGGATCATTAGATCGTCGTTTAAATCCTGACTTTCTTAGAAGTCCAAGACGAAAGGTACACCTACCTGTTTGTTTTGTTTTATACTGTTCAATTTCTTTTCTTTTATTGTAGAATTATCTATAAGAAACAAGTTTTATAGATTATTAAAGCGGAAATTCTCACTGGTTACAGAATTTCATCATGAGCCGATATCGGTTAGGGAACCATCGGAAAGCCATCCAGGGAGTAGTGGATAGCTAATTCGTCAGCCTAGATTGGGTCTCTACATCAGTACGCACCCACTGAGGTTCGAGTTCGTAGACCATTAGGCCACTGAGATCCGATGCGACACGTCCCGTCTACGAGGTCACCTTTTAACCAGAAGATCTTGGTTTTGAATTCCAGTGGGTGCGAACTACTGAAGAGTCCCAAACTAGACTGACGAAACAGCTGTCCACTACTCCCTGGATGAAGTCCCGCAGTTAATCAAATACAATCCCTACAAACCGACAGTCAGTCAATGTCTTGAGTGAGGCTAATAGTATACTTATCACTAGTAACTAATAGCATCATCCGTAGACTTACCTAAATATATAGATAGAGTCGGGGGTAACCTGAAGAGCCTAAAGTTGAAACCCATAACCCCAAGCACTGAGTGAAAGAAGGTCCAATATTAAAATCTCTGTGATTTCGCAAATATATATATATAATCGCCAACATTCAAAAATCTCTGGTTGACTATAAGTAACTTATGAAATGGCGCTTATTTCATGCCACATGCCAGGTGATCTACCATAGAAAACTCAGCAAGGGGTTCGAAGTGCATACAGGAGTACGACAAGGCTCGCTGTCTATTGTCACCGATGATATTCCTTAATTGTGTTGGACTGTATTATGCGTCAGACTGCGGGGAGCGAGGAGACAGGAATACGCTAAAAGACCTGGTATCACACATACTCGAAAACTTGCAGGAGAAAACCCTGGGCAATTGTGGACCCATCTGAAGACGATGCCAGAAAATAGAAGAAAGTGGAGATGTGTTGTTGAAACCCTATCTTCCACTTGGAACTCAAGAGAATAATAATAATTATACAATAGAAACCAAATTTCGATTGTTACATTCCGTCATGAAACAAGACCATTCCGAGAGATCATGGAAAACCGTGATTCAAATCCTTGCAAACCAACGCCTAAACAGAATACAAATAGCCTGTAAAGGCAATTGAAAGTTATATATATCAGAAACCGCATTGGAGCGTGTATCTATAAGGCAGAATAGTCTGTTGGAAAACACTGTCAGTTGAATGTATATAAGATGTATAGTCATTCAGAACATAAGATCAAGCGTGAACAGACAACTGGGTAACATACTAATGTATTTATTTTCAACAGAAATAAGTTTAATTGGCGGGGGGTAGTGAGTTATATCCAATGGTATGAGAGAAACATGATTGCCACAAAATACATACAAAAAAATACCGAACAATTGGGGAACACTGAATGTAAGCTCAAGCAAGGGCTGACAGATATCAAGTATAGTGATAAAATAAATAGGTTAAATTGTGAGCTGTAATCAAATACTAGAGACATGATTAGTTTAGTGTATATTACAAAGGTTCACACATAATAAGAATTATGATAATAATAATGGAGTGAAGTAAACCAGCAGAAAGGGATTAAGAAAGGCATAATAAGACATGAAAATGTGAGATGGTTATGTCCCGTTGTTGTTGTGATTGCTTTATTTCTTGTTCTCCTTATTCTAAAGGGACTAACCCAAAAAGTCGCTCCTCTGTAGCCCATATATATTCATTTAGCGGCTCCCTTCTCAGGCGTGAGGCTATCAACCCCACCCTGTAAACAATGCTGCTACAGAAACTTCAGTACAATGAGTCTCCTTGTGACAAAAGAAAAAGTCTGTGTGGGGACATGGAACGTCCGCACCATGTATGAGACTAGCAAAACTGCCCAGACTGCCAATGAGATGAATATGTGAAAGCAGATGGAATGGGAGTGGACTCACAAAATTGCCAATGGGAGATTCAGTGATCTACTCCGGTCACCCAGAAGACAACCACAAGCACACTGAGGGTGTGGCTATCATGATTTCACCAACAACAGACAACGAAGGCCCTGATACAATGGGAGGTGATCTCACATAGGATAATGACCGCCATATTCAGCTCAAAAGGGAAGGAAGTGACAGTTATACAGTGCTATGCATTGGAGGCGTGCGGCTGAAGCCCTATGTTCCTCTAGGAATTTAAGAAAACAATAATAATAATGAATGCATTCCATAGTTTTGATCACTTTCCCCATTTCTTCTCACTTATCCCGAACGTTTGGATGAGAGACTGTGCTACGAAAAGTTCCTCTTGTCGATAATATGTTATACACATGTAATTTAATATTAGAAGACACATTTTGAACAATCTGATCACACAACACGTACTTGTAGTGGGAGTGAGAGAACAGACATAGGTAAAATTAAAAGACTGCATATTGAAGGTCAAAATAACAGTGGAGATCAATAAACCGATGAAGGAAGATAACAGAACGTCTGCTCTGGTATCAAAACAAAGTTTACCAAAGAAGGTTTCATGTGATAGCGAATTGTTTTTGAACACACAAAGGTGCTTTAAACTGCCTATTCGCCAGCTAGGGCTTCCACAAACTTTGGGATATCCTCCCCTCCCACCTTCCGCACGAATAAGTTGTAGTGATAGGTTTAAAATACGTGCAAACATCAATTTCACGTCCTGTTTCTATGAAATGTTCCGTAATAGAAGAGCTAAGTCATTTTTTTTCACAATTAATGGGATCAGGGGATTCAATTTGCTTCTAAAGCCCTTATTTGCAAAGATCGATGAGTCCTCCTTAAGTACGGTAAATGCATGCGGAATGTCACATCATTTTTTGTATGTTCTAAAGCCTTAGATGGATGTACTGGCTTCACATTCTTTATTGTCACTCGTATCTCAGCTACATAGAAAGTCTTTCTGCTCATAGTGTTCAATCTTTGTCTAGTTATCAAGCTGTTAATGGTCACCTATGCAGGATACATCCCTATTAATGACTGACCTTTTTACTTTTCTGTTCCTGTAAATTTATTTATTTATTTATTTTCTATAGATTTATCAAGAATGGTTACCCAAATTAACTGAACTCTCTCGGAAAGCATTCGATGCAGCTAAAGACAGAATGAATAAAGTCAAACCGACAAATACACCTCAATCATTAGTTCGTAATTTTGTACATTCTGACATACTTTATCCATCGACAACAAGTAGCTGTTACAACACAACCAGTAAAACAGATTCCCTGCGCAATGACGCTAACTGTTCTATGAGTAGTGATACAATCAATATACCCTTCCCATCCCCATCATTATCACAGACCGAACCTATGAAAGAAGATCAACAACATATTCCTACTGATCACAAAGATGTTATTGAATCTGTAGATATTGATCCTGAATCAAATATTATTGATCAAGATGTTGATGAAGAAGATGATGATGAGAAAGACTGTGCACTGGCTCCACTGCAAACTCATATGCTCAGTACAAATGTCCAATCAATGCATTATTCATCACGACCAAGGCATAGAGCCATCAATCAAGGCGTTGGACAGAATTTAACCTATCCACAACAAGTCATGCCATTCTTTCATGGAAATCTATTGAATCAAACCAGTCTACAACAATACCAACACCACCACCAACAACAACATCAAGCTACCTGCCTAAATCAGTTACCATCGACAAGTAATCCAATCGCTGGGGGGTATGCATTTCAAGATTTAGTGGATTTCTCTAACCCGCAAGCGTTACCAGCTGCAGCTGCTGCAGCTTCCCTACTGCTCTTTCGATCCACTGATGACGACGATGATTTAGCCGCTATTGATCGAGTGAATCAACGTATCGCCTTGGGCCGACTGACTGGTAATTTTTCAGATACTGCTACACTGTTGGGAAGTAATGAATATCCAAACCTGATTGGTGGAACACTTCCACCTCCGCCAACAATACAACTACCACAACAACACCATCAAGAGCAAATGCAGTCGCTAAGATCGTTGCCTATCTCACAGCCGATCCTTCAAACACCTTTATCAAATCCTACAATGATGAATAGGATGAATGTACTGAACAGAAGAAACAATCTGCCATATCAACAACAGCAGCAGCAACAACAACAAGAGCACCTCAATCAACAATCGTCTGGGATCATTCCGCATCATCAAGAAACTCTTACAGAGCGTAATGAAGGCACTGGTGAACCTGCTGTTTCACAAACATCACCATCCAGTGTGTATAGTAATCTACCGAGTTCTTCTTAAAAGTCAGTCACTGCATAATTTTTATTCCATGTGTATATTATTATTACTCCGACTTTCTGGGCATTTATTGTTTTTTCTGAATCAGTCAATAATGTTTTCTAGCTTTTCCCTATTTGCCAGTGAACGCTAGTCAAAACATTTCAGTGATGTGATGAATTAACACTGTTAATGGTGTTATCTTGTGTTTTGTTTTATTGTGTTTTTTAACGTTTGATTGGTACTCAGATTTTTGTCTGTCTGCTGTTTTCCTTTTTCACTGCTGATTATCGTATCATGTCATTATTATCGTTGCCATTTACTATTGCTAGTCATCATAATCGTCGCATTATCATCCTCGTCATCACCGTGATCATTATGGCTGTTCGACAAATTGTATTTTCATTGCCTACCTACTTTTTATTGCCTTCTACTGTAATTTCCTTTATTTTCCATTGGGATTATTTAATGTATACTTGTATTTTTTTTGGACTGCATTTCTGTGTATTTATATTTTCCGTAGATATATATGTGTGTGTATGTGTGATCATAAAGCTTTTTATCATTGATTTTGTTTGTTTGATTTGGGTTTTTTTCTTCAAAACAAAACAAATAGTGTTTGAATAGTGTTCATTCTGCTTGCAATTTTTACTCTCATCTACTTACTGCCACCATGTGTTTTATTTGACTGAATAAAAATAGATTTCGTAATTCAAAAATGTTGGTCTGCAAGGATTTGATTGGTTTCAGGAGATCAGTTTGATGCTTACTAGTGACTGGTTCTATTCAGGTATGTGTTTTTTACCTGTGTCCTAGTGGGAAGTCGTGAGCGGTGGGGTGTAAGGACAAATACCTGCCAGCGATGACATTTACCAGTGGTCGGGCCATATCATGAATTGTCAGAAGTTGGAATTCGTAGACCACTGTATCGAGCTCGCTAGCCTTGTGACCAGAAGGTTCTGGATTTGGACGCTGGCAGTGAGGTGGTGTGTACTGATAAAGAGTCCCAAACTAGGATGAAACGACCGGCTGTTCAGTACTGCCAGCTGGTTTTCAAGTGGTCCTGTAACTGATGGCAGTTCATGATGAAATCCTGATACTCTGTCCGTTGGGTTCCTACTGGGTCATAGCACTCCACAAGCTCGTCGCTGTTCAACTGGATCCATGATTGTCCACAAGCTTTCATTTCCTTTTCAAATGACCTCCATCCGATATGTCATCCATGAACCTTGTCGTTTCTTATTCAGGTTCTTTTCTAAAGACGCTCAATGATCTTCTCAAATTCTGTACAGCTTATCTCCGTTTTATGCTGTCAGTTGGTCTGTTTCAGTGCCAGAGTTTGTGTTTTTTGTTGCTTATCCTCTCTGGCCGGCCATTTGATCTTCAATATTGAGACAGTGATGGTAGCTGTTGGTGAGTGTTTATAATAGACTGTTAGAAGTGTTCCTTATGACGCCAGCTCCAAGTCTGTGAAGTATAGATATCAATTGATTTGATGCTAATGACTTGCAAGTTCGGATCTTGTGCTGAGTACTGTTGATTTTAGATTACTGAAGGTCTTTCATGCTTTTCTGATCATGGTTAGCTTTGATATCCTCATCCGTAGTGGTTGCCTGTAGTTGAATTAGTACTATCTAGGTAAATGAAAAATGTGACGGGAGTAATCGTGACTCTTTCAACGTAGCCAAATGCCTCGTCATCTATGCCTCTCCCCACCAGTGGGAATACCCTATGTACAGTACGAGATATGAAAATTCGAGACTATTGTACATAGCCCTCCTTCTAATCGCTCGTCGCCCAACCCAGTGAGTCCCTGTATACGGTGATAGACGTGACACTTTATGACAATCGTATAATTTTCTAATATTTGCGTCTCTGTACATAAGGCCTCTTTTTTGCTACCCGGTTCCCAGCAACTAAATTCTGACTAGTGCTCTGAGGCACGGGTAATGGTGGAACCGAGAGGCGAGTCAAGTGCGGCAGCCTCCGGGGAGGGAGCAGCAAGCACGAATAACATTCGCGTTTGGCTAGTCAGCTCAGATGGATAGTGTGGGTTAAATGTAGACTATGAGGATCCAGGCGACCAAGATCACTGGAATTTTAGGCGATGGGGCTGGGACCGTTTTAAATTGTGACTCACGGTTAGCGAGTGGCCGTGGATGGCTCTGTAACTCCATTACGGGTTGCTAGAAGAGCATTTAGCATGACGGGCTGTTAGTAGTGGTGTTCATGCCAGTGGGAAGTGGATTGCCAGTAGGGATCTTGTGTCTGTGAGGCAGGATGAGCTATCCTCAGTGTGCAAGGGGCCCTGATTAGATATTCACATCCTGTGACGCACGACGGGGATGATTCACATGGCTTGTTCTGATTGATTAGAAACAACGTTTTAGACAGATTGTCCTGGGACTGTATTAGTCACTGGATCAGCTCGCGTCAAAAATAAAAAGATGTACAGTCTACTTCTCTACTTCGGCATCGGCGGTATTGGCAGTTATCACAAGCGACATGGGTAAAACTCCATAAGTGAAAGAGGTGACTCCTTTCAAATTTCTCCTGTTGATAGTGATTCATGCTTGTTATTGTTCCTGTTGGTTAGGTATCATCATCACCTCTGTCTTCGCTATGTCCTCTTCCTGTCCTGTCTTTGCAGCCTGACTCTTCTGTGAACACTCTGCTTCTCACTTGTAGATTGTCAAATCTGTTGTGACATTTCATTGTAATCAATTAATTTTTATGGTGTAGAGTGGTACTTATGGTGGAAACAAAACCCTATTGAGTGCATCGGTGGCACAACGGATAGGACTGTCACCGACCATTCATAAGGTTCGGAATTGGATCCCATGCCAACGCACAACTGATATCTATGGTCGGCCTGAAAAATTTGGGCTACCGATATCCATTCTGAAAGTTCCATACTTCTACCAAAAATAGAGCGTTGAATCAAGCTATAATCAAAAAAATCTCTCCCTCACTACAAGATGTTTTAAATAAAATCTATCGATCATATATTCAATGTAACCTGCCACACACATGTTGTGCTTTCGTTTTAGATGAAGTAAAATAAGCGTATAAACTAAATGCACCACTTTATTTCTGACATTCCCTACTCTTATTCGGTTTCGATTTTGTAATTCTAAGCAAATCACACTTAAAATTCTTCATTTTCTGAACTTTTCACAATGAAACTTGCTTCAGTTACCTACCTGGATCTCCGAATAGGGAAAACTACTCGTATGGTAATTATCATTTGCACTCCATTTTCATTCCTTCGCATTCCTAGTGGAACATAGAGCTTCAGGTTTAATCTCTGAAGTCTCAGTACCTTTGGCGTTATTGTCTTTACAGCTTGAAGGGTTGCTCGCTTCACTCGGTCAGTGTACCCTCTTTACTGGGCTTACTACTGGCCAAGCGCTGTTAAACAGAGTGCGTCAGTCAGAAGTCGAATCCTCGATACAAGTTAGAGTACCCATTGTTTCGTCCTAGCTACAGACTTCACCAGTATGCAGCGAAGACTTTCAGATCACAATATCAGCTTGTAGACCATTAAGCAACTTACTTGTACGTGATCTAAAGGCCAGCCCATGAATTCCAGCTTCTCCAAATTTGTAATGAATAACGCAACCGGAAACCAACAAATGATAAATTAAAATGTCTTCGCACTAGGATGAAACAGCTGTCCAGCACTCCAGTGCTGGTTTTCAATGATTCTCTAACTGATATCAATCCGTGATCAACTCGCCAAAACAAATCTAATCTTGATGCTCGCTAGTGACTTGCTACAGGATGGAGATTCCTGGAGTCAGTTCCAGTGAGAAGTCGTAACCAGTGACGTTCATTCAGTCAAGTGTGAGGATGGATGTCCCACAGATGACATTGGTTGGTGGTCGTGCTAAATCACTATTTGTTAGAATCGGAATATCCTGGGTTCGAACCCTGGTGGTGGGTGCGTACTGCCGATGATACCCAAGAGACTAGGATGAAACAACTGCCCAGTACTTTCTGTTGGTTTTGAAAGCTTCTCTAACTGATATCAGTCCTCAGTGGTTAGACTCGAATGAACAAATCTAATCCTTACAAACCAAACCCTTGAAAATTAATTCTGTTATAATTTATCAAAATACATAGGCAATAGCAGAAATCAATGGGTGATCACACACACACACACTCTCACACACAAGAATACAATGTACAATATGTTTTTTTATATTTCGTATACACATTCAAGTAATGATATATCCTGTACACAGTACCACTCCTACTAACTGCTACTACTGTGATAATTAAACGTTAGAAGTTTTGAAGATCAATAATAAACTTCATTCATTCAATGAAGTTTTAATTATACAGCTGAGGATATAATCTTATAAACAAACAAGATAATGGAAAGACAACGTACTTTAGAAAAAGAGTAGTAATAATGATAATAACTGTAATGATATACATTCAGAAAATTGCATTGTCAACTAAAGGTTTTTTTATGATACCAGTACCAGTTCCCTATCCATCCAACAACCTCTGTACTCTTCTCCACACTACACTACACTACACTCAACCAGCTGAAGTCTTCTCATGCATCCTTCTTTCCTCTGTCACTCTGTGTATCTCAAGAAAAAGACTGGACAAAAAGATAGAGAAAGCGGTGTATTGACAACGAGAAGATGGGCGGGGGGTGGGAAAGAGAAATGAGAAAGTGATGAATAATGAAAGCACCATATACACGTATATATATGTATGTGTATATGTATTTAAACAAGACAGAAACCAGCTCAAAAGTTCTCTTCAGCATATTAGTCTGTTCTAAAACGATAAGCATTCGCCCAGATATCTGATAGGCAGACAGTTGAATGAAAACGAAAGAATACAATCAGTGGGAGAGCAATATGCGTAATAATTCTCCATGCCATTGACGAATAATAATTAATGTGTATACTATGATTATCAGCACGTTTCACTTCAAAGGTGTTCACAAACCACATAGCTAAATTTAAAACTAATAAAAATGTAATCATTGTACGTCCTGGTTTATTTTGTACATGTTCCAGTGTACCAGCACAACGTCTTGATGCTTCAAGGATGAAAAATACCTATAGGCAGTTAAAAGAAAACAAAAATGGGATAGAAGATAAGTAGGAGTGTGATGAGATCTGGCTGCAAACAAGCGAAAAATTGTAGACGGCAATTTACGTCAATGTTTACGTCCCGAATCGGAGTAATGAGAAAAAAACAATAACAAAACTTAACCTTGGGGATCTTACCAACCAATCACAGCAGACTTAACGGGTGCAAATACGATTCGCAGATATATGGCTTAACTTTCTGAGAAACTGCCACAAGCAGTACAGGATAACCTTCAGCAAGAAAACAACCAATCAGAAGACGTTGCTTCTCTACTAACAATAAAGTATAAAAATGTACATAAAAATCTATAAATATCTGTTGACTTTCTCAATAAACGATCTGTTGCCTGGTACTAGTCTTCTGTCGTTACAGTAGTAATAGTGGCAATATTATTTTGTAATCTTTCTTCGCAGGTGAATTCGACAGCCCAGTTAAAATTTTGTAGGGATATGATCACAAGTTGATTACATTTAAAGAACTACCGAAAGCCAGACAAGGAGTGCAGAACAACTCCTTTTGTCCTGGTTTGGCAATTTTCGTCAGTATGCACCCATCGAAGTTGCCAGGAGTTTCAGTGGAAAGTACTGACCAGTGGGATCCATCCACTAGATGAGGGGGGGTTGAGGATAAATACTCACCGATGACAGTGGATGGTGGTCGTGCTAAAAGCAGAAATCATGGGCTGGCCACTGGATTGGATCCCAGTGGCTGAAAGGTCTATGGGATCGCCTTGTAAGCGGATGGCCCTGGGTTCGAACCCTGCTGTGTGCCTACTACCGGTGAGCCTCAAACTAGGAGACAACATCTGTCCCGTACTCCCTGTTGGTTTTCAAAGATTCTTTAACCTATATCAATCTGTGATCAAACTTGAATGAAGTTTATTGAATTTAGGTGTATTGAGTATAACTCAGTCATCAGACTATTCACATTATTACGTAACTCCTCATCACATTTGTTACTACACTAGTTCCATTAACACCCGATTTTCTTGACCGTCTTTGTATTGCGTAACCCTGCCCAAAACTTACTAGTTTTCACCTGTTTAGTTAAAATAAGCATAACCAATTGTATTTTTGTTTGACAAACTTAATGTACACATACATATAAAATAACTTATATATATATATATATATATATGTATATTTGCGACTGTACAGCTAAGAAAATGAATTCACCTTTGAAAAGAGACTCTTCGCTGAACTACGTGTTTTGTTTTCAGTAATGCTTGGATGGGGATTATTCATGAATTGAGATAGTATTGTTCATTTGTGGATGAATGTATCATATATATATATATATATATAAGTAGAGTTGTAGTTAAAACTATCAACAATTCTATATTAGGTGACAGGCCACAAGCGAGTCTTTTGCTGCCATCTGTCAGCTACCGAATAAAGTGCAAAAAGCGTCTAAATAGTGGATAATGCGAACAGCAGGGGCAATTACAATTCACTCAAATCAACTGGACGTCTGTGTGCAAAAGCAATAGGATGTATTAGTTCATTAACTCTGTATTATTCCATTTAATTTTATCTGATATTCACCTTAATATTACATTTTTATGCGCATTATTACTCAAAGATGCTTTCGAACTGTATTCTCGTCATATTGTTGATCCAATGTTATATATATATATATATTCATAAATTCTCACAGTGTTATACAGTAATATTTACTGATGACCAAGTTTCGAGCACAATTTATTACTACTGCTCATAATCATATTAAGACACTGACTCACACAACTTTCTAACTTCGTTTATAAAATTCCCTTTTTTTACATCGCTTGATTTCACTGGTAGAAGTATTTTCCATTTTTCTGGTATGAATGATGAATCATTCGATGAACCAGAATTCACTAATCAATCTCTCTTCACCTACCTGTATTACTTTTTAGAATTTTGACTCTCTCCCACCCTATTGTATGGTTGTGTGTTAATACATGCAGTACTATGCGGCGCTAAGCTTCTTTTTTCTAAACTACTTATCTTCATGGGGTCAATCATTCTAACCTTCGCTAAATTCTTTATCAAAATAAATTTTACCCAAAATGGAATTATACTCTACCACAGTGCACAAGTTCTGTTCCTACATCGACGACCAGCTTTCACCTTCTTTGTACTGTTGAAGCTCTAACCATTCAGATGGGGAAAATGGAGTTGCGCATACAAAAGAAAATCTTACATCTACTTCTACTATCATGCTTATGAACCCTATTCCTTACAACCTCTAACGACTTCTGATTTATCTATCCTCCTGAAATCTTAGGTAACATAAAAGTATCTTTGTTTCTATGTACATTCTGATTACAATTCACGTATTAAGTTATTTATCGTATTATGTAATTCTGTCACCCTTCCTTAGTGGATTTCTCATATGTATTGATTAATAGTGTTAGCAGCTATTCTTATGGTGATTAATTCAAATTTGATATCTCCATCTAGCAAAATTATGGAAACCTTATCTTCAACGCACCATTTTCACAAATCTTCCGTGTTGTTGTGCCTGCAACTTCTGACCTTCCTTCAGATTGTGTATGTTTCTTTGTGTTCCTTTCACGTCTCCTGCGTATCTCTGCAAGGCTGTATCATTTGATTTATCTGATATTAAATATATCTCCCTGATATTTGACACTTTATATATACATACTACTGATAAATCTTATCAGTAGCTCTCGCTCCACCATTGTGTCTAGTCCTTGGTGTTGGTGAAGAGTGAATTCTATGAGTCAAGTTTGTAATATAAGTGATTCACCATAGCAGCAAACTCTAACTTGATGTCAGATGTTTCAAGTTCGATGAGGGACTGATGTTAATTAGAGAACTATTGAAAATGAGCAGTAAGCACTGGGCAGCTATTCCGTCCTGGCGCTCGAATTCAGGGGCTTTCAATGATAAGGCTACCTCGTAGACCATTCAGCTAGCGTGACCTGATTCAGTGGCTTGCCGATGAATCCCAACCTCTACCAACTCGTGACTTTAGCACGATAACTATCCAGAATCACTGATGAGTATTTGCTCTCACAACCGAATTCATGGACTCCACTAGTCCCGAGTTTTCACTAGAACTTCAGGAAACCTAGTCCCGTAGCCAGTCACTAGCGAGCATCAGATTAAATTTCATGAGTGACAAGTCGTGACCTGTAGGATCCATCTGGTTGAGTGTGACATCGGCTTCTGGTGGCGGGGAATTCACGAATTAGTAGAAAGTGGAATTCATGGACCACTGAATCGTGTCCCAGTGGCTAAATGGTAACCGACGATTCCCTGGTTCGAACTTTTGTAGGTGGATACTTGTGAAGAGCTTCGGGAAAATGGTGAAACAGCTGTCCAGTATCCCGTTCTGGTTGTCAGTACTTCTCTAACTGATATCAATCCATGATCAAACTTGAGACAAATCAAATTCTTATAAACTAACCCATCGAAATTAATGCTGAAATGCAGTAGGTTGGTGATTGGGTTAAATTCACAAAGTTGGTAGAATTCCATTATGGGAAAATTTGTTTTCATAAAGTCTCTCAGTGTTTTACAGTAATATTTACTACTGATGACCACGTTTCGAGCACAATTTATAACTGCTCATTACCATATCAAGGCAATACTCACACAACTTTCTAACTTCGTTTATATAATTCCATTATTTTTCATCGCTTGATTTGATTGGTAGCAGTATTTTCCATTTTTCTGGTATGAGTATTGAGTTATTTGCATTGCATGTGATGGGTGTAGACTCGATGAATCAGGATTCAGTAATCAATCTCTCTCCACCTACCTAGATTACTTTTTAGAATTTTAACCCTCTCTCATCCTATTGATTGGTTGTGTGTTAATGCATGCAGTGTAATTGCTGAACTTTTTTCTAAATTACTTGTCTTCACGGAGTCAAACATTCTTGCATTAGCTAAGTTCTTATGTTCCGATAATCTGACTACCCCTGACCTACTAGTCTGACCTATGTAGGTGACCTCACAGTTATTGCAGGGTATTTTGTAAATTCTATATTTTTGCCCTGCAATGACTGTCGGAACATATGAATTTAGCTAAGGTAAGAATGGTTGACCCGACGAAGATAAGTAATTTAGAAAAATGAAGCTCAGCACCGCGCTGCACTGTATGCATTAACACACAACCACACAATAGGGTGGGAGAGAATCAAAATTCTAAGACGTAATACGGGTAGGTGGACAGAGAGATTGATCACGGAATCCTGGTTCATCGAGTCTACACCCATCACATGCAATGCAAATAACTCAATACTCATACCAGAAAAATGGAAAATACTGCTACCAATCAAATCAAGCGATGAAAAATAATGGAATTATATAAACGAAGTTAGAAAGTTGTGTGAGTATTGCCTTGATATGATTATAAGTGGCAATAAATTGTGCTCGAAAAGTCATTATTAAACATTGCTGTGAGACTTTATCAAAACAAATTTTACCCATAATGGAATTATACTCTACCACAGTGCACAAGTTTTATTTTTATATCAAATTTGGTAGAAGTTAGAATTAGTAGCCAAGCCATTAAATTTGGTCCCAGTGGCTGAATGGTATACAAGCTTGTCTTGTAACCGGAAGGTCCTGGGTTTGAACCTTGGAAGTGGATACGTACTGCCGATGATTCTGAAACTAGGATAAAACAGCTTTCCAGTACTCCCTGGTGGCTTTCAAAAATTCTCTGACTGATATCAATCCGTTGTCAAACTCGTAAAAACAAATCAGATCCTTACAAATCAACCCTTAAAAAAATATATTTTTTCAATAATTTCTCTTCAGGTTCTTACAATTATAAAATATAATATTTGTTGTCGTTACAAGAAAGGAATGTACGATGAAGGGTTAAGTAGTGATTTGATTTTGAGCAACTTCAATAATGCTCACTCAGTGGTCCATTTCACCTATGAAGGAGAATACAACGACTCTCTACACTTCCTCGACGTCCTACTAACAAGAAGAGAGGATGGTTCCATCAAAAGAACCATATTTAGAAAGCTAGAGACCAAAGCTCAGTATACACACTTCCTTAGATTTGTACCGTTGAAATACAAACGTAATCTGATCATGTGCTTAGCATTTAGAGTGAGGTTTATTTGTTCCGAAGACTGCGTAGAGAAAGAACTCCGGGTCATCCGAGACATTCTAAGCGAGAACGGATATCCAGAGAAGTTCACTAAAGCCAACATAGTTTACAATAGTCGTAAACATGAACTGGCAACGGTGGAGAAAAAGCCTCTGTTTTTACGTCTCCAATTCAAAGGAGATACTCCTGCGGAGATTCTATCGCAACGTTTAACCAGGGCGATCAAGAAAACTTTCTGCTCTGCACGTCTGTGTCTATCCTTCAGTAGCCGTCCAATGTTCACCCAGCAACTCAAACATGTTTTACCTGACCTTAGCTCTTCTTCAGGCATATGCCATTTCAACTGTTCCTGTGGTTCAAGTTATATTATTATTATATTGTTTCCTTTAATTCCCAGAGGAACATAGGGCTTTAGCCGTGCGTCTCCATTGCGTTCGGTTCTCTGCTAAAGTTTTCACCTGGCTCCAAGTCTCTCCACGCGTTTTCATCTCCTCTTCACATGACCTCCTCCAAGTCACCCCCGCACTGACGACCAACTCGCCGCTTCCCCTTCGGGTTCCACTCGAGCAATGGCTTATCTAGTGATGTCACTTGATGGTTTCCTCAGAGTATGACCAATCCATCACCATTTCTTCCTGCCTATTTCTTTCACAATCGGTTCGCTCCCAGTGATCCCTGTTGCTGTTCTTTTCTGATCTGATCTTGAGTATTGAGCGAAGACAACTGTTAATGAAGGTCTGTAGTATGTTTGAGATACTCTTTATGACGCGATGGCCAAGTCTCTGATCCGTATAGTGAGTAGCACTCACTTCACATTGGAGTTGTAAATCCGGATCTTATTTTTGATGCTGAGTGCTGTTGACTTCCACACAGACTTGAGAGTAGTGAAAGCTTGTCCTGCTTTTCCGATTCTTGCTTTGATGTCCTCGTCAGCTCCGTCCGCCTGTAGTTGAAACGATGCTTCCCAGGTAGGTAAAAGAGGTAGTTTCTTTCAGGTTCCTCCCATTTATGCTGATCGTTGTCTGTTGTTGTTCTTGTCCAGGAATCTTTATTATCTCTGTTTTCTCTATGTTCACCTGAAGTCCTATCTTTGATGGTTCCTCTGACAACTTGTTGGTTTTCGCTTGCATATCTTCCAGTTTGTGGGAAATCAGACAAGTTATGTAGGGCGCACGATTAGGCAGGTTCGAGAACATTTACCAGCTTGGTTCAGCAGGGGGGAAATTAAGTGCATGAGAAGCTCGATCTTGTCACACTTGGTCGATAATGGACATCATATCGATGGCAACACAGCTTTCAGGGTTATATAAAGCGAATTCTGAAGTCGTTATCACGTACAGTTCGCTTACGTCTTCTACACATAGCTGAAGCTGTTGCAATAAGATCGACTAAACCGGAACTTTGTATCCAAAAAGAACACGTCCAGACGCTGTTCCTACCGTGGCCAAACTTGGATTGATGATTCTTCTTCTCACCAAGAGTGCTCCTTCCCCTTAACTCTATTGTTTTTTTTTCCGTTTTTTCCTTTGCTTATTATTACAAATATTATTATTACAATTATTATTATTATTAATATTATTATTCGTCATAATTTATGCCCTTCATGCAAACATTCTCTCAATACTATGGAATTCTCCGTTTATACTATCCGAACTTATTATAAGTGATATTATCTCTTTTCTCAATACACGCCTCCACCTGTTTCATTTCACACATTCGTTATTTCATTATGAACCTCTCATTGCAGTCTTACTATCTCCTGTTTAACACAGACCACTTTGTACTAGCCACTCACCTGACACCTTTTATAACCTTGAACTGACCTACTTGTCAATTTTCCTACCCCACACTCCACAAATCTATTATGATTAATCACCACCATTGTCTCCCATTTTACAATATTTTGTAATCGATTTCAGCCAAATAGCGCGTTTGTCACACAAATACGACTATTTATTTTCACAACCCATAACTAATCTGTTAGTCTACGTTAAAAATGTATCCGCCGTATGCATAATTGGCTATCATTGTTGTAACGACAACAAATATTATATTTTATAATTGTAAGAACCTGAAGAGGAGAAATTATTGAAAAGAATATTCTTCGTTCAGATTGACTTTTAATTCATGTGTTATGGGAATATTCCACACTATCAAAAATATATATATTCATAATATGAGGCGTACTCAGTAGACACTCACCTGTAACATAGACTGTACCATTTCAAGTATAGATTTAGCTGTATACAATTTTGCTGCAATCACACCATTCGGTATAGCTTCTAAAGCAGGGACTAGTAGAAATAGATCGTAGAACAGCATTCCAACTAAACCAATTAATAGTAAATTGTCATCGAATGCCACTTCTTCAGACAAGTCACTTAACTTCAGCGCTCTTAACCGAAACAGACTAATTATGCATGTGATTGTACTAACGGAGAGTAGTACTAGCTCTGTCCCTTGATACAATGTGATCGCTGTATTCTTTGTTTCACTTTTAACAATGAATATAAAGAACAAGCTCATAGCAACTAATGTGGCCATAAATATCAATAGGCCAACAAATAATCCTTTATGCGAACGATGACATTCAGAGAATTGTTTTGTCTTCAAATTGGCTTTACGCAACTTCTCCAAACGTTCTGATTCTTTGCGTACATGTCCAACTTTCTCGAACATTTTATAGAAGATAGCACCAGCGATAAGACTGTATTCAATAGCACAGGGAAATAAGAAGGGGGCGAGTTTTTTCACTGTTGATCCACAAGCTGTATAGAATGTTGAAGAAAGAGAAAAATAATAGCGAAAAGAACAACTTCAACGAAATGTTGTTGAGTACATAAATGAAGACACATTATTTTTTAATATTTATTTTAGTGGAAAACCTTGAAGTACTGGCCAGCTATTCCATCCTAGTTTGGGACTCTTCATCAGTACACACCCACTGGGGTTTGAACCCAGGACCTTCTGGTTACAAGGCGAGCTCGTAGACCATTGAGCCACTGGGGTGTGCTGATAAAGAGTTTCATACTAGATCGAAATAGATGTCCAGTACTCCCGGGATGGTTTCCTAATGGTTCTCTAACCGATGTCAGCTCATGATGAAACCCTACAACCAACCAGACACAATCCCTACAAAACCATTACTTGAAAATCTTTTCTATTCCTTTACTTTCCCAGTGGAACATACGGTTTTAAGCTAGAGCTTAATATTTTTGGTAGTAGGGGTGTTTCTTTTATGAGGTGAAGGTGCTAGCCTTATGTCCAGTCTTCGCTCTTTAGCGCCCTTATTACCGTCTTAGTGAGGTAAGGGGTGCTTCGGTCGGGAATCGAGCCCCGAACCACATGCGTGGTTGGCGAACATTCTACCGCTTAGCCACCGACGCTAGACACAGTGTATTAGTTACTAACTAGTGTCCTATCAAAGTATCCAATACAGCAATAGAGGAGGCCGGTAGCGAGACCGAATAGTTGATTGGTAACGTCTGTGACTGCAGTACTGGATGATGCAGGTTCGCACCTCAGAAGAGACATGAGTTCCTTAAAAAGCTGCAGATACACCCTGCTAACGAGTGCCAGCAAGCAAGAGACCTGGGTTGAAAGCTCGCTTTCGACTGCCCCCAACCATTCAATAACAATTGTCGAGTATTAACACGCACTTCACAGGCCGTCGAGTGGAATTAGAATGAGAATGACAAGTTAGATGTATCTCTGAGGGTGTCGTGGATAAGATCGCTTGAGGAGAGAATGAAAGTTTGCGCTCACTGTCGAGACTGTGGAGAACAGAGTGTATTGCAGATGTGTTTCTAAAGCCTTAATTTCCACTTGGAACCCAACGCAACACTAATAATAATTAATTGGATGGCCAGCTCAATCTATAAAAATGGAATTGCTTGAATGCTTATCAGCTTGTGTGCAATCAACTTTATTTTCTTCTTGTACAGCTGTTGGTTAATAGGTTGTTGACTAGTTCGCTGCTAACCAGAGCTCCTCATTACTCATTCCATCTAGCTGGCCATCCGATCTTCAGTATTATCAGACAGTAGTAGGCGTTGATAAAAGTTTGAAGCCAGTTGGAATTACTTTTCGTGAATTGACATTGTCGTTCGAAATTCGTAACATATTTCTTGAACTGAGTGGCGTAGATCCCCACACCGACTTTTCAAGTACTGTACCTTAGATTTCCCTTGTTGATGGTTATTGATGCTTGTTACTATCAGTTAGGTATCCTCATAACCACTGTCTCCTCTATGTTCTTCCAGTTTTGGATGTCACTTATGTCAACTTCTTGGTTTCCGTTTTGTATCTGAAAAGTGTTGACCGCTTCTTACTTCTGCGCATAGTCCTACAAGTTCCAATGTAAAATGTAACACGAATTTCCTCAGTGTTTTAAGAAAGCCATAATGAAGAAAACAGCGTCGGTGGTTTAGTGGTAGAACACTGACCCACCACTTAAATCATCTGGGGTTTGACTTTCAGCCGACACACTCCTTTACATCACATCGTCGTCAGTGTAAGTGGTAAAAATAGAAGGTTGAGCGTGAGGCTAGCAGTCCTACTCCTTAGAAAAATACCAATGTTATTAAATCTTCCTAACTTTAGCTTGAAGCCCTATGTTCCACTAGGAACGCAAAGAAATAAAACAAGTAGTAACGATGAATACCACTAGGTGGAAATTCGATAAGAGTCATAATATTCCGTCATTTAACAACTAACATATCGTGAAGTTAAACAATAGCGAACGCTGCCAAAAACCTTCAGTGCATGCTAGTCGTTGGCTAATGATATCTGTCATTATTATAGCACAAATATGAGCGCTACTAGCCAACTAAGGAGCATCCAGATCACGTTATTAAGTACTCTTTGAACAGTGTGTTAATAGCTGGTCAGGGTTAGGTTTAGGATAAGGATTATAATTAGGGTTAGGATTAAGGTTAGGGTTACGATTAGGGATATGTTTAGAGTTAGTTTCATTTATTTTGATTTGTTTTATTATTATCCACATTTTCCTTGGAAGTAGTCGTCGATTCTCTTACTGGAAACCATAGTAATTCAACTGAGGGCTTTTGGGGAAGACTGCAACACAGAATAAGAGCGATAAACGGGTCAGAAAAAGAGCTCACCTTAAGTTACCTCGGTGAATACACATGTACAGAAACTGGCCTACCTTAAGAACTGATACTCCTCATTATAACTGAGACATATTTTTGAGTCATGTTAAAAAAAATATACCCCGTTTAATGTGTTTTCATGCATTTTCTTCTAAATAAACGTCATTTCTTGTGCAGAAATCACTTGTTTTATGATTGGTCGACTCATGCTCACTCGTGCGTTCTCATCCTTTGAGATGCTTGTGTTTAACTTTGCCAAGGTATAACATAAAATTCGATAAAAAGAAGGTAGCTGAGTCTATATACCAGTCACCCATTCAATGATCCAAGTGGTCAGTTACTTGATGTAACTATCAGTCACCAGATTGTTCTAATCCATTTATACAAGTTTGGTTGTACAAATGTGAATAATTTCCAATCATATTTTTGGGGGCTAAGATGTCAACTCTCGGCATAAAGTAAACAACATAATTATGAGATACTAAAGGTACAGCCCTATGAGGCAAACTGGATTGCTGAGTCAAAACTTGCCTGCTACACCTGCAGTCTGGATAGTTGAACTCCCATGATCCATATGCATTGATACACTAGGCGTGGTTTTCTTCCCATCCGACAGTACCATATTGGCTAAATGAGATAAATTAAAATTTGGTGAATTTGCACTGTTTGAATATTCGTGTAAATTTGTATCGGGATCAGCTTGAGACTCTAAAAAATATTCAATTGGTAGGGCGAATTCGTGACTTGATCGATTCGACTCTCCACCTTCTCCTCCTACACCTCCTCCGCCGCCGCCTCCTCCTCCTCCATGTGATGGTTCACTACCGATTTCATCAACGATTGTCTTCAACCACTGGCAAAGATTGGCTACAGCCAAATGGCATAGAAAGAAGCGGAGAACAAATTTCTGTACATTGAATACAACCTAGAATAAGCGTAATGAGATAAAAAATACATAAAGTGTGATGCTACTTTTTTAGTTCTAAGTAGTTTGTGGATGTTTAAAGAAAATTCTAAAATTATTCGGATATTAGGTGGATAATATTCGTTATTTGGTTGATGTTGACTAATAGTGTGGAATCCATGATGCACATCTCGACCTAGTAGACCAATCACTATCAACAGGAGAAAGCATCATTTCAACCACAGGCAGCTGAAATGGATGAAGATGTCAAAGCCAGCCAGCCAGAATCGGAAAGGCAAGATACACCTTTATCAACCTGAAACCACTTTAGAGATCTTCCGCACTCAGCGGCATAAAGAACAAGATTTGGATTCAGTCACTTCTTCTATGCGAGTCGGAAACTCTGCATGCGTTTCATGACAAGCATTTCCAACAGGCAGCTGCACACTTTCATCAATGGCTGCCTTCGTTGGCTCTACACCGAATATTACATGGCTAGTGAGAAGGAAGTAACAACAAGAAACTATGAGAATAAGCTGACCAAGAACCTGTCGCTCGACAAATATGCAGAAGAAAGTGAAGATGGATTGATCGGGTATACGTTGAGGAGCTCATCGAATGACATCGCGAGCAATGCAAGCGATTGCTCAAGTGGAATCCTAAAGAGAAGCGACGAGTGGGTCGACGATGCGAGGGTGACATGGAGAAGATCATGTGAGGAGGAGATGAGAGATTATGGGCAATCGTGCGCGCAGCTTAAGATGCCATCAGAGTATAGAAAAAAGTGGAGATGTGTTGTTGAAGCCGTACGTTCCACTCGGAACCCAAGGGAATAATCATAATAATACAGACTAAATATTATCGTACCAACTTATGAATGTATATTTACACTATGGACACATATATGATTGTACAGCTATGAAAATGAAGGCGTCGAAAGGAGCATTCTTTTCGCTGAAATCTTAGTTTTATGTCACATCAGGGATAATTAATTTAATTAACTTAGAATTTAGAGGTAACACTTTGAGTGAAGTACCTAAAAATTGTCTGATGAGATCATTGGGGAAAAAAGTTCTTTGCTACCACTTTACGAATAGCCTACTCTAGCTGTCCACTGGTGCACCTTAATGTCAAGGAAATATTACCTCGATTGTCTAATTGTATATGTATTTATACGTTCACTTGCTCTTGGGGAACTAGGTAATAATAATAATAATAATTTGCTTTATTCCAGAAACAGTACTAGTGGTACAGTGTGGAATTTTCAGCACATGTCTACAATATTTGCATCTAATTTTACCGACGTTTAAAATAAGTATTAAACAAACAAAAAAAAGTAAATCTGAAGACACCAACAGCAAAAAAAACCAAAAAAACAGGATAAACACAAAATAATTATGAATGCGAAAAAGTACCAAAGTCTACCAAGGTCTAATGCAGTGTTTGTGGTGGTAGTGTGAGTAATCCTGAATACTACAAAATTTTTTTGAGGTGGTGACTATGGCATTCACAAACAATGATTGTCAGTTTAGTATTGCCAAAAAGTATAGAAAATAAGAAAAACAACCACAAAACTAATAATTACATGATGGTTAATGACACGACAAATTTTGTAATACTCATAGTGCTAATATAGTCGGAACCAGTGGATACACAATAGAAGGAATATAGTAAAGTACAAAAAAGGAAGCCAATGTTAATATTTCAGGTAGCTGAGTAAGTTTGAAGAAGGAGTTCACTAAAGAATACGAAATAAGAGAGAAATAAAAGAGTATGAAATTATGTTGTTAATAACAAAGCAAGTCACAGGTTTCACGCTTAACACTGTCTCTGTCACTTAGAACACGGGCCAAGTATGGTATCGTTGAGTTCCTGTACTTGGTTGTACGAGCATAGATTCTTTTATACTGATTTCTGGTTTTACTTGATGAGATACAAGGCGAGAGTTGGGAATAGAGGGGGTGTTGGGGTTTTAGACCATTTTTCACATGTATTCAGATGTCTATCAACTAAAGTAGTCACGAGCTGACTGAGATTAACACCACTAGTCCTACTAACTACTGTCAACATCCTTCTCAGGATGGAATAGTCCTTTTTCAGTAGACCAGGAAAGACTAACGGGGAGCAGTAAAGTAGAATAGGTAGGATACAAGAGTTGACAAATTGTGAAAGTAGAGGTTGGGTGATTCCGGATTGTCTAAGTTTCTTAATGTAGTAGGTAAGACAGAACACTTTCTTAGAAATCGTTAGGATATGAGATGTCCAAGTAAGGTTGGAAGATAAAACTAGACCGAGGTATTTTGCATTAGACTTAGTTTCAATTTTAGTCCCCTCAATGCTACAGTCTTCATGAGAACTTATGTAGGACGTTCATCGAGAGAGCACGTTAGAGAGCATCTCCCAGCTTGGTTGATCAAAGGAGAGTGTAGAGGTATTAATTCATTGATATTGCTACATATTGTGGGTACTGGCAACGACGCAGCATCTCACACATCGTTCAATGTAGTCTACAAAGTCCGACAAAGTTTGCCAAAAGGGATACGAGTGCATTTGCCTTGTATAGGGGAGGCTTTGGCAATACATAACATAAAGTTAGAACTTTGTGTACAAAAACAATTTGTAGGATCTCTTTCGTTACTACCCCATGGTCTTGACTTTACTGTGTATTTCACATAGAAATTTTGTTGGCCTCCTTTATTCCGTGTTCCAATTTTGTTTTATTTTATTTCACTTAATGTTATCATATTCTAACATTTTATCAAGTCTACTATCTTGACAACATTTTCACTCATCTCAACTTGCATTGGCAAGAAATGGAACATCACCGAAAATGCCCATTGAGTCATGAAGTAAAATAAAAGACAATTCAGCGAAGAAAAGGTTTTCTTTATCGACGAAATCATCCTCAGAGGCTGCATAGTCGTATCTGTACTCGTTTACTAGACAGATGCATAATATATTGCGAATCCCAAAAAACAAATTAGAAAACTCTACAGCGTCAGTGTGTTTACCCAAAATCACAAAACTCTTAAATGTCATAAAAATACACAACAATATTGAGGCTATCCGTTCCCAGACTTCTGATTTAGAAAGGAAGATTTCAAGGAAAACATATGTGCCAAACAAACTTTCAACAGGAATTAGTCTACAATGTGAAGATTACATTAAAATGGTTTTGAAACACAAATGGAATAGTGTTAATTTTAAATTCAAAAATCTACTAAAGCCAACTGTGAGTCAAATGGAATATTCCCGAAACACCCCAAAAAATACGTCTTTAACTATTCCTCGACTAATTTGAGTTCTTGTCTAATAGAGATATTATCATCTGGCTCAAAACTCTGTATACTTCAGTCGAAACACGAGTGAATAAAGGATGGAACCTGTGTCACTGATGAAATAAAGTTAACCACCTACTGGTTCTTCAGTATGCTTATATTCTAAGAACTTTTGGTATTTGGACTAGGATCAATGCAGATTTCATCACAAACCAACTGACACCAATAAGACAGTCACGGGAAAGCAAAGAGAATTGGACGTACGTTTCATCCTAGTAAGAGAGTCTTCAGCAGTATGTTTCGACAACCTCACCAAGATTCGAACATTGCACCTTCAGTTTTCAACAACTGTCGAATTGGTTGCAGGACTTCATCTTGAGCTGACATCAGTTACAGAACCATTGGAAAATCACCAAGGAGTACTGGACAGCTGTTTCGTCAGCCTAGTTTCGGACTCTTCATGAATATGTACCCGCCCCATCGGGTTTCAAACTCAGGACCTTCTAGTTACAAGGCTAGCAAGCTCATACAACATTAAGCCACTGGGACCCGATCCAATGGCCAACCCATGAATTTTAACTTTTGCCAATTCACGAAATAGCGCAACGGCTAGCCAGTGTCATCGCTTGCGAGTATTTATCCTCACACCCGACCTGTTGCAACAAACTTATCACGAATTCCCACTAGAACCCCAGGTAACTTTCCACCTGAATAGGACCAGTCACTAGTGAGCGTCTCATTGATATTCAAGTATTGGTTTATCTAATGGTTCTGTAACCAATATCAGCTCATAATGAAATCCCGCAACCAATCATTCGAATTCCTACTTGAATTGTCTAATTAATGTTTGTTTCGTTCGTTAGTCAGACAATTAATAATTGTTAGGCAATATGTTGACTAGCTTACACCACTATGAACAGAAATACTTGGGATTAGATAACAAAGAAATAAAGTGTGTTAACCAAAGAATAATAAAACTGTTGACTAGCTTTTTGGTGGAGCAATTCAGATGCCTTCTTTTCTTTTCCATTACTAAGTTGGATCTTCTCTGAAACTTTCGAGTTTATACATACGTCCGCCTGCCTCCAAACTTTATTTTTGTGAACTGTCTTCACTCCTTTGTTCTCTGGTGTCCTGATTATTCGTCAGTTAACTAGCTTACTGCCAACCCTCACAATTATGTAAAGGTTGTTTCCCATATTTTTAGAAACTTTTATTTCACATACATTTTGATTTATTTTGTGACTAACTGACACACAGACCTGATCTCTGTTGTCATTTACCATTCTGAACAAATTTAGTTAGAGCGAACAATTGTCACTTTTCTATAGTTTGGGTGCAAGGGTTAGTTTTGTTTTCACGAGTTGATCACGGATTGATATCAGTTAGAGAACCATTGAAAACCAACAGGGAGTACTGCACAGCTGTTTCCTCCTAGTTTGGGAATCATCGGCAGTACGCACTCACTGGGAAGTTGTGAGGTCCAATTAGATGTCACGTGTGAGGATGGATGTCCCACAACGACAATAGTTGGGGTCGCGCTAAATCACGAATTGGTAGAAGTTAGAATTCATACACTGGCCATTGAATCGGGTCCTAGTGGCTGAATGGTATACGAGCTTGCCTTGTGACCGGAATGTTCTGGGTCCGAATCCCAGTGGGTGCGTATTGCCGATGATTCCCAAACTAGGATGAAACAGCTGTCCAGTACCCCCTGGTTTTCAATGGTTCTCTAACTGGTATCAATCCGTGATCAACTCGTAAAAA